TAATTCGCGGAAATAATATAATTGATTAAAACTAATCGATCGATTTGCGAAATTTTACCTCGCAGGGTGTTGGTCCTTGCTTAGGTGCAGCGCGTGTCGTCGCCGCTGGTCGCACACCACAAGTGAGACTGGCAGCGATCGGCGGAGGGCGGCAGCGCCGCCTCGCGCGCGCACGCCGCCGAGCGCCCTCCGACCTTTGGCCTCTTCTGCACTTGCCTCCCTTTATGCCTGCAACCACAATTCCAATTTAACTTTTCCGTCTTAAGGCGGATTATTTCGTGACCGCCTCTTTCAAAATTTTAATACACGGCCCCCGGGATTACAAAAGCGAGCTTTGAAATTATCGACCTGTGTTTGTGCTGCTCAACCCACAGGTTTAATTATTCAAATTCATTTTTCTGCAACAAATGTGCAGCTGCTAGTAAAAAAAAACGCGTACATTTACATTTAGGTAGCAATTGCACCATTTGGAAATTCAAAATATTGTTTAAAATTGTGCAAAATAAGGGAGAGAACATTTTTTGCATTTTGCTAGTTTATGGTTGTTGACGAAATAACTATTATTTTTGAATAAGAATATATTCTTGTAGTAAAACTTCCATAAATTCTCATCATGTTCCTTTCTGCAGACTTGTTTCCTTTCTTTCAACCTCTATAGAATAACTTTTAAGCTTATTTTTTAAATAATTGAATGATAATCTTTTTATACATTTTGTTCACTGAAGTTAGTATTATTCTTTAATTATTCTGTTTGGCGCTTAAGTTATGATATTAATCAAGTGACGAATATATTTAAATATATCCATTAGTTCTTTAATTTTTCATTTATGGTTTACTTCATTCATTTAAACTAGATTTAACCTGACTGGGTAGCCTGAAGTTTAACTTGATTGATTTTGATTGAAAAAACTTTAAGCTTATTCTTAAGATGTTTCAAAATTTATAATTTTGTCAACATTGTTTTTTAAACTGATTTGATAAGGTTTTTCCTTTGAAACTGGGAGATAATGGTTATATTATTGTAGTCACAACTTACAATTGAATTAGTTAAGATTGCAGCACCCAAAATGATAACTATCATAATATTATAATGAAAATAATTAAAAATAAAACTTGACAGGAATTTTCATCATTAATTGAAAAAAAATGGGATGAAATTCATTAAAAAAATTAATATTAGAAAATTTACTCTTAGTTTCCAAGGTTTTTTTCTTTAATTAGGAGAAATTTGGTATTTTTTCAGCATGATTGTTATTGTGATTAAATTGATCAAAAAGTTTCTCTAACAGTTTAAACTTACAAAAGTAGCAAAATGATTGAACTCATTTAAAGCCCAATTTCCCCCTCGTTGATTCTAGCTTTTCCACTTGCGACCGTTGCTTGCTGGAGAAGTTTCATCTTCATTATTTTATTTTAGGAAAATTGATTTTTATTTACTGAGCCATGAAAGAAGCAGGGCTCACTTGCCGCAAAAATATCGTTGGCTGGCAGCGCTTTGTGAAAAAGTTCTCCCTCTAGTTGGCCGTGTTGGCAAGTGTGCTTGTTTTTCCTTCTCCAGCCGGCGCCATAAATAAATACAGGAAAAATTCGAGCATCACAATAAAATAACAATATAATTTCGCGCATGACGGATCGGCGGGGCGATCGCCATTCGGCCGTGCCAACAAGAAAGAGCTTTAATTTATTTTGCCCTCTAACACTTATGAATAATTCCGCCGCTCTTCACAGAGAGAGAGCGGCGTGTGCGCCTGATAGAAAGATTAAAAATGAAGCCGCTGTTCTCTTGTGAGGCGAGAGAGAGTGTTGGCGGAGCAAAGAGCGCCGCGTGACAAGGGCTGCATTAAAAGCAGACACAGTTACATTTCAATATAAATCGTCCGCCGCCTTTTCAATTCCGGAGACATTCGGGTGTGGAAAGACGACTCCATTTACTTGGCCGATGGCAAAATCGAAACTGATTATGATGGAGCATTCCATATTTTTCCTCTCAAAGGCCTCAAAGGGTGTTATTTTTCACTTTTCTGCTCCACTCGCTCCAATGACGCGTTCGTGAGTTATGCAACCTGCTTGACGTTCAAGCCGAGCAAATTGCATAACTTGTAAAGTGCAAGGTTGTAATATTGTAGAAAATAATGAAAACCAGTTATTAATTACATTCCTCTTTAAAATACATAAATTTTTCAAAAAATACAAATTATTCAATAATTCAATAATTACTTGCAAAAATTAATTGAAATTATTCCTATTATTTGAATTTATATTTTGAGCTACATTTTTTTAATATATAACCTTCAGTTTTATTATACTCAACTCTCACCTATCTTTTCAATCCATTATTATTATTATTATAATAATATTTTTACTATTATTATTATTATATTAATTATTATTATTATTGATATCATTGGTATTATTGATTGAAGTTTGTTTGGCTATAATCTTTGGTGAGATTCAGTTTCCAGACAAATTCCTGTCAAGTGCAAGACCTTAGAGCGGAAATTCAATAACATAAGAGGCCACATCGGCTTTTGCAAACTGACAAATCGTGCCATCGAAGACACACAGATTTGATCGTGAATCTTTCATCTGAAAAATTGCCGATCGAATGTTCTCCGCATGGGTGATCCACGCCGGCGGCTAAATACATACAATGGAAGCCCTCTCTTGAACAAAGCAGCAAAGCGTGACGTCAGACGAGAGGCTTTTTCGCGCATTGCCTGCCGCCGCATGTCTTTGCAGAATAAATTACTATCATTATAACTTTTTATCCGAATGAAATGACAAAAGGCAAGTCTGCTTTTTGTCGCGCGCGCGTCAAGGCGTCGCTTTAGATTGTCCCGAAAACCAGCTCTCTCGCAAGAGCAGATCTCTCATTTTGGAAAAACGAAAAACATATATGGTTTGGCCTAACTTTAAAATTGTCCCATTTTATTCAAATATAGTCATATTGTGCTTTAACAATGAAAAAATTGAATTAATTTACCATAACATTTTACAAAAAATCAAAGTAGACTTTGTGTTAAAAATAAAGATGACCTATCAATGGAAGACTAAAATTTAAAATAATAATAGAGCATGTCACTGAATATTTGCTGAAAGTTGTTAAGAAAGTCTTTTTTTAATTCAATTTATTTATTCTCTCAAAAGTTAACCAAAATGGAAACAAAATTGCATCTTCATTGATAATGGTAATTTTCTGAAGTGAAAATTTTAATTTTTGTCAAACTTTTGAAAACAATATGAAACGTCAAACATTTTACTTATAAGTTGACAAAATCTAATCCAAAGCCATTTATTGTTGACAAAAAAAATATTTAACCATGAATATTTACGTTTTTTTCTTCATGCGAAATTTAAAAAGAACAATTAATTTTGGGAGAAAAGGATGGTACCTGTTTAAGGACTAGTGAATTTAGGGCGAGGGACGGCGACTTTTCTTTTTGCTTGGCCCATATATTTTGCGGTGGGGCGAATCCTTCAGCCCGCCGCACTGTTTATCTTGAGCGCAGATCCCTAGCGACGGGAGCGGGCCGGAGCGCGAAGGGATGGTTTTTTTATTTGCGGACGGATCGACAAATAATTAAGTCGACCGCACCTGATAAATTATTGCCGGCGCCACGTTAAACCCGGTTGTTCCCTTTTTACGCCCCAGCCGAACACGCACGCAATTCTGCTGTAATATTTTTTATCCACATCAAACGCGCGCAACCGAATTAAAATGCTCTTTTGCCAGCCGGCGAGAAAAAGAAGGCAGACACAGTTTTAAGCTCCTCTTTGTGTTTTTTGTGCCGGCGGCGCCCGACCCTGTGTTTATATTTATGTTTTGCCTCTTTATTTTTATTTTTGCACGCCAGTCACGGATAAATATTTGAGAATGAAAACGGAGAGGGACAACTTTAATGGGTGCTTTTGCAGTTTTATATTTCAGCGAAATAAAAGAATCGTCGGGCAAAACGCCGGTCGTGTTTTATCTGCGTTTGAAAAATGACCTGAAATTCGTTTAAACGCATTTTTCAGTATCACATTTTTGGCTGGACTTATTTATCATCGCTTTCAAAATGAGAATGTTTGGTTTAGCTGTGTTATTTAATATTTTTACAGACTGACAGTCCGTGGTAAGATGAAATTTATTGTTTTCGTTCTAGGTGAAACATTGACTTGTTAAATAAATGGAATGTTCATTTTTTTTAGATTTATTGATTAATGCTTCCAGTGTGCAATATCTATATAATGCTTTTTAAAAGTTTGATTGGTTCAAAATTAAATTAATTTATTTAAAATCAAAGTCATTGATTTCCGAATAAAGATTTTTGGATTATTTTTTGAAGAGTGGGATTTAAAATTTAAAATGGAACCTCTAATTTTTTACATAATATAATGTAGTATTTTTCCTTTGGCTTTAAAAAATAATCATTGTTGAATTTGGATTTTCCATCAGAGGCCAATGAAAAGTGGCACTACCCCTTTTTCATTCAAATTTGATGTCAACAGAAAAATTGTTTTATTTATCTCAATTCAATACAATGATTCACAACATCTTACATCGAGTCACATCAAGTTACAAAATTAATTTAGCGTAAAAATTTGTTAAATGTGCCTTTGGAAGTTATATATCAATATTTACCAATTTTAAAGTGTTAAATGATGAAAAAAAAATTGGGAACTCGAAATGTCTCAAAATTAGTAAATATAAGGAACTATTTTTCATCTCTAAACGCGCGAGTGAAATTTTTTAACTACTCCCCATCTGATATTTAAATAAATTTTAGCGTCCTCCTAAACTGTTTTTAATAAAATCCAATAAAACCAGAAATAAAATCAATGTTTGCAAAATTAGGAAATATTATCTTTCTTGTTTCGGTGTAGCAAAGTTTTAACTCGCTCTTTTCCTTTTGTGCGAAAGAACACGCAAACGTAATAAAGTCCCTTTAACTCGGTCGTTCCGCTTGTTACCGCGTCCTTTCTTGTACAATTTGGTTGCTCACATAATTCTGTTGCAGACCGACTTCGGGCGGCACCTCGACGAACTCGCCGTGCGAGTTGAGACTTTGGCAAAACGCATTGTGTGCCAACTGCTGGGGGAGAAGAGCAACTTGATTGCTCAAAGACTCCTCGCGCTCTGGGAGCATTACCTGCGCACCGCCACAGCAAATTTAGAAAAACGCACCGTCGCCTCCGAGACGCAGCTCTTCCACAAACGGGCAAAACTTTTGGCCCAAATCCTGAAGCAGCTCGAGGCGTTCTCGACCAAGGCCGCCCAAATTGGGGAACAGGTGCAGGCGGTGGATCAAAGAGCCCAGCAAGCGGGCGCCCTCAACGCCGGCGGACGGTTCGAATGGATTGACAGTCTCTTAGTCAAGGTAATTCAATCAATTTGAAATATTGCATTTGAACAGCTCTTACAATAAAAGAGGTTATAAGTAAGGTTTGAAAATAATTATAGTTTTTACGAAAAGTTGAGTATCATTTGTGAATTAAGTAATTCCTCTTGATTTTTTTTTTTTTTTTTTGCTTATTTTACAACTTTGGTTTAAACATATAGGTTGAGAAAAAACGTGTAGATTTTGTCAAGCAAATATGCATCAATTTTAATTGTTTATTCTTATGACTTAATTTTAACTTTGACAATTTAATAATTAAAAAAAAATTATTTCAAATTCTTATGTTAAATTTATTAATAAATAATTTAATAATGTAAGTAATGAAGTTTTTTAAATTTATATTGATAGTGCCAGAATTGTACGGACTTGAATTCCATTTTTTTTCTATCATTCAAAATAATTTAGTGTCTAAGAGACGGCAGCTGGCTTTTGGTGGAAAACGTCAACATGTGCAGCGCCGCAGTCTTGGACAGACTGAACGCTCTGTTGGAGCCGGGCGGTTGTCTAACTTTAGGAGAAAGGGGTGTCAATAGTGAGGGTGTTCTCCACACGGTGGTGCCCCATCCTAACTTCAGACTCTTCTTCACAATGGACCCTAGAAATGGAGAAATTTCAAGGTAAAATTAGACTTGGATTTAAAATTTAGTTAAATAAAATTTCCTAAAATTTAATTTAGGGCAATGAGAAATCGAGGAGTTGAGATTTACATGAGAGGACCTGACGAAGGAAGCAACTTGTTGCCCACCCTGGACCTGCGTGCCCTTCTTACCAATTGTGGAATTAGTTTCGACTGCGAGCAGAGGACTCTGATTACCATCCACAAAGCTCTAGGAGCAGCAGCGTCAGGTTTTTAAATTTTTCAAAATAATTTAAATTTCCCCTTTTTAATTATTTCTCATTTAGCCTTGGACCCAGTGCTTGAGCTCTCAACGCTTATGCAGGCTGCGTTTTTGGTGCACCAAAACAAATTGAGGGGAAGTTCGATCAAGGAGGCACTTCGTTTTGCTTGTCTGGATGTTTTTGTCAAACCAAAATCCAGCGCTGACAGTAAAAAGCAGGCACTTCTTGTTCTGGATGAAATTCTGGACGGTGCTATTTTTGTAGAAACAGAAAGTGATTTAGTCCAGCCTGTTGTCACTCAAAGCGTTAGAAAATTAAATGTTACTAACTAAATAAATAAATAAACTCCTTCACTATTGCAGCTCGTATTGATTCAGGAAAGCAGTGGTTTGGCTCAAGCAAAACAAGACTGTGAACTATTATCAGCATGCCTGGCTGCTAAGGAAGGCGAATCTTCCTTTTTAAACAATCTTTGTGACATGAAGTAATAATTTATATACTTTGCCTAGACTTACAATTTAAATTCAAATATAAGTTGCAGCTCATCAGTTTCCCTTCAAGACCTGCAGATTCCCTTGCTGCAGTGGATTTACAAACTTTCCTGTCCCAGTGACGTCAGATTAAGACATGCCCTGCTGCAGAAATGCAATGTCAAATGTATCAATGAGCTCTCGGCCAAAATCAGAGATGCAATTCTTCAGAATCAAAATCAGTCTCAGAGGTAATAATTTAATTTATCTCAATTTGCTTACTTTACTTCTAGGGTTTTCAGACATTTTTCCACCATGGACAGCAACCTCCAGCTCTGCCTGTGGATAGATTATCTCTGTTCCTCAATGGGCGAATTGTCCATTTCAATCAAAAAGGGAGACAGAATGTCCGCCTTGCAATATTCTCAAGCTGTGAATTCAAGTACTCCCACTTTTTAATTTTCTAAAAAACAAATAATAATAATAATTAACCTTGAAACTTATACAGAAAACGTTCCTGCCAATATCAACAACTCGCCAGTCCTTGTGAAGTTGTCAAAACTCCTGACTATGGTCGAGAAATCACTGGAAGCCATTAGCCAGTCAAAAGTTGAACTTGCAGTAGAGCAATTTGAGATTCTTCGCAGAGGCCTATCGTGGCGGAAACACATTCTTGACTTTGCTACGGGAACGAATTTGACTCGCAAATCAGCACCCTTTATTGTGCAATCACTCGTTACTCACTTCAACTGGCTCAAGAAGCACCTTTTAATTCCCCTGACCTCACTGAAAGAGTATTTTCTAATTTTTTATATCTCAACTACATTACATTTAACTATCATTTGTAATTAAGGGAACTTCCCGAGCTCAAGCAGTTGTCAAGATTGGTAGAGGATGTTAGAATTTCAATTGAGGTTCATCCTCTGAAAAAACTGGCTACAATTGTTCTGCCAAAAATTGGCCAGCCACTTCCTTTTAGGAGTGAAAACCAACTTAGAGCAAAAACTATCATCGACGAGTAAGATTTTTCACAAAGTAATTTGTTTGATATAATTTTAATTTTTAATTTATAGAATATCTGCGTTGTTCTACGTGTGGCCAGCTAATGACAAGAACATTTGGTGCAGCCTTATCAGCTGGCTAGAGACTAAGGAAGGAAGCGCCACTAAAGAGCTGCTCGCAATAACATTAAAAAGTTTGCACTTGCGAAATGACATTCCCGATGGTACTTTGTTTCGAGCACTTATCTCGCCACTTAACACAACCAAACATTTGAAATTTAGATGAACTGGTGAAGCTGCAAGCCAGTGCTGAGGCGCTTAAGAAGTTCAAAGCTGTTGCCAAAGCGCGCGGCGCTGATTCAATTATTCACGACTGCCACCGTCTGCTGCTTCTGAACAAATTGCGCAGTGACCTGGAAGTGAACAATGTGACCCTCGAATATCTTGTGGATAATCTTAGAAGGGACAGCGTTTCTCATCCAGAGCTGCTTGTTCTTGCAAATCTGCTGGCTGAAGTAAGTTTTCATATCATTAGCATCATTAATGTAATGCAAATAAAATTATTTGTTTTTTGATCAGGGCACTGAAAATGGAAGCCACAAGTTGAAGCTTGAAACAAATATCCTAGAGTGGCAGCTGAATCACTCGTCTGCCTTGAATTCACCTCTCCAGTGGCTCGAGTGGGCCAGCAACTGTGAAACCTCTCCGAAAACTGAAAATCAGTTTGAGTTTGATTTCAGCGAGAACAACAAAACTCTCGTGAGTTGAAAATTTCAAGTATGAAATAATTTTATTTGAACAATAATTCTTCAGGCAAAGATTCATCCTGACTCGCCGATTCTCTCTTTGGTCACTATGTTCCAAGTTTTCAACTGTGGAAGTAAATTGGAAGATGCTTTCGAACACCAAAAGAACATGCAGAATTTGTCAGCCCTCATCTGGCAAGCAACTCAAAGTCTGCACTCCGATGCCTTTGACCTCAGGTATGATCAAATCTCTTATATTTATTGAAACTAATGAAAATTATTCCAGATTAAATGAATTGACATCGGTGACAAATAGTTTTAACAAAATCTTGGAAGCCCTAAACCCTGAAGCTGCTGAAGTTGATACCTTCGAAGAAAAAGTCAAGCTGGTGTCTCAAGTCACTAACTTTGCCCCTCTCTTGCAAATTTTCTCTGAAGTGGCTGAGCTGCTTACTGAAAGTGATGTGAACTGGGCTCTTGTCGGCAAGGCCAATGTACTCCTTGGCTTTGCGACCCTCACTTTGACCTCGGCCTTGGCGCCAGTGGACCCTGTTCAAAAAAAGTCTCTCAAGCTCAAGTACACCTTGCAGGACTTAACAGAGACTGAAGTCTGCCTGTACACAAATGAGCTCTTGTCGAGGGTGAGAGGAGAGACAACCAAGGCACACCCCGAGCCGCGCCTTCGCCACCCCTGTGTGCAGTTGCTGATCGAGCACTGTGAGAATCTGAAACTCAAAAAGGAAAAGCTCTCAAGTACCACTGCTGCTAGACCAGAAATTAGTCATTACCCTGATATTAGAAAAGTAAGTAGGATTTTAATTTTTGTGTGAAAAGTCTAAATTTAGTTTTCAGATGGTGATGCAATATTGTGATACTCTGGCCTCTTCAAGCACAGCTCTTCAAATTGCTGAGCAGTTGTTCCTGGTTGGCCAAGGGAGAGCAGGAGATGCTGAATTAGCCTTGAATCAAGAGGAGACGTGGCAGTTGTCTCAAAATAAATTCTGCCAGGACTTGAAGAAGGTGGGAGCCTACTACCCAGACATTGTGGATCCTATTTTGGCATCAACATACAGAGTGAGTAATTTTTTTATATTATGTATATTCATGCGAAATACTATATTAATATTCTAGATTCGATTTGGAATGTACTTTTTGCGATGTGGTGCCATTCAGCGGAACGAGGTGCTGCAAAATCTACTGATTTCAACCTGCAGTTTTCCCAGCATTTCTCCTGTCCAACCCTCACTCTTTTCACTAGTCAGTGAATGCACAAAACTGGCCAAGATGACGGCAAGTGTGATGCCTAAAGAGAAGACAAAATATTTGCTGCACAGGCAAGTTTAAAGTATGCTGGAATTTATTGAAAATTGAAATTTGTGCATCTTTTGCTTAGACTAAGGATGAGTTCCTTCGAAGAGCTGAAGTTCCAAATTCTGGCACAAGGTAGCTTCGATAGTGATTCTATGCAAGTTTTTGTGTCAGAACTCAGTGGACTCGCAAGCGCCTGGAAAACACAGCTGGAAGAAAAGGAGAAGAGGGAACGAGAAGCGCAAAGCCTTTATAAAATGAAAAGCACCAAAGAGATCGAAGAGACAGAGCTGAAGAAAACCTTCCCCATGTTCCACCAAGAGTTTGAGGATGTTTCAATGAATGTCGTGTATCAGAAAATGGACCAAGATGTGACTCCAATGGAAACTGAGCAAGAACTTGAAGACTTTGGGCTCATAACCGATGATGAAATGGCCACCATTGGCCAAATTCATGAGCAGGTGTTTGTGAGCAGCACCCAAAGGCCCTGGCTCCAACAGACCCCTACTCCCTCTCTGGTTTATTCCCTTGAACCATTGGCAAACAGGCTGGAGACTTTGAATATTTTACTTCCTTCGACTTTGATTAGCATGGACAACAATCTAGACAAGAACTTAGCAGGTATTTTCAATAAAATTTGAAACAACTGAAGTTATTAAAATTACCACTTAGGTACATTCATTGTGATGCTGAACTTTGAAACGGATTATGCAAATCGTCCGTACGACTTCTACCGAGACCCACTGCCAAGTGAAGTGGTCAAATGCCAGCCTCTGTTGAACTCAATCAAGAAAAGGGTGCAGGAGCTCATGCAAGAGTGGCCCGAGCACCCTACCCTGCAAACAGTAATATTTTTGTATAAATAATTTTGAATAATTTCATTTTTTTATTCCTTTTGATCTGCAGCTTGAAACGCTCTGTGATCGTCTGTTGAACTTCTCGTCAAAGAGCCCCTTGGCTAGATATTTGTGTGGTGTAGAGCTTGTGTTGTCTCAGCTGCAGACCTGGGAAGCCCATGCCCACTCTGGAGTGAGCATGGGGGCGCTCAGCCAGGCGGTTAGTCAATTGGTGCTTGAGTGGAGGAGACTAGAACTGCAGAAGTGGTCGGAAGCCCTGAACAATGTCCAATACAAGTTGGATTTTTTAACAAATGCCTTGAACTTTGAATACATGATTATTTTTAGGTGTGAGCAGAGAGCTTTGAGTAGGTGGTGGTGCCACTTGGCCACCTTGGTTGGGTCGGTGGAAAACGAGACGAGTTGTGCTGTGAACGATTTGATTAGTGCCATCCAGCAGTTCATGGAACAGGCCACCCTGGGAGATTTCCAAGTCAGACTAAGACTACTGAAGGCCTTCCACTGCCAAGCCGCCTGTGCACAAAAATCTGAGCTGCACAGTGAGCTATTTCATTCTTTTAAAGGACTTTTGTTCAATCAAAAATATAAAATTACAGAAAATTTGCAAAATATCTTTTGGAATGGCTTCACTTTCTACTCGCAGTTCTCAAAACCAGTTGAGAACAGACTACACAGTCTGAGAGCGCCCATTGAAAAGAAACTGAAGGAGGCTGTGAAAATTGCTAGGTGGACCGAAACCAATTACTGGGCCCTTAGACAAAAAGTTGAGAGAACTCACAGAACACTGTTCAAACACATGCGCGAATATCAAGTAAGTTTCAGAAGTATTTGTAAAGAGTTTTATTTTAATAATTAAAATTTTAAGGATATTTTGAGTCAGAAAGCCTCACCAGCCATGAACGTTCCTCCACTTTCTTTGACAGAATGGAATTTGGAGTTGGATACAAACAGATACTTGTCCAATTTGAGGGTATTTTTATTCATTTGTTTTTCAAATTAAATATTTGACATCTATAATGATCTTTAGATAACATCTCAAGAAGATGAGCTTAGTGCAGCATCTTGGTTGAAAAAGGCACTCAAACTTTGCAGGGAGCTCTTCTCAAATTACCGTTATCCACAGAGTGTGAAACTGGTTGCTGACTTTGTGTTAGAAGTTGAAGAGACTTGGAGACTTGTTCTTAGCCAAGGGGTAAAATTTCTGATCAGATTTATGCCAGATTTTAACACAGCTATTTCATTAGATTACTCCGTCAAAAGATGCGGACAAAGAGAAAGTAAAATCTGAGCAGAAAAATCTGCTGCAGAGGAAAAGGAAGGCTGTGGCCGACTCTTTCAAGTCCATCCAACGACTAGGTATTTCCTACCGAACTGGAATCACTCACAAGTACAATTTCTCACTGGAGTACTTCCTTCTCGACCCGTTGGATATTTCTGTCAACAAGTAAGATTGCTATGATCCTGAAAATTTTGTCTTTACTTAATTTCAATTAAAATCTAGTAAAACTGAAGATGATTTGACAATGTCGTGGAAAGGCTGCAAAGAACAAATTTCAGCATGCGTTGCCAAGATGACCCAACTCTCTGCTGCACTCACAAAACCGTCGTCAGAACTTGGTCCAAACGATTTAGAGAAATGCCAAGGATATGCGCTGCACCTTATGGTCTCTTATTTATTATTAACTGTGATGAACAAATGAATAAATTTCAACTTTTAGGAAATGGTTGTGAAAGACTATGGCCTGCTCAGCAAATTCACTAATGACCTGAATATTCTGAGCTTGAATTTAGAGCCTTTGTTGGAGGAATCAGTCTCACCGGCTAATAAACTGAACAATGCAAAGGTTCAAAATACAAACTTTAACTTTATTTTAAGAGAATTAAATGTAATATTTAGGATACTGTTTTGAATCTTCTGGGAAGTGCTGCCGTTTGGCTCAGTCAGTTTGCCATATTCCTGAAAACGTTCCCACGGTCTGGAGGAGCTGACAGCAAACAATTCATGCCAGAGGCTAGAGTGCTCAGTGACGGCCTCATAAATCAAGCAGCTGATTTGACAGAGAGACTTTTGTCAAATGTTGAGCAGATCAAGTCTGTGATGCTGCAACAAAAGGGTAGGTTTTGAAGTTAATTAGGTCATCTTATTTCATTAAATTTGAATTTATAGATCATAATAATATCATCGGCACTGCGTCCATTACCAAATTGGCCTTGTGCAAGCCAATATTCATGGAAATGAGCAGAAATATTGCCAGGCTTAAGGGAGTTGCTCCAGAATATAGCTGGATAGCAATTGACTGGCTTGATCAGGAATTTAAGAGAGTGTCACTGTTATTCGATGAAATTAAAGCCCCTGCTGATGGTCAGTACTTTGTTAATTTGAAACACGTTCCAAAAAAAAAAAAAAAAATTTAGCAACTACCAACTTGGACAGTTTGCTTGAACTAACCCAAAAGGCAGGTCTTCTGATCATCCAGAGATTGTACCAAGCAATGAAAACTAGACCTGAGCTTGACGAGGAAGTGGAGGTACTAAAGTTTTAATAATCCTCAACTCCTTTCTAAAAAATAGAACCTGTATTCCAGATGGAAGAAGGTTTCCTTGTAAACTTTGTCAAGAAACCTCTAGAAGAGGACCTGGAAAATTTGAAATTGGCTGAATTTACTAATCTTGTGGCAGAAATAGGCCGTCAGCTTGCAAAGCAACCAAAAGCCCTTGAGTAAAAAATTTCAACTATTTATTTTACAGTAAGATTAATAAGATAACTCTTTTTTTATTAGAAATGCCAAGAACATTGTCCCCCTCATTCACCAAGTGCAGCTGCTTGCCAAATACCTTGTTGTCCAACTTACTGGCTCGTTGAATGCTTCGTCAAGGCTACTGTGCCAGTACTTGTCATTGGCCACCATGCTGGTCCAGAAGGGCTTCAACATGCCCCCAGAAATGAGTGACGACAAAGAGGGCCAGGGAGATTCACAGCCGTCCGATGGAATGGGACTTTGTGATGGGGAAGGAGAGAAAGACGTTTCAGACAGGCTCGAGTCTGAGGACCAGTTGGAGGGTGCCAGACAGGAAGGCGACCCTGAGGAGGAACCTGCTGACAAAGACATTCCAGTTGGATTTTTCTTATTTTAAATTATTATTTGTTTCTGATTAACAAGCACTTACAGGAGGAGGAGAATGGAGTTGAGGTCAGTGATGACTTCGAAGGAAAACTGCAGGACGAGGCCAAGAACAAAGAAGGTGGGGATGATGAAGACGAAGGTGAAAATGAGGGTGACGAAGATGCGGACAAACAGATGGGTGAGACCGGAGAGGACACTGAAAACTTGGATAAGGAGGTGTGGGGAAGTGACAGCGAGGAAGAGGAAGGAGAAATGAATGAGACGGACAAAGGGAAAGGCGAGAAAGATGATGTAGTGCCGGAAGTTGGTGCAGCCGAAGAGGGTGGCCCTGAAGGCACTCAGGAGAAGAAAGACTGGGACGCCCAGGATCAAAACGAGTTTCCTGAAGACCAAATTGACTCTCAGCATGGTAGGAAATTATTTTTGTTTATTCCAAGTCCACAATTAAATATTTAAATCTCCCTGAATTTAGGTAAAAATGAGGCGCCCCCTGAGCCAGAGGCGTTGGATCTCCCAGACGATTTGAAACTAGATGGAGACGAAGAGGAAGGAAACAATCAAGAGGAGACTGAAGAAAATCCTTTTGAAACTCAGGAACTTAAAGGTTCTCATGCCAACCAGTAAATTTGTAATTTATTGACCATTTTGTGTCATATTAGATATCAAGGAGCAGCCTGAAGTGGAAGAGAACGAGGAAACTGTAGAGGAAAAGCCTGGGGATGAAAACCAAGTAGACTCTGATGGTTCTGAAGACGAGGAGCAGTTGAACTTTGAAAATCCCCCTGGAAATGAGGAAGCTGGTGGACAAGACGAAGAGGACAAGGAGGAAAATAATCAACAGGAAAAAGAACATGGTTTTGATGAGAACGAAGAGGAAAGCTCTCCACAAGAAGATGAAAAAGTATGGTTTAAAAAATTAGTTGTCATGAACTAAAATTTTTGCCTCAGGAGCACGAGGGACAAAACAACGCTGAAAACGATAAACAAAAACCAGAAGCTGCGCCATCATCAAAGTCTCTCGACTCGGCTTCGCAAATGGATTCCACTTTTGAACAAAAAGTAAGTTCTAATGTTGATAGCTAAATTTTAATTAATGTGTAAATAATCCAGGACAGCAACTGGGGTGGAGAGGCTGATGAGGACAAAGGTCAAGAAGGGTTGGCCGAGCAGGACGAAGGCCACGCTTCTGCCTCTCAGAAGGAAAGTAAAATGGCTGCTCCGGCGCAAAAGCAGGAGGGTCGCCAAGAGCCGAGGGAGAGGAAAAAACCTGGGAAAACTGACGACTCACACACTTTGGGAGATACAAAGGAACCAGTGCAGAAGAAGCTGCGTTTAGCTGATGACATGGCCAAGGAAACTGGTCCGGAAGAAGACCAGGAAGATGAAGAGGCCATGCAACAAGATGTAAAAAGGCTGCCTTTTATAAATTTCATATTTTTCATTGGTTTAATAATTTACAGGGAGATGCAGATTTGCATCAACACGTCAAAGAGGCTAAGTCAAGTACGGCTCAGACTATGGACGCAGCTACTCAGGTAATAATTAGATTCACTTATTAAATAAATTTATTTAAGCTTAATTTTCTAACTATTTAGGAACAAGCAAAGGAGCAGAAGCCATTTGTCAGTGAAGATGGAGACAAACCTGAGGATGATGAAGAAATGGATGTTGTCGAAGAAGAAGGTGATTATTTTACCTCTTTTAATTTGCAAACTATTTTAAACTTTCATTTGTAGATGAAAAGCAAGAACAAGCACAAAAGGAGTTGAAATCCGAAAAGATCGGGGACAAAGACAAGTCGGAAAAAGGTCAAGATGGTCAACGATCCAAGGGTGAGGGTTCGAAGGAAAATGTTGAAGTGGAGGGAGAAATCGTTGGCACAGACACTGTTCCCCGTGGCGGTGTCTGTTCTGCTCATACACAGCTGTTGGACAACAGTGCAGTGCCCGAGCTGAGCCCTGAAGAAGTGCAGGCACTTCGAGAGCAGCTTGAGCAGCAACTGGCCTCATGGTCGGCACCACCAGCAGGCATTGAGGCGCTGCAAACGTGGACCCAGTTTTTGGCAGCTACCTCTGCCCTGGCCAGAGACCTTTGCGAGCAGTTGAGACTTGTCCTTGAACCCACCCAGGCTGCTCGGCTGATGGGCGACTACCGAACTGGCCGCAGAATCAACATGCGCAAGGTCATTCCATACATTGCCAGTGAGTTCAGAAAGGATAAGATTTGGCTGCGGCGGACCAAGCCAAGCAGGAGGAAGTACCAAATTGTGCTGGCGCTTGATGACTCTTCCAGTATGGCCGAAAATCATTCCAAAGAGGTGAAATTTTTAAATAACTTTCAATTTAAAACTCAATTCATTTATTCCAGTTGGCCTTTGAGTCTCTGGCCTTAGTCAGCCAGGCCTTGACATTGTTGGAGGCTGGGGAATTGGCCGTTGTTAGTTTTGGAGAAGAGCCTAAAATTTTGCACCAACTCGAAAGTACATTCAATGAAGAAAGCGGAGCTAGGTAAAAAAATATAAACATTGGATGGTACTTTTTGGTACTTAATAATCCTTTTTCTCAGGTTGCTGCAGCAACTGAGTTTCGGGCAGCGCCAGACTCGAGTGGGCAGAATGGTCAACTTTGTGACCTCAATGCTGAGCATGGCTAGCAGGCAGGCCAGTTCTGGCAGCGAGTTAGCGCAACTCTTGTTGATCGTCTCGGACGGACGAGGAATCTTCAGCGAGGGGCGGGAAGTGGTTGAGCAGGCAGTCAGGGCGGCCAAGGAGGCAAACGTCTTCATCATTTTCCTAGCCATCGAAGACCCGCACAGCAAGGTATATAGAGAAAGATTTCAATGAAATTTGCGTTGTTTTCTTATGAGAAATTTTGCGTAGGACTCGATTTTGGATATCAGAATGCCAGTTTTCCACAACGGGAAGCTGCAAATGATCTCATCTTACTTGGAAAACTTTCCCTTCCCGTACTATTTGATTTTGAGAGACATTGAGAGTCTTCCGACAGTGCTGAGTGATGCTCTTAGACAGTGGTTTGAACTGGTGGCTGCAGACGTAAAAAAATAAATCAATTAAAGATTCTGAATGAACTGCTGTCAAAGAATGCGCAAGAAATTAAATTTTAAATTATAACATTGATTTTCATTGACAATCACTTAGTTATTTAGTATTTTTCAGTATTAAAAAAATTTCAATAATTAATTATTAATTTAATCATTATTTTGATCAAACGAGGGGCTACTTTTGTAAATCGCATAAATAAGTGAAATAAGTCTCCAAAATTGAGCCACCAATGGCAACAAGCCTTCAAAAGACAAATAATTTTGTGTTGCTGTGTGCTTGTCGTAATACGATAGGAGATTCTCAATAAACGCGTTCAATAAAACGAACCCCGCGAAACGTGCATTGGCCGGCAAAGATCATTGCTATTATTCCACTTTCCCGCTCAAAGAAAGGACCAAGATGGCGTTGAAGCGAATCTTCCAAATCCGCGGGCTGCACGAGCAGAGATGCGACGTTGCCGATTTTTCAGGCAGGGGTCGACTGGAGAGACAGACAGGACTGGGAACAAAAGTGGAATTCAGGCCGACTGTTTTTGCGTCTCGGCGGCGATTCGGCACGGGATTCGGCGACGATGGTGTGCAGCGGGCCGAGTTCGTGACGTCCCACGCAGCCTTCAGCGCCGAACTCGTCGGCCCGATGCTCTAGGGCGGCCCAAAAGCACGGCTCTTTTCGACGACATTGATGGATCTCGTCTGATCTCATTATGGTTTGTTGATAATTTAAAGAAACTTCGGCCCATTTTGCACACTCTATTTTTGCATCAAATACATTATAACGTTCCTCTTTGCTGAAATTATTATTCATAATTATACATGAATCCTACAAAACACTTTAAATTAAATACATCTTAAATTAATTTAAGGAAAAAATAATAGTATCATGCAAACATATAAAAGTTTATTTGCAGACTTTATTTGGTTAGGATTTTGACATTTGTATTAGTCATATGATCACGCAGTGAAATTATTGAGTTTCGATCGAGTTGGTTCACCATCAAGGTCTTGCATATCGATGAGAAGAAAATTGTTATTTTTATTTCAGGTCACTCTCTATCTCTACTGTTGCGTGCAAATTCAAATGTGTGCCGCTGCTTTCGATTTTTGCCCTTTTAAATCTTAACACGATTTTGATTTTGGCAGGTGCAGCTCGGCGACTCTTGGGGCACATAGGCTCAGATGCCAGGCTCAATTAGTACATTTGGCGTAATTAGTAGCAGCATCGCACCCCTCAAATGGGAAACTGTTTCTCATGCTTCAAAGTGCCAGCAGCTCCGCCTCCGTCTGCAGAACCTTCAGCCGATCCTGCCTCTTGCAAACCACTGCAGGAAGCCAGCGATCAGGAAGGTAACATCTTCAATTTTGAATGTATAATTATTCATTTAATTACTTGTGAGCAAGCAAGTATGTCAAAATGTCACGTCGCCCGGAGGAAGTGCCAGATTATGGCTTTTTAATTCTGTTTTCGTGAAAGTATTAATCCATAATGCTTTTTTTGCTATTTAAGCGAAAGAATAATCCATAAATTTTTCTAGAGATTAAATTAAGGAAGCATCCGAAGCCTTGAATATTATTTATTGTTGAACATATTTTGGATTTCGAAAAATTCACAAGCGATTTCTTTTTTAATAATTGTATTAAAATCTCAAAAATATTTCACAAGAAATATTAATTTTTGTTCTATCACAATTATGTTTGATTCAATTTTAAAATCTGTCATTTCTATTAAAAAAGATCTACAGATTATTATTATTATTTAAAAAATTTAATCGAATTACTCTCAATTTTTAGATGCTGATATGGACGGAGGCATGACTGAGGTGCTGCATCGGCAGCTGTCGGAGAAGCGGGCGAATGAATTGGCGCAGAGCAACGGCAACAGCAAGTTGCTGCTGGACGGGTCAGTGCGGATGTCCAGCGGTTCACGGACGTTCTGCCGCATCCCCCTGGGCGGCCGGACGGGCAGCGACAAACAGCGCAACGGCAACAACAACTCACTGGTGCGCTCAGTGTCCGACAGCAAAGTGGTCGCCCTGTTCGAGCAGTACAAAGATGGCGCCGAGGATGCCATCCTGGCTGACGGCATCGAAAGGCTCTGCCTTGACCTCGCCGTCCGGCCCGACGAGTTCTGCGTCCTGGTGCTGGCGTGGCGCTTTGAGGCTGAGCAAATGTGCTGCTTCACAAGGTAGCAAGGAAATTTTGTTCAATCGCGTTTTAAATAAGTATCAAAGCATAAAATATTTCATGAAGTAATGAATTAGCAATGGAAAGGAAATTTCCATGGCTTAAAATTACAAAATGAAGCTTTCTAATTCTAGATGAAATTGTTAAATTAAAAAAAATAATCTTTTAAATTCTAAAATGAAACTCTTTTACTAACAAAAAAAGTAAATTTTTATCCTTAAAAAATGAAACTGTTGAACTACTTACTAAATAATATTAACTAAAAAAGATTTAATTCCACAGGCAGGAGTTTGTGACGGGGTGCAGGACGATCAAGGTGGAGTCAATCCGAGGGATGCAGGCGCGGCTGCCCGAGCTGTGTCGGGAGGTGCAGCAGGACCCGGAGCTGTTCAAGAAGCTGTACCGCTTCACCTTCAAGTTCGGTCTGGACCCCGAGCAGCGCATCCTGCCGGCCGACATGGCCATCTGCCTGTGGCGCCTCGTCTTCTCGCAGGACGAGCCGCTCATGCTGGACCGGTGGCTCAAGTTCCTCGAGAAGCACCCTCACGTGCGCGGCATTCCGCGCGACACGTGGAACATGTTTTTGAACTTTGTGGAGACGGTCGGCGAAGACCTCAGTTCGTACGACGATGCCGAGGCCTGGCCCAGTTTGTTCGATGACTTTGTCGAGTTTGAGAACGACCAGGTCAACCAGAACGTCACCAAGGCCATCAGTTGCGATTGAACGCTCGCCAAAAAAATACAACTCGACTGACACGCGCGCGCATTCTCTCACAAACACACACGCATTGTACTGAAGTGCATTCTCATCAAAATTTCCGCGCCAGGTGTCCCGTTCCGCCACCAGAAAGTGCCCAAATAGTCCGGTTATTCAAACTAAATAACTTTTATCTTTTATGAAAGTGGATATAAATTAAAATCTCGAAATGGAAAAGAATCATTAACAACTGATTTTGATAAGCACAAGCTGTAGAAAAACTGGAAAAAAACTTTACTTAATCAAAAAAATGAGGATTAAATTTTACAGCAAATCTTTCATTTCTTTTCAAAATGAAAATGTTTCAGGATTTGAAAAGTTAAAAAAGAGCGCTTTCATTTTTCTTTTATTTAACTAACATCATAAGTTTTAATCTAAAGTTTCTTTTGTTGTATGAAGGAAAGGATCTGATCAGGTTGGGGAAAAACTATTTCATCGACAAACCTTAACAATTTCAAGGGAAAATATTTTCTTAGAAATGGAAATGGTATTAAGTGAGAAAATATAATATTGACTCTTTACATTTCCAAGGTAAGGGGTTCATATCCACTTTCAAAAATAATTTCTTTGAAGTAAATCGATCAATTTCATCTTTTTATTTAATTAAGAACGCATCTAGAAACTGAGGCGGTCTTGAAAAAGCTTGTCAATTTTGGTATATATTTTTTTTTGCACCATTTGAATTTTTTACAACAAAATAACTGGAGTGTTGTAACAAAAATTATTGGACTAGAGGCAAACCAAAGAATTCCCAAATTAATAATAATGACTGTAAATCAACTGGCTCCCAATAATTTTAAAACGTTTCCAGAGTAAACAGAAGCTTTGATTACATAAATTTTCTCCATTTACATGTGGATCCCAGAAAATTTTTTCATTCACTATTGTAATATTCGTTGAGGAAGTCAGTTGCTCAACTAAAAACTAAAAGTGTTGGTTATTGTGAGAACGGGACACCTTTGATTAAATCGTCGATTAAATGATATTTTGATACATCACTTGATTTTAAATCTTTCAACTAATGCTCAGTCAAGCACGATTGAATGTTACATTTTATTTCTCGAGCAAAGTTTGTCCGAGGGAATGCATTTCACAGTCCTAAGAAACCCTCCAAGTCATTTAAACGTGTAATTCCAACTTTTTTTTCAAATAATTGTGATGACGGCATATAAATAAATATATATATTGTTTGTAAGTTTACTTTTGTGAAGATTGGCAAAATTGTGCGCGTTTTCATTTTATTTGACTCTGAAGAGATTCGAAACAAAAGCACCATACGCCATTTGGAGAAGCAGAATTAATTAAAAGGACCACACCACAGGCTACAAGATGCTTCATATTTTCTCAGGGTTATGATTTTTCTTTCTGATTTTGCACGCAAATTCAGCTGCGTGCAGAATCACAAACACTAAAATTAAGAGAAGGTCCTTTGCAATTTTGTTGTAATCGACTGACAGGCGTTTCATCCAATTATCTCCGAAGGGCTAGGGATATTAATACTAAAGCTAGAGGGCTTACTTTCCTGTGTTTATCAAATATAAATATGTCGTGTACATGGATACATTTAATGTGATATGCAATTTTAAAATAATAATCATCATATTCTCACGCAAGAATGATTGAAAAATTCAATGTATCTCATTAAAAGTTATCCTCAGTAGTATTTATCGCACTCGAAATTGTTCACTATTTTGTTGCTTCGGAAGATTTTTATTCGAATAAACGTGTAAAGTTTGCATCGATGAACTATAAAAATTTGTTTGTACATAATAATGGCTGAAATTTGATTGTTTGAAACGCAAATGACTTATGATTTCAATTTATGTTGGAGAAACTGCAAAATTTTATATAAAAAGGTATTGTAAATCTCAATTGTGGACACTGTAAATTGAATATATTGAAATAAAATGGCAAACATTATTATTTCACAAAGAAAATATGCCTCTATCTCAATTAATTGTTGAATTCCTTAATTAATTATTTTTTTACATGCGCGTAAAAATTAAAAACCTTATTTTCTAAAATAATTTTTGCGCCAATTATTTAAAATAAGTTTCGTGCTTTTAGGCCATCTCAAGAGCTACATAAGACAAGACAAGGAAATACAGTATAATAATCTGATGTGAATATTTGACGAGATTGAATAGATATTCCTTAAACTACTCAATTTTGCAAAAAGGCAGTCATATTTTCCCCCTAGGTTGAGTTGAGAATACCATTATGTGCCGTTTGCAGTTTCATATATGGATCCGTTTATGGTTCATTATCATTATTTCAATATCAATGAGCTCCTGGGAGATTCAGACCGCCCGCTTCCATACGAAATTTCAACCTGAGTGGTTCATACTGTCAATGCGTGGTCATATTTACTGAAGATATTATTTTGAAAACTTCTTTATTTTTAACAAAAATTATTGAATTTTTAAATTTCATCTTGAAATTATTGATAATTTTTATAATATTTTAAATTAAACATTCGAAATTGACTCGTTAAACTGAGACCAATTTAGTCCACCAAAATTTTTATTTTACGAGATGTGACCAAATGTTAAGAAAACGCCACCTATTATTCGATTCACCAACTACTTTTTGTAGGGCACGTTGAAAAGCCAGTGGCGGCAATTTCCTGTAAAACCCTTGCCCTCCAGATTGGGGGTTGGATTCCCACGCCAGGTGGATTTTTCTCAGGGGAACCTGAGTGATTTCTCATTCTGGGACTGCGAGTCAAGGGTCAAGGGGTATTCTTTGCTGAAGTCGGCCGTGAGCCGCAGGATTTCATGTTGAGAGGGGTACACGTTGCACCCCAGTTGTACAAAAAAGCGTTTAATACAATTAAAATCATTATTTTATGTTGTACGCAAATTTTTTTCAATCAAGGAGGAAATTATGAATCTAGTTATTTCCGGTTATTTCATAAAAAAATTAACTCAACTCGAAGATAAAAGTTCACACGTTCTTGGACTTCATGGTAAATTGTCAAATTTCATGGATTGCTTGTGCTAAAAAATTCATCGCGCAGAAGTTTTGCAAAAAGAGGAGTCGCAATTACTTCCCAGGTTGAGCAGATCATATTTTCATACAAGCCACATAGCGCTCCTGGGAAATTCAGACCGCTCGTCAATGTGTACTGGTGGATAGAAAATATTGTTTACTCTTTTGTACACTCTTTTGCTGGTCGTATTTGTGCTTAAAAATAATTTTAATGACGCTTAAAGCTTGAATTACTATTTTTGGTGTATAAGAAATTTTTTCAAATTAATGTAGTTTTTTAATTTTATTAATATACGTTTTTTTTAATTTTACTTAAATTATGACGACAATGAGCATAATTGGCACGCTGACTTATTATTCCGATGGTCTAATGAAGCGCCATATTACTGGACGAAACGCCATCTGGTGTCTGAATTAGGAACCATTCACGCACTAAAGGCGGGCGAAAGACTGGCAAGACTGCTTGTGCGTCTTGTCTGCTCGACTCCTTCCTATACCCACACCCACGCTTATTATTTAATCTTTTCCAAAACAAAAAGAAAATTAATTTCTAGATTTTAAGTGGAAACTCGCCCTGTGCGGAAAACTGGCAAAAACAAGAACTTATAAAGCTTTAACTATTATAATACACATTCATAGCCTAAACAAAATTAAGTGATTACTAAACATGACGCAGCGACTGAGCAAACAAAGAAGCAATTTGGTGGCATTTAATAATGGCTCGAAATTCAATCAAGTCAGTCGCCAGTGGTGCGTCCAGCCGAGGAATTCACACCACAGGAAATTCAAACAATACAACTTATTTGTCTTCAAACGTGAGTAAAATTTTTTAACTCATTTCTCATTTCAAATTCTGATTTATAGAAAATTACTTAAAGCAAAATAAAATATTATTTAATAAATTGCATATTTTTTTTATTTTATAATGTTTTATAAGACAAAGTAATTTTATTTTAGCAATTTTAAATGAAAATATGGCTGAATTTTTTTCAGACTTATTTTTAAATATGTCAAATTCCAGGATGAAAATGGACAGAATTTTAAAATTGCTGTTGCTGTGGATTTTCGGCGTGTCGACGACTGTTGGCCAGAAGGACGAGATGCTGTACGAGTCGCCGCTGTACGTCATCAACGTGTCCGGCATTACCAAGGTGGCGATCCACCGCAGCAGGGTGTTTGTGTTGGTGCCGTCGCAGGAGGTGCCGCTGCTGGAAATGTCGTGGCTGCCGCACGTGCAGCACGTGGCTAAGCTGCGCAAGACGCCAGTGAACGCGTCCGTGCGTCGCTGCCAGGGTCTGGTGCGTCCGGTCGATCTGCAGACCGACCCTTACGGCCGCCTCTGGCTGCTCGATGCCGGTGACGCCAAGTGCGCGCCCAAACTGGTTGTCTATGACATCCTCTATCACCGGCTGGTCGAAAACGCCCGGCACTCGTTTGACCTCGGACTGCAGGTCGAGCACCTGACCATCGACCCTGGCGCCACCAGAGGCGTCACCCTCGCCTACGTTGCCGGAGGGGACAAGATTTTGGTTTACAGCTACTACCAGGACAGGCACTGGAACGTTAAGACTGTGCTCAACGAGACCATTACAGGTATTTAATTAATAAATATGAGGTAATCCAGTAGTAGTGACATTTAATTAAAGGGTGTCTAAATTATTTATTTATTATAAATTTAGTCGGAATTAAAAAAAAAAATCAAGTCGCCAATATTGCGGGGGGATGTCTTTGGCCGATCCGATATAGCTTGATTTGTTTTTCTGAAATTTCCACGGTGACCTGTAAATTAACATGCCTTGGAAATAATTTGATTTAATATAAATTTATTAGTTCGAAAACTAGTATAATGTACCCTTAAAAAAACCCCTCTTAATATATAGCGCGGTAACTGTACAAAAAACGTATTATTTTATCAAATAAAAATCATTTTCATCACCTAATTTATCAGAAATACACTAGTCAAAAATTAAAATTCAAGGTATTGCCTTAAATCCCGGGGATGCAGAGCACAGGACGACCCTGCTGGTGTTGGTGAACCACTTGACTGTCTACCAGATTTTCACGTCCAGGTTGCTGGAGGGCTCGGCGGGCGTGATCGAGGCCGGCGAGTTAATGGGCCCCAGTTTGGCCGGCCTGACGAGTGATGGCCGCGGCGGCGTTTTTTACATGCTCAGCCGGGACTTTGTGGCCGTTCGCTGGAACAGCCGCTTGCCCCTGCAGGCCGAAAACCAGGAGATTTTGCTGCAGAGCGACCGCGTGCTCTTCAACGTGACGTCCTTCGTGACCGACTCGAACAGGAACATTTGGGGGGTGGTCAACAACGGCACCGACCAAATGACCTGGTGCGCCAAACTCACCTTCACTAGCTACTGATCTGATTTTTTTTCTGTATGGAAGTGAAAAAAAATATCTCACAAAATAGCAAATACTTTAATATTAAACATCAAAGAGGAAAATAAAAAAATTAGTTGTTTTTATAGCGTGTTGTAATTTTAATTAAAAAATTTAACTTATAAATGAATTTCACTGCTTTTATTTTTTTTCCAAAATAAAATAAAATTGGAGTTTACCACTCTGGTTCATAAAGCAGAGTGCTAATTCTGTGCTCAACATTTCTCTTGCCGGTTTGGAAGAAGGCAAGGTAATCCGACTCCAAAACCAGCATCTTTTTGCTGGCAAAGTCCGGAGCGACGCAGGTGGCAAGTCGTCCCTCCGTCCCGCCGTACACCCGCTCAAAGTTCTCCTCCCTGAACTGCTTGCTCGAGTCCCACAGGTACACCTCAGGTCGGCCGTCGTACCTGAAGAAAATGTTTCTCCCGCCGTCCGTGCCCAAGAAAAGCGTTCGGAAGGGTTTGACGCCCTTGACGATCACGCGTCCGGTCGATGACCCTGTCCGAAGGAATTCGGTGCGAACAGTGAAGACGAAGGGCGAGCTAAGGTAGGAGAGGAGCAGCAGGTTTGAGCCGTCAGGGTTGCGCAGGAGGGCCAGGTATAGAACGTCATCCGGAGAGGTCTCGAGCTGGACGACGTCCGGCAAAATGACCTTCCAGCCCCTGGCCTTCATCACGTCCCACACGATGATGGCGTTGTTGGCCGAGTCACTCACGTAGAGAAAAGTGTGTCCAGCGTTAGACTGTCCGACGGCCAAATGGTCAAGGCGGCTGGGCGTGAAGTGGCCAAAGTCGATGAGGCGGTGCAGCCTGTTCTTACCCAGCTCGACCACTACTACCTTGGCCGGACAGTGATTTTGCGCCGATGAAAAGTCGCCGCTGTCCAAAATCCACGCCAAGTTCTAATGAGAAAATCGAAATTAATTTTGAATTTCTAAAGAAAATTAAACTTAAGGGTATTTTTTGTGATGATACCTAAAAATATTTTTAGAAAATAATATTGGTTCTTATATACTGTTTTTCTGGCTTTTTGAATAAAACTTTAAAAATACAGTTTAAATAACATTTAAATTAGTGCTTTTTGTGGCAAAAATTTAACTCCGTCCTTCCCAATTGCAAGTTTATTGAACATCAGTTTAATATTCAATGAATTAAAATTTAATATCTCTCTGCCCAAGCCAAGATTTTTTTAATTAATTTAATTGCAATTAGTAACTTCATTTAAATTATATACTATATAAGTAAAGACAAGTTTTTGGTCATTTTCACGCGAATGGTCACATGGTTTTGAATGTGAGGCCGTTAGCAACTGTGTTGAAAAGTAGACCCGTTTGCTTGTAATTGGTAATTGCAGGCAATAAAGGCGGCTTTTTCATTATATATTTTTTATTTTTGCTGGATGTGAACTTACTCTTTTAATTTGTCAAAAACCTGTCTTGGTAAAGCAAGTTTGGTCTCAAGTCTCAAGATACTTTTTACTGCCCCTGTAAATTGTCGGAAAAAAGAGAGCGTTCAAAAACTTACATTTGAAGTGATGGAAATGTCGGTCGCGTTTCTGACGCCGTCGCAGAGTCTGTCCTGTGGGTTGTCCCAGTAAGGAAGGGCCCTCCAAAGGAGCTTTGACCCTCCATTTCTGAGCAAAGTTCTAGCAGAGGTGATCGGAGCGCCCGGTTCAAAGCATGGAAACAATACAAGTGCCTCTTTGCTCCAAATCTGAATTGCAAGGAAAAAAATAATAATAAAGAATTATCAAATTTTTATAATAAACTATGAAAGTAATTATCTTCCTTGGTGGGAATTAAAAAAAAAATAAAAGTAAAAAGAGATCGATTATTGGAGATGAGTTTAAGATGACAAGATTTTGTTGTACAAATGTTTCAGTTACCTGGAATTTGGTGGCCAGAGGATTAGTCCTGGCGAACCTGTCCTTAATGTTCTTTTCCTGGAGCGACCGGATGTAGTACTCAGCCACCTGCGTGCCAGGAAAGGTCAACAAGCCCGACGTGTGCGTTGCTGAGCCGCAAAAAATGGAACCTATGGTCACAAAAATGAAAAGAAAAATTTCCATTTTCAGAAACGTCGTTGGTATAAAAGTGCAAAAAGCAAAGTGGAAGGAAAAGACGAGGTGCTTATTGGGGACAATGTTTGGCTACGTTTGCAAAAAGTTTCAAGGCTGTGACCGAGTAAAGAAAAACATCAACAGCTCAACTTTGTTGCATGCAATGCACGCTAAAAATTGCGGCGGCGCATAATTTATAAAAGATTTTAATCTTGCTATTTCAAGAATGGAACAATAGTTTATTGAGAGCCATGCAATAAATCCCCTCCTTATTACTTGAACTCAATCCTGGCTCCTTGCTCTGTACGTTCATTAAGGGGGAAAAAGTGACGTTTTTTTAGGTCTCACGTGAGTCGGCACTTCATTTGGGCAAAACGAGTATTACAAACTATCGCCTCGCTTGCAGAAAGTACTCGCAATTAGATAATACTCTGTTCCCACTACGACTGGGTGCGGTCCTGATCAAGACCTTATAGCAACAAAGGCGACGGATATATGAAGTTGTTTCCTTACACAATGCGGTAGAAAGTTTTTTTTAAATTCTCGCGAACCTTCATAAAAGAGGAATTTTCTTCATTGGCAGTGCGTTCAAGAATCTTAATTGGATACTTAAGCGCTTATTAAACGCAGGGTCTTTTAATAATGCAACTTAATATGAAAATAATTGCAATTCACCAATTTTTTTGTTCCGGTAACTGCTCAAAGACGTGGACCATAAAACTTGCAAAAGAAAAATGAGCTTTTTTTGTAAATTTTTTCAGCCAAAATTTTCAAGTGTATAGGAAAAAAATTGCAGTCATTGAATTTCTTAATTTTACATTATTTTTATAATAAAACAAAATTTTTTTAGATTTTTTCCCTCTCAAAATAAACGTTGACATTCAACCAAAAATTTAGCAAACTGATGCTACTAATTTTTAAACAATGTATAATAAAAAAAAGAAATCTTTATAAAGTCCGCATCTGCCAAAAATGATTAAGCCATTTTTTTTAATAAATTTAAGTGAGAAATTTTTTTCCAAAAAAATTTTAACATATATTGACCAGTGAATTAATTATCTACATTAATTTTGGAGCAAAAAATCAGTTCAATTAAGCGCAGATTACCTGCGCCAAAAGTTGAACAAGATAATTAATGTCGCAATAACATTTCAAACCGGCATTTTTTTCTACACCTTCCTGGCGAGGATCAAGGTAAAAAGAGTGGATGTGGAGCACACATTACATTATGCATAACGCACCATGGCCTAAAAAGTGGAAGCCTTTCAATTCAACGTAAAAAATTGACCCCAGAACAGGTTCGTTGCTCAATTCCGGGCCCAGCCAAAGCGAGAGCTGGGAAAAAATCTCTGGGTGCATGAAAAGTGGCGAGCAGGTTCTTTTAAAGGCCGGACACTTCTACTTTTTATCGCAATTACAAGCAACGAGAAAATTAAATTCAATCCAAGTGAGTTGGGCAATTTTTTCGCGAGTGCTGCTGGCTAACAAAAAAGTCCAACATGAATCGCCATAAGTTGCTCCGAATCGATAAATTTTCGTTCATTGAACAACTTTAATTAAGCAGGTTTTCACCTAAAATTTACTTCGCAAGTTTTCACAAAATGCAAATGACGTCGGAACTATTCCAATTTACGCCAATAAGAGATTTTTTAGTTTATTACTTTCGTAAATTCTCGTTTACTTTTACTTTTAAAAATACTTTCTAGATTGAAAGGGTTGAAAATATGCACTTTCATTATTTAATATTGATCAACAGTTCAAAAAAATAATAAGAATTGACTAAAAACATGAAATTTAATATTATGTTAAACTAAGTAAATGGTAGGTGCCGCAAACGAATTAAATTTTCGCAAGAAAAAAAAACATTTCTGCCAGTATTTTAAGAAAGAATGCGGAAGTTAGATTAATTACAAGCATAAAATTTTAAGGACGAATCACAATTTTCCACAGTAGTGATTCTCAGAAATGAAACAAATGCGGACAGATGCTTCTTTCTTTTTCTTTTGCTGGGAAAAAAGAAAAATCCTTGATTCAGGCCATTCTGCGGCTCTGCTTTGTTTTGCATTTTGGAGCGAGCGTGAAGGTTGTGAAAAATTCTTCTCACTTGCCGGCGCTTTTCTTGCGACGCATCCCGCGGATTTCAATTCAGATTTCAATCATCTTCTCAAGCAGGTTAATTAATTTTATTTGGACTTGAATTAGTCGCGCATCGTCATTTCCGTTCCAAAACAAACGTCCTGTATATGTCGTGAAATAGTAGAGAGGGAATTTGCCGCGACGCAGAAGTTGATATATTGTGCGGGAAATACAATGTTTCATTTGTACAACTTTTTGATCATTCCAAGAAACAGTGTCAAGGTGATTTGCTAAATAATTTTATTCCTTCAAAATCGCGTTTGTGGCAGAAGAGCAAAAAAATTCACTTTATACATCACAATTGCAATTTAAAAATTTAATTTCTTGCTCGATCGCTTGGTAAAAAATAAAAAAAAAATGAAATTTTAAACAAATTCTTTTGGCTATTATTTAAAAGAGTTTCAAGCTTTTGACGTTTTTGATAAATTAACGCGGTTTTTTTTACATTTGAATGATTTAACAATGGGCGAGATTTTTTTGAAAAGCTCAAGGGGTTAATAAATAATGTCTTTAAAAAAAGTGAGAAATTTTTTCGGTTTTGAATGTATGAAAAGAACAAAAGGCTATGCAGTGAATTATCGTGATTAAACCACATATAATATGAATCCACATGCACGAAAAGCGGCAGGAGGCGGTGGGTGGGGATTTGTACCTGATATCGGATGCGGAGAGAGTGGATTTTCAGTCTAGTGTTGCCTGCTAAAATACACAGCTGCTCGGCCAAGTGGCTTCAGTTCCGCACAGACTCCAGAGGACAAAGCACCTCCGGACACCGATCTTGACTGCAAAAGAATAGGTAGGCGTTTTCAAATTTCATAATATTTTCAAAATTAATGGAAATATTATATTTTTTTATTAAAGTAATTAAAAAATTTTGATTTTTCAATTTTATCAAAAGAGTTTTAAGTTTGGAGGAAAATTTAAATAAATTTAATGATTTAAAACATTTTGATCTTCCATTGAAAAAACTTATTTAATTTTGTAATCACATGAATTATTTTTTTAGCTTTCCTGCGTCAAAGTTTCTCCCGTACAATACTTTAACTTTTGATTAAATAATTATAAAAATGCAAATAAAGTAGTTCCTTATTCAAGGCTTCCCATTCTAATGTCAACTGGCGGATGTTGCATTTTTTTCGCTATTATTTATCCCGTTCGTTGACAACTAATCACCGTGAAATATTCACTCATGTTCTGTGAAGGCCAAACTAAATATTATGACCATTACAGGCGTGGTTAACTCTGCTTGTTTTTGATTCTCTTTTTTGGTTGCACAAAAAGCAGGATCTCGTGTTGCATTAATGATCGCACAATGTCTGACCTTCAATTTGCTCCACTTATTATCTCCGCACTCTTCTCACCAATTAACAAAATAAAATTGACTCCTGTACAAAATTTCAGTAAAATTTAAAAATGAGAAGATCAAGCAGCTTTCCCTGTTTGACACGGGTTATAGACGAAAGTGCATTTATTTATTTGGCAGCAAAAGGGAAATAACAGGGCATGTGTGCCGCCGACCTTGATTGACAAACAGACCATTGTTGATTTTCGCGCTGCTAGAGAGCAAAAAGCGGATGGTGTGAGCTAATAACAAATTGCACATCGACTCATTTAAATTCACTTCCAATTTGTCAAAGAGATAAATGAACGAAATCCGGTGCTTACTGATTAAGAACTTTTAAAGAAACACTTGGGGTTTTATTTCACAACGAGCAGCGAAAGCGCTCGGCAATAAATCACTGCGTGCGAGGGCGTGAATCAGAAAATCGGTCGCAGAACTGCTGGAGTAGGTGCGAGAAAATTTCAATTTTTCAGTAAGTTTTTATTAAACGAGTCACCTCAGATGCGTTTAAAACTTGAAAAATAAGGTGGAAAATCCATAATGCTTAACCCAAAATTATTGTTTGGTTTAAATAATTTCATTTGGAGGAATATTTTCATGGAAATTCAGATAATCAGATTAAAAAACTTATATGCAAGAAAAAAATTCACCTTATAATTAACCGCGTTTTTTTATTAAAGATTAAAGAGAGGATTTACGTTTAGTAGAAATAAAAAGAAAAGGGGCTGGTTTCAATATGAGACAACGCCCAAACGCAATTGTAAAAAGAAGGTATAACCTTGCCTCTAAAGGAATGCTTTTGGCTCAAAAAATTGACTTTAAAGCAAGTTCAAGGCAAGCTTAACGCATTAATTCATCATGCTGCTCGACCAGTTTCTTTACTATTTAAATAAAAAAATGTGGTTTTTACATTTGTTGGAAACCGAACTTTCAGAATTTTACATATATCTAGTCACAGCAAATGTGATGAGGACGATATAATTTCATTACCAGTTCTCAAGCGATCAATTATATAATTTAACCACGCGAAACTACGTCTTGTAACTTTCATTTCCACATCCACAAGCAGCTGACAAACAAATAAATAAGTTTGTTTCTGGAAGCAACCCTCGGGCCGAGAGAAGAACAAAGGTGTTGTAATTAATGCGCGTTTCGACAAAAATATCTAATCCAAAAATATAATTATTATTATATTTTTTTCAAAAACATGTGCAATTGTCTATTAAACAATATGCTCGCGTGCCTCAATCACGCAACCGGTTTTGCCTGGCAAATTATTTCCAGCAGAAGCACAATTAAGAATTAAGTCATTGTCTGCATTTTAAAAAAAAAGCCATAATTTCTCCTTGAAAAGCAGCACGCATAGTTTTGTTTAGGAATTGAATAATAACTGGAGGTGTGTCTCTTTTGACGCGAAGGCTCTTCTATATTATAACTTTGATAGAAATCATAGTCTGTGTTATGCCAGCACCTTGCGGTTTCACTTTCGTTCTCGGTGCGGCCACCAATATATAAAATCGAGCGTTCCAAACATTAAAATTCGGAACCATCTACTTTGGAGAGAAAAAAACACTATAATTATGCTTGTGCATGCAAAACCTTTCTCCTGCAGTGGGCGGCTTCTAGAGGCGAGAATTTGGCAATTAAATGCGAAAGTGCGACAACAAGTCGGACACCAAAAATGAATTAACGCGGAACAAGATGAACAGTTAGTCACGCAGCAGAGTGTGTCACCTCTTTTTAAGAAGGAAATTTAAGCAAAAATAAAAGCGAACGGCCTTGATTGCCTGGAATGAGGAAAAGTTTTGTCTTAAAAGCAATTCACATTCTGATCGTTATATGAGATAAAAAAACTCGTTGTTAAATTTGAAAAGGCGGGAAGCGAAAATTAAAAAATAAAAATTAAACCAGTTTGATGAGAAGACCTTAACTTTTTTATTTAATTTTCAGCTCTCCAATTTACAATTAGGATTATTAGCTTTTATTGGAAATTTTTCTGGTGCCATGCCAAAACCATATCACCTTTTATAAATTAAATAAAAACACAAACACATAATTAAATTAAGCTGGATATTATTTTTTGCAAGCTCGATGAAAATAAAATTACACACAACAAAGAAAAATATATAAAAAGAGTAAACCTTGTAACATATTATTTGAATGCAAATTAATTTAGTACGAATCGCCGGTCACTTTAATGGTCCTCGATGAAGTCACACGAATCGCTTTCTCTCCACGCCTCTGATTTTGTAGTAATAACGGCCTGAAGTTGAGCATGTTGCTCTCTCGTTGTCTCTCACACGCATATAATCGCCGTTGCGATCTCTTCAAAGACGGACAAGCCACTTCCACTTTCAAATGGGAAAAAACGCGCACCTTGACATCCAAAATCAAGTCGACCAGTCGTGCGGAAAAATTTTCGCCGATTCACTCTTTTGAGGAGCGATATTTATACGAAGCATCTTTTTTAAAACTTTGAATGGACAAAAATTGAGGAGTTATTTGAAAATGGGGAAAGCTGCGTCGCGTGACCTGAAAGCTTTAAATGCACACGTCAATAATCGGAAGATGACTCTTTGAATTCCGTCTCGAGTAGGTCATAATGCTATTTTTTTCCTGTTAAAATTGGAAATTGTGATTTTCAATGCGCGCCAATATTCTCTTCCGTGTGTAAGGCTAGAATTGCACACTGGTATAGAATTGCATTGCGGATTATAGTAGCAATCAAACAATAAAACTCAATGGGAAAAGTTCTCAATTCATTACTGTAGTAAAATTATTAGAGAGCGCGGTGCACACGCGTTTGCCAATGTGCGAAATTACACACGTTTGAAATAATTTTTCTTCAAAAGCTTTCTCGGTTTGCAAATTTTACAGCTTCATTGCATAACTATCGCAACTTTTTCTAAATACTACTTGTTTTGTAAATGCATTTGCGGTGACAGTCAGAGCAATTAGAAACTTGAAGATCAACATGTTTCCCACCAAATTTTTGTTTTATCAAAAATATTCACTGCTGATTAAATAATTTATTTTTACACCTTGACTTAGCTACTAAGAAGTTAAGTAAAGAAAAAAAATAATTATTTAAAAAAGGATAGAACCGAAGGATGTTAATTGTATAGTTATAATTATCTGCACCGCATGTAAAATCCTTTTCTAACTCTTTAACTTTAAAAAAATTTTATCGCATCCAAAAAAGAAAAGAAACCGCCAACGATGATTTTGATTCTTGGTTAGTCTTCTTGTTCAGCCGAGACACTCATTCATTGTCAAGTAGGTAGGTAGCTTAGGTGCCGACTCTGATCGGAGACTGAACACGAAATAATGGCATATTGATGGAAACTGAACATCGCGCCGCCGCGCTCTCACAGTGCAACGATTCATTATTTTGTCTCCGCGGTAATTTGATTTGTCACACGAGCAATTGCGGAGGGTTGCGGTAATTCAGGTGGGCCATTGTGCGGACACTGCGGACGAATTGGATTAATTTGCTGAATGGAGAGCACCAGGAAATTGCTGAAATTGAGAAAATTATCTCGTTTGGCCAATTTTAGATTTAAAGTGGCGCGGCGGGTCAGTGTGACGAAAGTTTTTACGAAATCAAGCGGCTAACACTTAAAGAAATAAAAAAATAGCAAAAAAATGACAGATACACATAAGGTATTATTAGCCAAGGACTAAACTGAAAGAAAAATATTTTTTGATAATGAGTAATTTTTTTGGTATGATTTAAAATTTATTGAGGGCAATCCAAAGAAGGCCTAACCTGAATCTTAATTATTTACTTCTATTCTTGTCCGAACACCAGGAAAAATTGAATCTTAAATTTATTTTTATTTTGTTTCAGCCATGCGGCTCCTCATCGTCATTCCTGCTCTTCTCTGCGCCGTTTCGGCCCAAAACTTTGGCTTCTATGGCCAACCTTCTGCCGCTGTCAGACCTTACACGCAAACATCTGGATTCAGACCGGCCCCTGTCAGCAATGCCGGCGCCTCTCCGATCCAACAAGTGGCCGCATGGACCTACCTGAACTTCGACGGTGTCAACCCTAAGCAGATTGTCCCTGAAAACGGCGTCTTCACCGGCATCCAGGTCACGCCCCAACGCATTTTCCTCACCCTGCCCAGGTCCCGTGAAGGTGTGCCCGCCACCCTGACCTGGATACCAAACAACGGAGTGCCGGTTGAGAATCAGCCCCTGCTGCCCTTCCCTGACTGGTCTTGGCAGCAGGGTCATCTGGACAACTGCAGTGGTCTGGTGTCCGTTTTCCGCTCCCGCATCGACAGCTGCGGCCGTTTGTGGGCTCTCGACTCTGGTGTCATGAACGCTCTTGATGGCAACCCCGTGAGACCTTGTCCTCCCAGACTCGTCGCCTTCGATCTCAAGACCGGTTTGGCCATTCGCAGCGTCACTTTCCCTCCTCAAGTTCTGCGCGAAAATTCCCTCTTAACCACCCTGGTTCTCGATGAAGAATTCTCATCCATCGGCAACTGCGAGAACATGTTCGTCTACATCTCCGACACTTCCGACCCTGGCCTCATCGTCTATGACCTTGGCCGCGACCTAACCTGGCGTTTCGAGCATCAGTCACTCAGACCTGACCCTCAGCAGGCCACCTACAACATTGCTGGCGAGTCTTTCAACCTTGAAGACGGAGTCGTTGGAATGACCATCTCCAACCTTGGCCCTGAACGCATGCTTTACTACCACCCTCTCGCCGGTCGCGCCCTCTACGCCGTGTCCACCAACGCCCTGAGAAACCCTGGCGTCCCCTCTCTGCCTGTCATCATGGTCGGTGACAAGACCTCTCAGGGTGCAGGCCTCTTTGCTGACTCCCATGGAGAGATCTACTTCAGCCCTGTTTCTGAAACGGCCATCGCCTCCTGGAACCCCAACACTGGCCTCCAACGCATTCTGGCCGTCGACCAGGAACGTCTGCAGTTCATTTCCGACATCACCGTTGACCAACAAGGTTCTCTTTGGTTCGTGTCTAACCGATTCCAGGCCTACTTCAACCGCAACTATAACCCTCGCGGTCTGAATCTTCGCGTCATGCGCATCCCGTTCGCCGCCAACGGAGCCCAGTTTGGCCCTGTTCACTCCGCGGCACCACTGTCGCCTTTCAACAACTTTAACTTCAACAACAGATTCGTCAGGAACACCGGAAACAGCACCAGAGTGTTGTAAATCAAAAAACGCATTCATTCGTCTACTAACGATTTATCAAAGGAAGGAACAACCCTCTCAAATTTTGGTCTCTTATGCTGTGCGTGGAGCAAAATTTGAAAGGCACGCTTCTTTCTTTGTCACGACAATGCTCATTAGCACATTGAATTAACTCCGCATCTTTAAATTGTAAATAATTTAGCAAACTCTCATCAACGCACGAATATATTTCATCAGACATCCACAATCAATCACGTCCTTTTTAAAATAAATAATTTTAACTGAAGAATCAATGTGAATTATGCCATATTGTATCAATCAAACATCACGCGTATTATGAGGTATTAATAATGTAAGAAAAAATTTACATTATATTGTTGGTGAGCTTTGAAAAGTGTTATTTAAGGCTCGTAGAATTGAAGGCAACAAAAAATTATACGAATATTATTTAAAAATACACATATGGCATCATTGAATAAGAGCAAAAGTTTGGTAAAAATGAGCGTCAATATATTTTAGATAATGAAGAGAGACTGACAAGCACCGAATTTTTTTATTTCATTTATCTATTTATAACAAGTGTATTGCTTAGGAGAAAAGTCAAAATGGTAATTTTTTTGGTATATTAAATTTTGCTTCTAGAATGTCACTAGCGTGTTGTTGAAATATTTCAGTAAATAAAAATAATACGATAGAAACGCAAACCCGTCTTGTTTTCTTTCACTACTTGCAGCAACCTTGCATTCGATTGAACGTATTCCAATAATAATTATCGTGGCAGTAAAATCGACAGGCGGTCGAAGGCAGCAGCGCGTGAAACAAAATCGAACCGATAATAAGTACTATAAAAATCACCAGCACTTGAGGAAATTTATTATTTATGCATGCCTGCTGCCGGTCATGCGCCGCTCCCTTTCGTTCGCGCTCCGCAGCGTCCAATTGGCACTAGTTTGTGCGGCTGCAATTATTTTTATAAGCACTTTCCAAGCGACCTTACTTGCCATGAGAAGTATGCGATAACAGAAAAGCGCTTACCAGGTGCACAAACAGAAAGGGAGATGCAAAATGTTGAAGACTAAAAATTCTGAACCAGTTTAAAAATGGAGTTCAGATTTGTGGCACCTGCAATTATCATTACTTTAACAAGTTGCTGCGCTCAACCAGCCTTGGAAGAGTTTGCATCTTGGACTTTCCTTGACTTTGAAAACAACTCAGCGGCTGATTATGTGCCAGAAAATAACGTTTTCACTGGAATACAGGTTAAGAAAATTATAGTTGCAAATTGTGTTTATTGATCTATCACAAAGGCAATTGCTGCCCATAACGGGATACATCATTTATACATTCAAAATTATACAAGTTAATTATAATTTCTTTGACGAAAATTTTCAATAAAATTTAAGTTTATTTGTTAATGGGATATTTAATTTTTTTTATTAAATTATATATTATTTCCGTTTAAAATGATTTTGTAGGTTTCAAAAGAAAGAGTGTTTCTATCGCTACCCAACCTCCGGCGTGGACAACCCGTGACCCTGGCCACAATCCCCGCGACCTCTGCAGGCATCAAAAACCCTCTCCTCAAACCGTTCCCAAACTGGCAGTGGCAAAGAGGAAGCAAGGACAATTGCCACTCGTTGGTGTCCGTTTTCCGTACCAGGCTGGATCCCTGCGGTCGCCTGTGGGTTTTGGATTCTGGCTCGGTTAATGTGATGGTTCAGTCTGAGCAAATCTGCCCGCCAAAACTGCTCACTTTCGACGCTGAGTCCGGAAAGGAACTCGACAGGGTCGTCATTCCCGAAAAACTGCTCGGATCGGACTTCCAAATGGTCGCCCTCGCCTTGGACACGAAACACAGTGACCAGCTTTTGGAAAGTTGTGACCACACGGCCAGCATGGTCGTTTACATGAGCGCCAATGTGGGCAACATGGTCGTCTACGAGAGGAAAACGCGCCACTTTTGGCGGCACACACACCAAACTTTCAGTCCAGACGAAAAGCACGCAAATATCTCCATTCAAGGTACAATGCCGATTATTATAATTTTTTATTATAAGTGGAGAGCAATGAGAAAATCCCACGTAATCTGATCAGTGCTCACATTTTTTGCAAGCTTTCTCTAATAAGGAAATTTACTTATGTTTTGACTGACAGCAGATTTTTAATATTTTTTGACTCACTTAATTTTAGGTGAAATTTTGAACATGCCCGACGGAGTTTTGGGGATGACCGTGGGTTTCTATCGAGGAAGGAAAGTCCTTTTTTATCATCCGCTGGCTGGTCTGCAAATCTACGCCCTGCCAGTCTCTGCCCTCCAACTTCAAAAATCGCACCACCTGCGCCCTATCAAGATTTGGAAAAAGAGTTCTCAGGGCGCAGGGTTGATCGTCAACAACCAGGGTCACCTCATTTTCAGCCCTTTGAGTGAACTCGAAGTTTTATCGCTGGATTTTGAAGAGAGAAAATTAGAATTATTGGCGCAAGACGCGGAAAAGCTGCAGTTTGTCAGTGACATGGCATTTAGTCCGAGCGGCGATCTTTGGATTTTGGCGGACAAATTTCACGCGTACATGAATATGAAGTTCAGCAAAAACGGCACCAATTTGAGGGTGCTAAGAATTCAGGGTGAAAATAAGCCTCAACGGCACTGTAAAGACCTTTTTGTAGTCGACTGCAAGGGTTCCAAATGCTTTTTTAAATTATTTCCGTGCATTAAACGTTGATTTAAAATCTACACATTTAAAAAAAAGATGATAATGAACTTTTATAATTTTTACATATAAAAATTATACCACCTGCAACTAGAATAATGTAATAATTACATAATTGTTAATAAAATTTAATATTTTTTATATTTTATATGAAAATTTGGTATTTTATTTTAATTTTTCAAACTTCATAATTAATGAATATTTCTAACTGTCTTTATTTTTGGGAATTACAAGACGTCAAGCGTGCTAAATGTAAAATAAAAAATCTCAAGGGCTGACAAAATATTCAAATGTTTCTTGCCTCCAATTTAAAAAACTGTTAAACATGTCCTGATTTAGGGCTTATCGTAATGAAAAAAAATAATGCTCCTTTTACTTATCTGTCGCGTTATTTAGAGCAGTGCCGCAAAAGTGCAAACGCGGCGTCTGGCCGTAGGCAAAACAATTCGGCCTGAAGAGCCAAGTGCATGTCAACGGGGTTAGTGTCGCAATGGAGCTGCTTGCGTTCGTTGCACCACTAGTTTTGCTTTGCAGTTTCATCAGCCCCGTGCACTCCTTGTACGAATTTGCAACATGGACGTATCTAACGTTCGAAAACATCACCTCATCCAATTACATTCCAGATTATGTTATTTTCACCGGAATTCAGGCAAGTCACTAATTAAAAATACTCACAAAAATAAAACAAATAAAAATTGTATAGCATTTTATGAGCAAATCATGCATAAACAATACTCGAGCTGAAAAATGTTTTTTTTTCTTTGAAGAAAACAAATTTTAAAAGCAAGGAAAATACATGTAAAATTTTTTCAATAAGAGATTCATTTAAAAAAAAAAATATTAAAAATAATAGAATAGATAATAAAAATATTTAAATAATTTTAAAGTAAATTTCTTAACTATTTATATTATAGATTAAATAAATTTAATAAAAATTCATTACAAGATAATTTTTTAATCAAAATTTTAGGCCACCTCAAGTCGGTGCTTCCTGTCGATCCCGCGATTGTTTCCCGGCGTTCCTGTCACACTGGCCACAATCCCGTCAACCGGAGGCCCTTACAAAAACAAAGACCTGAAGCCCTTCCCCAATTTGGAATACCAGCTCGGTTTTGCCGATCAGTGCCAGTCGCTGGTGTCCGTCCATCGCTCCAGGCTGGACTCCTGCGGTCTACTTTGGGTGCTGGACACCGGCTCTATCAACGCCCTAGACTATTTCAGCCAAATCTGTCCCCCAAAACTGGTGGTTTTCGACGCCAGCACAGGTGTTGAGGTCTTCAGAATCGTTATTCCGGAGAACGTCCTGAGACAGGACTCTCTACTGGTTTCCATGGCGATGGACAGGCGGGGCACCACGAAACTCCTCACCTGCCCGCAGGCCGAGGAACTGGTCATCTACATCAGCGACGTGACTGGAGGAATCATTGTCTACGACCACAGCACCAGAACCTTCTGGAGGCAGGAGCATCCCACCTTCAAACCCGACCCTAAGTTCGCTAGCATAACCATGAATGGTAAAAATTTTAAAAGGGACATTGGTAAAAAAATTCTCATGAATGTGAATAAAAGACAATCTTATAACAAACGTTGAAATTGCGATTGAAAAATTCGCACCGGTCCCTATTCTTTGACCCAGGGGTTCATCGGATGTTCACTTTTTTCCGTAAAAACGAATTTAAAAGAGTCTTGATTGCAAATTCACAAATTTAATTTACAATATCTAATTATTCTACTTTTTTAATAGTAATATTATAGATTCGAATCTATGTTGTTCATGAAATTTAGCCTTCCTTCACATTCAGATGTATTTGAAAAAAAAAGATCAAAATATCCAACTTGAACATTTTTTTTTTTTTTTGCTTGATGAAGAATTTCTCCTCAAAATGCTATTCTACCTCTTAATAATTTTCCCTTTATTTAGTCTATTTTTGTTTCTTTGTTATTGCATCAGAAATTAATTTTTTAATTATAAAATTTAGGCGAGTACTTCTATCAAGAGGAGGGAATTTTGGGTATGCACGTTGGCTTGTTGCGCATGCAGACCAAAGTTCTGTACTACCAGCCCTTCTCCAGCAAGAACATCTACGCCGTCCGCACCGATTCCCTCCTGATCAAGGACAATGCTAACTTGGCGGTGGAAACGATTTACGAAAAAAGTTCCCAAGGCGCCGGTTTGACCGTGGATGCTTTCGGACGAGTCGTCTTCAGTCCGGTCAAGGAAAATAGCATCCAGGTGCTCAACACAGTCACCAACCGGACACTGCTGCTCGCCCAAGACGACGAAAAGCTGCAGTTTGTGGCCGACTTTTCCTACGACTCGGCAGACACGCTGTGGATGATTTCCAACAAATACCAGTCGTTCATTAACAGGTACTACAGCAAGGACGGAATCAACTTGCGAATCCTGCGGATTCCTTTCAGTCAGCAGTTCAGAGTTGTTTAACGCAAAAAAACCGGCTCCCTTAAAAGTTGCTTTATATATTCAGAATGATTATTCTATTTTTTATACAATAAATCGTTTATTATTAAATAATTTTTGCGACTCTTATTTATATAAGCTGGATTCTTGATTCTTCATAAATTAAATTTTCGGCGCAGAAAAAATTTAATCATATAAAAAAAATATATATAATTATGAATTAATATGATCACTGTAAAAAATTTATACTATGCACATTTTTCATTTTTATTGAAATTAGCTAACCATAATGTTTTTTTTTAATCATTTATTAAATATATAATAAAAGCATATTGGAAAGTTGAATATATCCATCTGATCAAAGTTCACAATGACTTCTTGGCCCATTGCAATTTTAAATTAGCGCACTCGCTCTTATATTTCCAATTGCCATTGCTGGAGAACAACGAAGGAGCCCATTGTCTGTCGAAAGTGTGAGAGTTCAGAAAATTACACTTTGCGGTCAGGACGGCCGCACGCCTTATTAGCATTTCAGTAATTAGCAGACGTTGCAAAAAAGAAAGTTATTTAATCACCTCAGATTAGGTACGAACGCTTCATTGCAGCAATATTATTTTTATTTCCATATATCATTTCGCGAGCAATTTGTTGGAATAATTTTGTCCTGCGCGAAACCGGAGAAAGGGACTATATTTTGTTGACTGCTGATTTTTTCTCACTTTCAAAAAAATAAAAAACACCAAATTTACTAACCTGACATTAAAGTTCAATCAAAAGCCCGGATGAGTGGAGTGTAATGTAGTAATAATTATTATTTAGGCACGCTCTGAAAGTGCACAAGACTAAAAAATAAGGAAACCCCAGGATATAATATTTATTATTTTTTGGCATAGCCTTTCACTTTAGCGCTCATGAATCTTCCTACGGGCAGGCGCCAGACGAAACGGTCCCAGAAAAAAAGCGTAATTGGTTCAAGAGTTATAAATCTTATATGAAAGAGAGTGTCAAGACCTTCCTATGCAGGTGCTCTGCTGTCTGTAATTTATGCAATAGGAGGGGGAAAAGAGATCCGTTCTTGCAATTTATTCCTGCAAAAGGTGACAAAGATCTTTTTTTGGATTATTGCACTTAATCGGGAAATGCCATTAACTCTAATTGGCAGTGAAACTACAAAAGAAGGAAATTTATAACTTTTATGTAACTGCAGACGGATTCGATTGAATAACTCACGTGTGTTTTATAATTTGGATTTTGAAATTTGATCTTAGAGCCCGGCGACGCAGACCTGCCTCAAACTTTCTCTGCTCAGGTTAGCGAACGTTCACCCTGGGCGTTTTCTGTGAATGTGAATTACATTCCGCTGCTCTGCGTAATCCAGTCGATTCTTTGGACAAGTGCAAATTTATGTTTTGTCATTTCCGTTTCTACTAAAAATTTCAATTTTTTCCCTTCGTTTTATATTTTATTTTATGTAAATCCCCAAGATATTTAAAGTCAATCGTGATGGTGCCCTTTTTTTCAATATTTCAAAATATTTTATAAAAAAGAATAGTTCATAAGATAAAAATTTGTTTCCAGTCTTATTTCATACAATTCTTAGCTTTTCAGCCTTTTCACATCATAAAATTGCAAACAAGGAGAGTAAGAGTCCTAATAGTTTTGGCATCAGCAAGTGCTTGACATTCAGAAAATACGATTGTTTTGGCTAAAATTAGTGGAACTTTCTTGCCAAATAACTTCTGCTTCTTTGGTTGTAAAAATTTTTTCTAAAAATAATCTGCGGCTGTACTTAATCAGATCTAAAAGTGAGATCTTAAAAATAAATTACTAATTGATCAAAATCCAATATCGAAATGAACCCTATTAAAAGCAGGGCGCGCAAAACTGTGCGTGCACCGGTGGTTTCCGTGGCGACCGAAATATGGATTAAATGGGCACGCAGGCGCACTGTATGCAACCCGCACAGCTCAGCTGCGGCAGCTGCATTCGCCTCCATGGATCACTGCGTGGTGAGTTACTTTTTCTGCAAAACATTACCAACATTTTCTTATACACACATATTGAGAAAACCCACACCTTGCTAAATTTCGTGCAGAGGCTCAAAAGTGTCATTCAAGGTAACAGGGTTCAATGAAATTTCCAGTTGTGGACCTGAAAATTAAACAAGATCTAGTTTGCCTCTCATTGTTCACCTGTTTTTGCTGCAGTTTGAATAACACTCACGCAGAGTAAAAAAAATTGCAAATGCGTTCAAATGAAACTTTCTCTGCGCTCCATTATGTCTTGGTTATACATATAAGCCTGGAGCAATTTGGGAGCATAATGAATTGTTCTGTCAAGTGCCGCCTTTACTAAATGCAAATCAGAAGCGCGAAATTTAATTATTATACAGGTGAATTGTTTTTTCCTATTTTTACATGAAATTTTTCAATTTAATTAATAGATTGACAAAAAGATTTTTTTGGTGAAATTTCAATTAAATTTTACTGGGCTGGATTGGGGAGTAAAATTATTTTAAATTAAATAGCATTAAAATCTGTTTCAAAATTTATTACTTGAATATTTTAAAAGCTATCCTAATTTTCAGCTTTATGGACGAGCTCTGAGAATTAATCAAGCAAAAAATGTAGCAAATAATGAAAAAACATTAATTGTCATTAAAATCACTTGAAACAAAGGGATATAATTATTAATACGTCGCTTTTTTATGAATCTCTAGTGAAAATTGTTTTCAACCACCACGGAGTCTGCGGTGCAAAAGGTCTTTGACCTCTTGTGAACCCCATAGCAATGAGTTCCGGATACCCAAGGACGTCCACCAGGCTACCCATTCAGGACATTGAACTGAACCTGGATCTTATCGAAACGATTCGCGCAGACACATCCAACTGCTCCTCGCCTGTCCGAACCACAATGCTCGGCAGCTCGTGGGTCTTTCATCAGGTATGATAAAAAAATCTGGATCATAAAATCGATCAAAGAACGAAGGTGAAATTAAATCGCTTTATGGCCGAAATGAAAGGTCAGCCGTTTGATTTCCGGCTCAAATTTCTTTTGTCAAGACATGATTCAGCGGAAGAAAGTGCGTTTGTCATCTCTTGAAATTTCACCGCGTGCGCTGAGAGTTAAAATTAGTTTTATTTTATGACTGCTTTATATTTTATTGTGAAAGGAGTAAGATGCACAGCCACACAAAACAAACATCAAACATAATAAATATCGTGTGCCGCACGCAAGGAATTGGCAGTTCACAATGCCATTGTTGTTAAGAAAAATAATAATAACGCCTCTAGCTGAAATTATAGAATTTTTCTAGATCAAGACGGGGGATAGGGTTTTGTAAAAACGTCCAAATGAGGAAATGACTTTTCGTCATTGTTTGTTTTAAAAAGAAAAATATATTGTATGCTTACAGTAGCTTACAGATTTAAAAAGAGAAAATTGAAATAAAACTTCATTTTTTTATTCACAATTTGTTAAAACAATCGTTGGTTTGAAAATTTTGCAATTAAGAATTAATGTAATTAAAATCAGTGAATCATTTGAATAAAGTTTATAGTATTATCTCCTTTACTACTCATTGTCTTCTAATATATAACTCATTTTTTTCTTTCATTTTTTTTTTCAAATGAAATATTACCCTGGTGAGTGTGGTTGTGATTAAGTTTCTGACTGGTTAAGATATTCAACGCCAATTGAAAAATAATACTTTTCACTCATTGGAGTAACACGAGCTGACTTTGTATTATTTTTAAATAACGGTTCTTCCGTAAAACCAACAAGCGCAGGAAAAGGTTGTGCTAAAAGTGCACTCCTTGCTGGTCACGACTGTCACGCTGGCGTGCACAACGTGTATATCATGGGACTCATTGTTTTTATATTGCTCTTAACACAGAGCGGGAGTGGCTTCGGACGTTTGGAAATCCGCAGATAGACGAGGCCGATAATTGCATGATGGAGCACATTTTCAAATAGCGAGGCACGAATTAATTTATCAATCTTTTATCTCCACCTACAACAAAGAACTCCAGACTAGACTAATTGGTCTATTATTATTTTGATCGGCCTCGTTAGAATTTTTAATTTCTTTCAACGCCTATTTGCTTAAAGTGATTTCTTTTCAAAATTGAGAGGCGAGGACTTGTGCGAAATAAATCGTGTGGGTCACCATATGGCGCAAAAAATACTCCCAAATAATAATGCAAGGACACGCGAGAGAACATGCAGATCATGATCGTTGCAATCAATACAATCGTATGCGTCTTGCAATTGCCAGTGAGAGATTTGAATCGAGGGCGAATTTCATTGCTTTGTCAGAGCGGCGGGTCATACGGTGGAAGTAGTTGAAACGCATAAACATACAACTCTGGTTCTAAACAAGTGTGCCGCGCACTCGCAGCCAGAAAAATTATATAATTATAATGCTTGTATGAAAGTAAAGGAACGACATTGAGAAATTGACGTGTGCGGGTTGGAAGTAGTGCCATTTATTCAAGACTGACTGAGTAGCAAAAGCTGCCGCTCTCTTGTTGTTTCATTAAACAGACAGAGAGAATTGTGTACAGAGGCCAATCGTGCTGAACTGAGTGTTTAGCATGTGTTGTTTGACATTTTCTTTGACAAAGTGAAAATACACCATTAATTAGTCTGGCTGTTGTAATTTAAATTCTTTCTTTTAATATAATTTGTTTAATCTCAAGTTTTTGAATAACTTAGTGAAGTTTTTTAGTCACCAACATGTAAAACAATATTATTTTTATAAAGATTTTTATATATATTTTTTTTTAACTGTACCTTTGAAAATGACAAATTATTTTCATTTTTAATGCAGCGAAAAATAATTCTGCTGAGCTGTCTTTTTCAGAAGCAAAAATGAAAAATACTTAACCTTATTAAAATTTAGAATTCTTTTACAAACTAGTACACCATTAATGTAATGTGAATTCCATACGTTATTAATTCAGAATCAAAATGGATTGTGAGACATGAAGAAGATTTTGTACCGATAGTATTTGAAATAATTATTCACAAAATTTAAATTAAAAATATTTATTCCGTCCACATTTTGTCATGCAAAAAAGAGCCGCAAGTGGCAGGAACAAGAATCGGCTTGCGCAAAATGCAAACGCGTGAACTTTGCAGCGAATTCATAATTCGTGATGTTTTTGTGTTGCATGCTCAACTGACCCAAATACCTTGCATGAGGCAACGAAATGAGACTATCACGCTGTTATTGCTGATGTTATTTATCAACTTTCGGTACATCAAATAAGCATATTTACTTGTATCATAAAGTTTGTTTATGGGATTCAAGAATATTAAGTAGGAATTTCTTCATAAGTATGCAGGAAAAAAATGTTTGAATAAATTAGTTAAAGCATAAAATCATTTTTCAACAAACAAAAAATGCTAATTGTGGAAAAGAGAATAAATTTGCCCAAATTAATAATTTTATTCAATTTTACAGTTAGCAAATAAATTTTGGTGAATATATTATGATTCTCCTAATAAAGTTAAAAAATTCCATTAATTTTCAACAATTTAAAATAAGAAAACAAATCAATCTCCATCAAAATACAATTCTGCTATAAGATATCAATAAAAGTGACGTACTAATTCAAATTAAAATAAAATTTAATCCAATATATACTTTTTTTTTAATTGTTTATCCCTTGTTTATACTTGAACAGAAACAAATTTATTGATCAATTTCGCAAAAATTAAAATTCTAAAATAATTTATTCGAAACCACATTTGATTATATTTGCAGCAAAATAGGGACCACCTGACACCGCCGACCACCCCCAGTCCTGACGACTTTCTGCCACACCCCATCAAAATGAACGGCATAGGACACTGCGCCCTGCACACGCCCCTGCCGCCGCCCCCAAAGCCCCCTCTGAAGGGTATCCCTGAGAAGGCGTCGTTCCTCCGGCTGCAGCAGGGCCGGCAGAAGCTGATTGTCGGTTCAGTCATCTTCCTGTGCCTGGCCCTGTTCCTCGGGGTCGGACTGCCCCTGGCCCTGGACCTGCGGGCGTCGCGGCTGCTCGAGGCGCGTCTGCAGGTCGTGCAGCGCATCCTGAGCGACGCGCCCCTCGTCGACGGCCACAACGACCTGGCGTGGAACCTGCGGCGCCGACGCCAGAACAAACTCTTTGACTTCAAGTTCAACTCGGACCTCAAGGGGGACCCTGCCTGGAACGGCGGCGGCTCCTGGTCGCAGACCGACCTCAACAGGATGCAGAAAGGACTGGTTTCAGCCCAGGTGAGAGCAAAATTCAAATTTTAAAAGTAGCACATTATTAATTAAATTGTAAACAAAGAATATTACAAACGTTTTTCTTGCAAAAAATACAAATTGTCGAATGAATAATTGAAACTTGAAAAAAAAGTTGTTTATTCAAATAATAATTTTAAATTTACAATTACAAAGGTGTGGAATATACAGAAATGCAATAACTTTTAAATAAATAGTATATTTTATAAAAAAAAAAACTGCGGATACAATACAAATAAAGCCATAAAACTATTTCAAAACAAAAAGAGTTTCAATTTAATACTAAATAAAATCTTACAAATGCAATTTATACAAAAACTGTATTGAAAATTGAACAATTAAAAATTTAGTTATCTTCATTATTTTTATTATCTTTTTTCAGTTTTGGTCAGCGTATGCTCCATGTGGGTCTCAATACTTGGACTCGGTTCAGCTCACATTGGAGCAAATAGACGTCATAATAAGACTGGTTGAAAAATATCCGAAGCAGATGCAGCTGGCCACTTCTGCTGAAGGCAAGAACGTTCAATTTTTAATTTTAATACAAATTCAATTTTTATAAAATATAGAAATCGAAAATGCACATCGCGTGGGAAAGATCGCCAGTCTGATCGGGGTGGAGGGCGGCCACTCTTTGGGCAGCTCGTTGGCCATCCTGCGCATCCTTTACCAATTGGGCGCCCGATACCTCACCCTGACGCACGCCTGCAATACCCCCTGGTAGGTGATCTTTTTAAATCATAAAGATTGTTACAAAAAATTTCCACTGTCAGGGCTGATTCATCGCTGGTAGACGAGGCTACTCTCGGACATAAAACGCTTATCCAGGACGAAGATGAGCCACCACTCATGCCTGTTTCTGAGCATGATGGACTCTCCGATTTTGGAAAGGTATATATGTTTTATAAACCCTGTATATTTGTATTAATATCAATTTAAATCTCTTTTTTATGACTATCAATTAATTTGTTATTATAATATATTCATTTCTTTTTAATCTAGCATTGAACTTCATTCAATTTAAATTTGCTCATTGTCAGTTATTTCTGTGCCACTCAATGTGATGTAATTGTTATAAACAGAAAAGGTCTAAATTTTTTCAGCTAGTCGTTCAAGAGATGAATCGGTTGGGCATGATGGTCGATTTGTCGCACGTCTCTGTCAGGACGATGGAGGCAGCCATGCGAGTGACAAAAGCGCCCGTGATCTTCTCGCACTCCGGGGCTCAGGCGATTTGCAACTCGACGCGCAACGTTCCCGACTCCATTCTCAGCAAATTGGTAAATCAAAATTTTATAAGCCGGAAAAGAAAATTTTCAAAATTATTTAAAATTAGTCCTCAAACGGCGGAATCGTCATGGTGAGTTTTTTCAACCAGTTTCTCAACTGCAGAGAAAAGGCCTCGCTTAGAGATGTCATTGGTGAGAATTTTCTCATTTAAATTTTAAAACGAAATTTATGAAATTTTTACAGCCCATATCAACCATATACGAAACATGGCAGGCGTGAATCACGTTGGCCTGGGAGCAGGATTCGACGGAATAACTCAGTAAGCTCATTTTTTTAAAAATTAATCCTAAATATTTAGTGAATTTGTAGTTATAATTAATTAATTTTCTTCAGTTGAAGGTTGTACTCGACCATTTAGTTTTGTTTAAAATTTTAAAACACTTTTTCTGCAGAGTGCCAGAGGGTTTGGAAGACGTGTCGAAGTATCCAATGCTGCTGGCAGAATTGGCACGCGACCGGCGCTGGAGCGCAGATGACATCAAGAAACTGGCCGGGGGCAATCTCGTCAGAGTAATGAAAGAGACGGAGCGAGTATGTTTTGCCATATTTTCAATTAATTCATCTAATTAACTTTTTTTCAGATCCGAAATGACATGGAAAGAGCGAAAATCGCGCCACATGAAGAGTGGATTTCAATGGAGGATTTGGACGAGAAGACGTACTGTAGGTTTCCAGGAATATAAACTTTGAAATAATACCAAAAACTGCTTTTTTTTAGAAGTGAGAAATTCGTGAATAATTTTAATTTTCGGGGTAAATATTTCACTCTTCTAAATTTTTACGAACATGAAAGAGGAAATTCGTAGATTTTACAGAAGAAAAAGTTAATATTATTATTATTATATATTTTATTATTATTTTTGTAGCAGAATATCACGATCAAGGGCAATCAAAAGGGGTGATTCGTGGTGATTTGGAATAAAAAAGAAAAAAAGCATTGAAAATTATCCCCATTCGGTCATCACTGTTCATACCTATCAATGTACCTATCAATTGGACCTAATTTTATTTTGAGATATAATGTCAGGAAATTAAAATTCTAAATGAAAAAACGCACGCTTATAATTTTTGTATTTTTTTGTTCATAAAATTGTCTATGAATTTATTTAAACGAGCTTCACTTTGACAAAAATCGACAAAATAAATTTTTTTGTAAAAATAAAAATTAAAATAATATTTTATGGTTTATGCGTTGAAAAATAAAATAAAAAACGGCAATTTTCGCATCTTGCTATTTTTTCATATTCAAAACTCCCGCGCTGCAGGTTGCTTATTTTCTGCCTTTTCGGAAGTGAAATTTCAGACGAAAATCTTAGTGATGAAAACATGAAAATTGGAAGACTCGGGGCTTTTAGAAACCGAGTAAAATTTCGAGTTATATTCCAAGTGAAACGGCGATAATAAAGGTGTTTACTCACGTTTTCTACGTCACGGCCTTGGCCTTGCTCTAGTCAATTTCGCATCCTCCCACTTTTTTCACTCTCTCCGGTCTTCTCGAAACAATGGCGAACGTCTTCACAGCAGCACGGTCCGTCTTCGGCAGGGCCTCAGGCCTCGTCGCGCAGCAGCAGCGCTTCAACGTGTGCCTCAGGTTGATGAGCACAGGTTGGTTGACCTTTCGGGCCAAAATTCGCGACGAGACCTCGCATATTCGAGACGATAACCGGCTTTTCTTTCTCGGCTTTTCGCCGGCCACACCAACTTACACTTCTTGTCTTGACCTCCATATTTAAATTCCTGGACGAGCGACGAGCCCCTATCCCCTTCCACCTTCCACACTTCCACAGATAAAAAACAAAGGGACTTGTTGCAGGAAAGTACGAGCACATCCTGGTGGAGAAGAAGGGCGAGAAGCAGAATGTGGGCGTCATCACCCTGAACAGGCCAAAGTCCCTGAACGCCCTTTGCAATGCCCTGATGAACGATGTCAATGCGGCGTTGGGCGCTCTTGAGGCCGACGAATCTGTTGGGGCGATTGTCCTCACCGGCAGCGAAAAGGCTTTTGCTGCAGGTACATAAAAGAAATAAAATTATTCATAAAATACAATTTTTCAGTTTTAAAAAGTCTTTTTTTTTAATTACAATATATTTATCTTCTTAGTCTTTTTTTTTAATTATTGTGCAATTTAGCTCTTCAAATTTGCCATGTATTTTTTAAAAATAATTTAAGTATTATTGGCTATTTTATTAATTATTTTCCCTTAAAAAATCTAGGAGCTGACATCAAAGAGATGCAGAACAATGACTTTTCGTCCAACATCCGCAGCAACTTCCTGTGCCACTGGTCCAACATGAGCAACACCCGCAAGCCCATCATCGCTGCCGTCAATGGCTACGCCCTCGGAGGCGGCTGTGAGGTGGCCATGATGTGCGACATCATCTACGCCAGTGACAAGGCAAAGTTTGGACAGCCAGAAATTGCCATTGGAACCATCCCCGGCGCCGGAGGCACCCAAAGGCTCACCAGGGTTGTCGGGAAATCCAAGGCCATGGAGATGTGCCTCACAGGCAACATGATTGACGCTCAGGAAGCCCTCAAATTAGGTTTTATTTTTAAATTAGTTTTAAAAAAATGACTAAAATAATTTTTCCTAAGGTCTGGTCAGCAAAGTCGTTCCTGCCGACAAACTGGTCGAGGAAGCCGTTAAACTCGGAGAGAAGATTGCCTCCCACTCTCCCCTGATTGTCTCTCTGTGCAAGGAGTCCGTCAACGCAGCTTACGAAACCACTCTGGAACAGGGTCTCCGTCAGGAGAAGAGACTCTTCCACGCAACCTTTGCCACGGTATTCTTATTTTTTTTGTATACTTTCAGGAAAAAAATATTAATTTATATCTCAAACAGGCTGATCGCAAGGAAGGCATGACCGCGTTTGTGGAGAAGAGACCTCCCAAGTTCACCAACAACTAAAAAGTCCAGGTTGATTTGTTATCCCTTGAGAAGAAGTGCCTTAACTCTAAAATCACATCGTTGATTGAAGGAAAAGAACTGTTGGCATTTTATTTTGTTTATTCAGAGATTTACTGTATTTTCGTACAAAAAGATAATCTTTTCTGCATCAGCATCAATTGTTTAAAAATTCATACTTATAGAGGACTGCTTTTAGTCGCTGTTAAATTATATAATATTCAAATTATTAAAACAGGAATACTTTTGTCTTGCCCAGCTTGCTCAGAGTGCCATTTATATTGATAAAAATAAAACAATTCAGTTGCACGTAAAATTTTTCTGCTTTAATTTTTCTCATTGAAATAATTAAAATTTATGTAATATATATTATGAGATTCAGTACAAAGAAGTAGTGCAATAATTTAAAATTTTTTTATAGATTAGTTCATATTTTGTTCGGCAGAGGCGCGCGTAGCGCAAGTGTGCAGAAATCATGTGTTCGGGTTCGCCAAGGTTGAGTTTTGCTGAGGCGAAGAAGATGCACCGCCTCTTCACCGCTTTTGTCAGTGCCAGTTAATCAAGATTATAGCCCTCTCTGCCGAAAATGTGGACTAGGAGTGTAATTAGAACATAACCATCTAGAATTTATTCCGGAGAAACCATGTTAGTGCATAAAGACTTGCTGGCGAGAGCCCTCAAATCTCCCCCTTAAAGCTGTTGCTGTGATAATAATTTTCCTCTCTTGCTTTAATTTACATTTAAGAAACAGACTTTAAATCGAGAGAAATGTTTAGGAGTCGAAGTTGGTTTGGTGGCGGACTGTGGAAGCCAAAAAACCCGCATTCCTTGGAACATTTGAAGTGAGTTTTCTTCCTCAATCCATTTCCATAAAAAAAACTCCGCCTCGATTTCCTAATCAATGTCTAATGACTGCTTGATTTGTAATAATGTGTCCGTTTATGGTTTCAGGTATCTCTACAATGTTCTTTCAAAAAATCAAACGGTCTCCGAAAACAACCGTGGGCTTTTGGTCGAAACTCTGAGGTCCATAGCAGAAATTTTGATTTGGGGCGACCAGAACGATGGCAGCGTATTTGAGTACATACGTTTTACCTTTTCAGTGCATTAGTCATAATTAACCTCTCGTCCTTCAGCTTTTTCCTCGAGAAAAACATGCTGTCCTTTTTTCTGAAGATCATGAAGCAGAAATGTGGGAGTTACGTGTGCGTCCAACTTCTGCAAACTCTAAATATTTTGTTCGAGAACATCCGCAACGAAACGTCACTATGTAATTTTTGCTCAATTTTTTGTTTGTTCACAAATAATTTTATTTCACATTATTAGATTATCTTCTCAGCAACAATCACGTCAACTCCATAATCGTGCACAAATTTGACTTCTCGGACGAGGAGGTCATGGCTTACTACATTTCGTTCCTCAAAACACTTTCCTTCAAACTGAATACTCACACTATTCACTTCTTCTACAATGAGGTATTTTTTTATTTAATTAATTTGAGGTCGAATTAATTTTTCAATCACAGCACACAAACGATTTTCCCCTCTACACGGAAGCCATTAAGTTTTTCAACCATTCTGAGAGCATGGTTAGAATAGCCGTGAGGACCTTGACCTTAAATGTTTACCGTGTGGATGACAAATCAATGTTGAAATTCATTGGAGACCGAACAGCCGCCCCTTACTTCTCCAATCTGGTCTGGTTCATCGGCAACCACGTTCTCGAACTCGACAACTGTGTTCGAAATGATGCAGAGTAATTTTATTATTTGATCTAGAGTTTTTAAATTAAAAAAAAAAAAAAAATTTATTTGCAGCCACCAAAGTAAGGGGAAGTTGGCCGACCTCGTTGCGGAGCACCTGGACCACCTCCATTACCTGAATGATATACTTTGCCTGGAGATAGGCGACCTGAACTGTGTTTTGACTGACCAGCTGTTACATCGACTTTTAATGCCCTTGTATGTCCTTTCCCTGGCGCCCCGGAGCAATTCGACGCAGGAATCTATCCAGGCAAGAACGTCAGCTTAATTTAAATTTGAGTGTATTTTAATCTTTGAATGCAGGGGAGACCGTATGTGAGCAGAGTTGTGGCTTTGTTTCTCCTCTCCCAAGTTTTTCTCATCATCACTCACGCGCCTCTGGTGCACACCCTGGCTTGGATCATTCTGAGTGCTGACAGCGAAGCCATCTCGGACGACGACCAGGCCCACAAACTGACTGCCCTTGCCCAGGTACCATTTAAAAAGCACACACAAGTTTAGCAAAATAATACCCTTTAAATTTGCAGTCGAGTATTCCCTCCAGTATTCCTAAACTTGAGCCCCCTCCAAAACCCACCGCAATTGTAGAACAAGAGCTTTCCTACGAAGAGAAAAAAGCCATTGTATGGAAAAAGTCTCACGCACCCTCAGACGAGCCAAGTGCAGAAATCACAAGTAGTTGCTCAGCTTTTGAATTTGGTGGAGAACTGATCAACTTATCTTTTTTTTCAATTGCTAGGCACTGATGAGGGCAACGCTGAAGGAGGCAGCTCGTCTCAAGAAGGCAGTCCAGGTAGTTTGTTGAATATCACGGACGAGGAGAAAGAGAAACGCAGAGCTTTGAACTCAAAAGGTGTTTCTCTAGTGGGCCGCCCGTTTCTGGAGGCTATTTTTGGAGCCCTCGACTGTTCAGAGAACGACTTCGTCGCGCTTTTCGCCCTGTGCTTGCTCTACTCCATGGGCCATAACAAAGGTGAGTTTTCATGCAAAATGCTCAGTGTTGTGTGTAACGCTGGTGTATCTGTAAATTTGCTTACAATATGGATTGTCAGATGGTAAGCTTGAAAGTGTGACATTTTCTTACATTTGGATATTTAATATGTAATGTAAATTTTTCTCATAGGGGTCAACGAAGGACTTTTGGACAAGGTCTTATTCCCTGCCAAGAATTCACAGCACTGGTACAACGGAAATTTAATTGAGAGACTAATACATATCATAAGTTTGAGTTGCCAAATGAGTATGTTTTCAACAATATTTTTGTTCTCATAACCTTTAAACATTTTTTTTTAGATTCTAAAGTGCGTTTGGTTTCTCTTGAGATGAGTATTGGTCTGCTGCAGCAGCTTGTGCTCAGGGATAATCACAGTTTTCTCCACGATGGTCACTTGGCTGCGATTGAAGGGGCTCGAGAGGAAAGTACGGGGCAGTTGCGAACTTTTTACAAGGTAGTTGTGAATAAAATCAAAAGTTTCCAAATAGTAACATAAACTTTTCAGAGTGATGAAATTTTTCTGGACATGTTTGAGGAGGAGTGCCATGAAAGAAAGAAAGGTCCGTTGAACGTAGAGTGGCTGATGATGGACTCGAACATTTTGCTTCCTCCAACTGGCACCCCAATGACTGGAATAGAGTTTAGCAAGCGTCTTCCTTGTGGAGAGGTGAAATATTTCTGAAAAATGTTAGAATTCAATTTTAATAAACTTAATAAACAGGGAGAACGGACTCGTCGCACCATTAGGGCGTTTTTGCTTGTACGAGAATTGTCTCAGTCCCTCGGAATGGGTTCCGAAAGTCACCTGCCTCTCACCAACCCCTCGTCTTGTGTGCAAGTGGACCAAGTCTTGGACCTCAGTACGTGTCTTCCATGTAGGAACACAGTGGTTTTCTCTGCGAGCTTGACCCACTAGAGTTCCTGCTCAAACGCTTCACTGAGCTTTATATCAGTTTGGAAATGTTCAAATTGTAACTTTTTTTCATTTTTCAGACAATAGTGATCTGATTGCCTGCACTGTGGTGACAAAAGATGGGCAGAAAATTAGGCGGTTTTTGGTCATTGACGTCCTTCAGCTGATTTTGGTCGAGCCAGACACGAGAAGACTAGGCTGGGGGGTTGCAAAATTTGTTGGCTTCCTGCAGGATTTGGAAGTGACGGGTGACAAGGATGACTCGAGGTGCTTGCACATCATAGTTCATCGACCCCTCTCCTCAAATACTCCAAACAGACTGCCCCTTCTCTCAGCCAAATTTGTTTTTGATGATCACATTCGTTGCATGGCTGCTAAGCAAAGGTTAGTTGAGCATTTTTTTTTTTTTTTTTGTTTGTTAATATTTAAGTTGTAATAATTTGCTTTAGGCTGACAAAGGGAAGAAACAAAGCAAGACAAAAGAAAATGCAGCAGATTGCAAGACTGTTGGATATTCCTGCTAACCAAACAACTCCCTCCCCTCCCACATACTCTCTCCAATCGATGCGACTTCAAGAAAGTAAATATAATTATTTTTTGGAATTTTTTATTTTATAAAGCATTGGTCTGTAAATCAGGAGCTAGTAGAAGTTTGCTTGGCCCAAGCCGTCCAATGTTTTCCACTGCCATTAAAGCGCCAGGATTTGCTGCAGCTGTGCGGAGAGAAGAAAGTGGCAGGAACTCGAGGAATTCGTCTCCTTCTTCTAGAGGCTCGTCAGAAAACGCAGGTAGAATTAAAGAAAAAGAAAATACAGATAAACCAAAGCAAATGAAGAATAGTTCTGGGGTTGCAACTAGGGAAATAGAGGCTAAAAAATGAGCTTATCCTATGGCCTTTTGCGCTGAAAAAGTGTGCGCCACACCACTTTAAGAGTGGACTTCAGTTTGACAAAAGCGGTGCAACCCCTGAACTATCAACTATTTAATTCCTTTTTTAAGTCGTTGCTTTTAACTTGACTTAATTTCTATGAATGCTCCACAATGGATCTCAATTTATGGGAAGAGATTTTGTAAATAAAGAAGATATAAAAATTAATTTTAATCAGGATCGAGGTCGAGGGACGGGTCACCAAAAATGCCAAGGCCCCGAAGTGAGGAGATTCCTCTGGAAGACATAATTTCCTCATCTCAAGAAGGTGCAAGTTCGACTCTCCCGCAGCTGGACCCCACAAGTCAGCCAAACACCCCAATCAACACTGGCTCAAGTCAACAAGTAATTTAATTTTAATTTTATTCAAGGCACTCCTTACATTTTGAAATTTAAGAGCCAGGTTGGCAGAGGTGCAACAAGGAGACGCCACATGGAAGCGTCGCGAAGGTTGCTCTCCCCTTCGCCGAGACGCGCCAGCGAGTCCCCTTCAAGACTGGCCCAAGCGCCGGAAAGGAGCTCAAGCCCCTTAAACACCCCAAGTGCAACCCCTCCCGTTCCAAGCTCACACCCTGAAACAGAGACCTCCTTCATGGAGTTGCCACTCAACCCTGGTGATCAAAACGGCAACCCATGCGAAAGAAGTGAGTCGACCGAGAGGAAAAAGAAAAAGGGCACTGTTGAAATTATCTGAGTTTTGTCATGCAAAAAATAAAAAATAAACCGTTATATTGTTTTCTAAAAAAAATCAGACATTTTAATATTAATTTGACATTCACAGTTCACAACAGGAATAATTATTTTATAAATTCATTTTTTTTAGTCTTGTCACTTTTAGATCACCTCGACACTGTGGGAATGAAGTTGGGGGCAGTTTCGGGTCTTCTGTCGAGGGACACTCCGTCAACCATCGGCGTTGGGGGAATGACCCTCAGTTGCGGGGGCGGTTCGTAGTCGGTGGAGGAGATCGAGAGTCCGTCAACGCTGGCGCCAACTTGGGAACGGGAGCCATGCTGGACGCAGCATTCCTGCACGTGCAGGCAACACTCGCGGCCGCCGGGACACAGGGCTGTGACTGCGGCCAGGAACAACAGACCGAAACCTGAGCCCAGCAGAACAAATCCTGACAGCCGGATTGCGTTGTGACCTGTTAAAAATTTCATATTTTCAGAATAATTAATTAAATACAATGAAAAACTAGCAAGTTTGTTTCCAACCGTTTTGTTTTGTACCGATCCCACTAAATAAAATGTCATGCCAAAAAGAAAAAAGCGAGTTATCAAAATCTCAAATCAAGCCGTTCCATTTCCGCCTTGCCTTGACAATTACGAAGAGGCTTTTTGCTCTAGCCGCTTTTGTCGCAGGGCCATTAAAATTAAAACGCGATTCTGAGCCGCGATAAATACTCCTTTGTTTGCCATTTAACCGCGCAACTTTGGAAAGTAGCACCTGATCGCCTTTTGCTATTGTATAATAAAGGTCAAAGTATGAAGATTCTCGTGACAAATTATAGTCTGCCCGCGGAGCAGAACATAACACACCTCGTTGATTTTTATCTTGACTCTTTTGCTCGCTAGAAGGAAACGAAAATCGCCTTCAAAAACAATGGTGGTGGTTTACGTTGAATTCAATTTAATTTTCAATACGTTTTAATTCTTTTGCTTAAAAACACACATTCATATTTTTTCATCAAGACAACTTAGCAAAATTTCCTCAGCATCTCTGATTTTAATATCGGATTTTATCTACAATTTAAATCTATTTTAGATGAAATATTCGTCATTAAAATTTCCCAATAGTGTTTCAGTATTAAATATTATTGCAAATATCTAATTGTGAATAAAAAATTCTAATATTTCACTCATAAAAGGCACCACGTATATTTTAATGATTTTTTTTTTTTATAAAGTCACCATTTTTTATAAGAATTTCAGTTTACTTTGACGCACACAAGAAAAATATTGTTTTAAATAACGGTAGAGTAAATAGATGAAGCTAGCATAGATTGGCTATCGAACACCTTGACGACGGTGCTCTGCACACAATTAGCAGAAGGAAGTGTATAGGCAACCTGCTAGTCACGCGCGTCCAACTGGTTGCTTGCTCCCGAAATGTAGGCTGACCCAGATTAAAAAATGCGCATTATGGAAGATTCCAAGTAAAATAAATTTTTTTAACTCTGCGATTTTTAACAGTAAAAAATACAATAAAATTTTTTAAAAAAATGTTAAATTTTGATTTCGTTTAAATCTATTTTTTTTTTTCTTCTTTTTTTGTGAAACAAACCTGTGGCCTGGAGGAGTCCAAGGAGGGCGAGAAAGAGTCCGAGGAAGAGGAGGCCCACGCCGCCGGCAACCGAGAGGCACGAGAAGACGCAACAGCACCTTCCATACTTGACGGAGGAGCCGCCGAGCGACTTGTCGGCGCACATTCTCCTTTCCTCACCTCAACACATCTCTGAATAAAAAGCGTGCTTTGGAGGCCGCAACCCTCGCTGCACTACAGCCGCAGAAAGAAAGGAAGGGGTTTTCTAATGAGCTGCAGGGGGAGGTGTGTGCAAAGAAATAAATAAATTTATACTCTCACACGCCACACAGGTCGCGTGTTTCTTGTCGTAACAAACATCAAACTCCCTCCAGAGCATGCACAGAAGCGAAATCATGAGAAATGGAGACAAAATTAAAGAAAACTGCGCAAACAGAATGGAATTTCACGAGGAATTCCTACTCTCACAATCAGTTCTGTTGTTTGTTACGTAATTCAGATCCCAAAGGCTATATTTAACTTGATTTGCAATTCTATTCATGGTGTTGTGTGTGAGAATGTGCAATAAATTAGAATTCGTATTATGCAAACAACCGCGCGTATCTATTTTGGGCGTTGGAAACAAAGCCTTCTTTTGAGTAAAGTTCTATTTTGGGAGAGTTGTTTATTATGATTAGCCAAAAGCCGAGGGGGCTGTTTATAAGATTGCTTTACTGCCGCCTAATTAAAGTTTGAGATCGTCTTGCAGATAAAAATTACAATCCAATTATAAAATTATTATTTTTAAGATAGCTCTTTTATTCCTACCACGATTCTAGAGGAAAATAAATTAATTTATTGCAAAAATTAAGCAAGCACAATTTTAAATAAAATAATTCATAAATTCCTGCACGACAAATGGTGCTTAGGGATGAATTATATGTTCTGCAATTTAATTATTGAATAAAAAATAGCTCAATTTTTTTACATTTTTTCCTCGTCTGCAGCAAATTAAATTAATTTTTTTTTCCTACTCTATTAACTTCTTAAACTCAACTTATAAGCGTTAACAAAGAAATGGGTTTGCTGGTGTTAGCGAGACAACACTAAAGCGGCTTTGTAAAGAATCTATGGACAACGAAACGTGGAAGTGGACTCGGCAGTCGTCGCGTGCAATGCGTGTTTTCCTCTGCACACTGTTAATTATTTTAAATCTAATAGAGGTTGAAATTAAAAACATGCAAACTGCAGAGCAATTTTATATTTAACATGCATAATTTCATGTGCAATTAGAAAGTTTCGCACAAATATTAAAAAAGTTTTTATGAAATATTTAATTTTTAGATAGATAGAGTGTTTATTGAACACAACTAGGTGTATAGCGGAATATTTATTATATATTATTTATATTTTAAATACTCTATCTATCTGAAAAAAAAATAATTAAAAAAAAATATTTAATTTTTGTGTCATCTCTAAAAATTGCATCGGATTTTCTTTGCAATTCAACTTGCTTTTAAAATTAGCAAAATAATTGTATTTCATTAAAATATTACCATTTTACCACATGTCAATTGATTTTGGTTATGTTTGAGTTACTCTTTAACGCTCTTTAATCTAGAAAAAAATAACAAGTTATATGCTTTAGACATATTTTTTTTTATTTCTGTAGGTTTTATACTTGCTAAATTTGAACATCCACAGTAAGCAAGTCTATCTCGTAGTGAAAAGATGCATTACACAAAAGTGCAACAGGACATTTCTCACATCAAAAATATTCACTGACACTTTGTGTTATTTAAGGTACTATAATAGAACACGTTGGATGCATATTGAAATTTATATATTTGGTTAATTTCTTCAGCCAGCTCCGCAGACCCACTACAATTTAAGTAGTAATTCATAAAGCAAAATAAAATTTTCCACGTGTAATTGTTCATATTTCTTTGGCAGTTATTTGTTCATTAGATTTTTTTCAATGCGGTAAAATAAAGAAACGAAATTATTGCGATCAACGATTGCCTGTCTTTATCTTGGAGAAGAAATTTAGTGTGTTAATTTAGATTTGAAATCATAAGGACTTCACAGTTCGCCTTGATTTTTAGGGCCGTATGGCGGTGCAGGTTTTTCTGATCGGTAGAATTTCAACATAAGGCTGCGGCACCACCAGAACAAAAACATGCCGGCCAAGATGACGAGGTGCCTGGCCACTTTGGGGTAGAGTCGCTAGGGCCCTTCCCTGAGCAGGCCGAAGCCTTCACCACCACCCGAGGCCCGTCTGCGCATCAGCATGAAGCACATGCCGATTCCGCCGACCACAGCGCCCACCAACACGATCATGCCGATTATTTTGAAGATGCCCCACGACGCTTTTGCCGCTCCTGAAATTTTTCGTTCGTCTTAAACTCTAATGATTGAATTTTAATACTTACTGTGGCCAGCGTAAGCTTTTGCAGCGCCTTTCACTAGTTTTCCAGCCTTATTTTTGCCCTCCGATTCTTTTGCCAGTAAAACTTGAACATATTGGAACAAATTTTTGTGTGAAGCGGATTAATAATTTTGGAAAATTTCAACTCACCAAGAAACAAAAATAAAACAAGTAAAAAAATCGTCGTTGACCGGATTGCCATTTTTTGAGCCAAAATTGAGAGTATTTTGTATGCGTAACTTTGTTATGAATGCAGGTCAATCGCCTGTTGTGCCTGAAAAGGGGTGCGCAGTAGATTTTCCGATACCATTCAAGTATTCAACCCCCGCACAACGGCACAGAGCGCCGGCGCTTTTCCAATTTTAGTGAGAAAAGGCGCGAATTTTAGCCTCGTATATCCGCTATATTGAATCTTACTCGAAATTTGTTCGTTCCAGGGATATTTAGACGAGAACAGTATAGTGCCTTTAATATTGAAGGAAATTTTAGTAAATGGCAATATTTCAGATTTCTTTTGTTTTAAAAGAGATATTAGTTAGATCCTTCGCTTGATTTTATTCGTCCAAAGTCCAAAGAAATTCCAGATTCTCCTTTATTTGTACTCCTCTGTAGAAAGCACTTTCAGAAACAGAAAATCTAAATGTTACAGTAGCTTAAATTTCAAGCATTTTTAATAAAAACAAAATGCGTTCAATGTTCGATATACATTGGAACCTCTTTATCTTAAAAATAGTAATCACAAATCACAAACATTCAGCACCATGATTTGATTGTATAAATATTGAAATTAAATATTAACCCAGCACAAAATAAGTAATCTGTGACCTTTGCTCACCCGTCGTCTCAATCCCCTCTCACAAATGCTCACAAAATAAGCTTAATAAAGTCAACAGATCATCCCACAGGGATTTCTTGAATATTTTCCTCTTTGATATTAAAATGCTCCTCGTGACAATTACAGCGTCAATAATTTGCATTTGTTTAGCATATTTCATGTACCAAAGCAGACCGAAAGGATTTCCTCCAGGTGCATGATCATTTTAATAATTGAGTTGTAAATTAATTGTAATTTCAGGCCCAATATGGTACCCGATTTTAGGCAATCTGCTTTTCGTGCACCGCTTGCACGCAAAACTGGGCTACTTTCACTTGGTGTGGTTGGAACTGGCAAGACAATATGGGCTTCTGGTCGGTATGAAACTGGGTGGAAATTTGGTCATCGTGGTCAACGGATTTGAGGCAATAAAAGCGGTTTCCACCTTGCAGGAGTGTGACGGAAAGCCAGACGGGTTTGTTTTCAAAATGCGAACCTACGAACAGCGCCTTGGTAAAGCTAGAAATTTCAATAATTTGCGTTTTAATTACAATATAAAGGAGTGGGACTTACGGACGGCCCATTGTGGATGAAAACGCGAAATTTCGTGGTGAAAAATCTAAGACTTTTGGGAGTCGGTCGAGTAAAAATGCAAACGGTAATTTTGGATGAAGCTTGTGTTCTGGTGGAGGAGATAAAAAGAAGTTTTAAAAGTGAACTAAAAGTAAGATTTTTTTTATTAAAGTACTTTATTTTTCAATTTTTTCTTAATTTTTATAGAAGCGTAGACTTGAAGATTTTTCAAATCTAATTCGTCTGAGCATTTTGAATAGCCAATGGACTTTAGTCTCCGGCAAACGATTCGATTTAAATGACCGTCATCTCACAGACTTGCAAAAGCTAGTTTCGAGTTTTTTCAAAAGCGCTGATTTTTCCGGCGGAATCGTCAATCAGATTCCGTGGATTCGCTTTGTCGCGCCGCACTGGTCAGGTTACAGCGGCATGAAGGCGCTGGTCAAGCCCTTGCAGAAGTTCAGCGAGGTTTTTAATATTTGTTTTGTAATTTTCCTTCAGTTTTTTTTTTTTAATTTACTTTGTTAAAGGAATTGGTTGAGGAGCACAAAATGAAAATTGATTTATCTTTGGACGAGCAAGGAAATTTGGTTGACGCTTATTTGGCCATGATTGCAACGGCAGATAAAAATGATGCGATCTTTAATGGAAAGCAAAATAAATTTCTTTAAATATATCAAAATAAATAAGTTTATTAATTTCAGAAAAACAATTGACCTGCGTTCTTATGGATTTGTTCATGGCTGGCCCAGACACTTTGACCTCAGCTTTGGGCTTCATGCTTCAGTTTTTGATTCGGTTCAAAAATACGCAGAACAAACTGCATGCCGAAATTGAAAAATTCGTTGAAAGGCACAGGCCTAAGACTGAAGACTTGGAATTGTAATATTTTTAATTAGTACTATTTGAGCTTCAAATATTTCTTTGCAGAATGCCATACACAAAGGCGTTTATTGCGGAAAGCCTGAGATTTGCAAATGTTGCACCAATTCCGTCTCCACACAGGGCGATGAAAAATTGTTCAGTTTTTGGCTATAAAATTCGCAAGGTTTAAAATTTGTTCAAACATTTGAGCATTTATTTATTTATATTTATTTGGGCCACACAGGACACACTTTTTCTGTTGAACCTTTACAGTGTTCACATGGACGAAGATCACTGGGGCGACCCACAAAATTTTCGACCCGAGCGATTTTTGGACGCAACTGGAAATTATTTTGTGCAAGACGAATGGCTCGTTCCATTTGGACTTGGTAAATGTTATACCGCCGAATTATACATAAAAGAAATTTTTTATTTCATGAATTCTCTTAACTAGGCAAGAGGAGATGCTTTGGAGACAAAATAACTTGGCAGACACTCTTTGTCTTTTTAGTACTGTTTGTGCAGAACTTTAAAATTAGTCTTGCTGACGATGAAAAAGTAGAGGATTTTCAAGAAATCGTGGAAGGGATGACCTGCTCACCAAAATATTTTGCTGGAGAGATCACAAGTCGATATTAAATTTAGTGTGAAAAATTTCCATTTATGTATGATAGACAAGTATGCAAAACTGGTGCAAATGCAAAACTTTGTCTTTTTACTTTTAATTAAAAGCAATCTAAAAATCAAGCGCTTTTAGCCGGCAGAGAGTGAACATATCATTGAGGATAATGTAAATTTATGTACTTTTTAGGTAATTTAGAAGTAAATAAGAAAGTGAAAAAATCAAAATCAAATATTTTGACAGACTGTTTCAGTAAAATTAAAATTTGAATAATTAAACAGAAAAGGAAAAGCACATTTTAGCTGCAGCATGAATATTGATTTACTGGTTTGTCGAAGCAGGATGACTTTTGGAAGATAGTTTCAGCTACAATTTTTATTATTGATTTATATATTAATTGCAAAATTAAAGCATGTTAAAAAAATTCTGCTATTATTATTTGAAAATAATAAAAATATCAAGTTTTAAATCTATACTCTGATAGTGGCAGCATAAATTTGAAAATTGATTTTCAATATTTTGATGGTGCAGAGTGCATTATTTCAATTAAAGTGAAGCCCTTCAAAAGGAAACAGTTTTAATGCTCCCAAATTCATAGAAATAAAGATAATTATAATATTCAGCTCTCATAAATGATTGATTTTCATCGATTTTTTACATTATTTGCATAAACTCTGTGCAAATTTAATAAAAACAAGCGTGTAATTAAATTATGTATCGATTTTTCACTCCAAATATATGAAAATTGCTTCTTATAACATGTAGGGTTGGTTTTTGTCAGATAAAAATGACAGCTCAACATTGACAATTTGCGCATATTACTTAATCTAATTTTCTTTCGTTCATAATTTGATTATTCGTTAGTCATCATGGAAATGGTCAGCTTTCAGGACGCGTTGAAACCAATGCTGTTGATGGAAAAAATAGCAGGAATTTTGGGCTACGATCCGCAACTGATCTCAATTCCGCACAGATTGGCAACTCTGACGGCGCTTTGTTTTTTCTTTGTTAAGTCTTTTCAAGGCCAATTGGACAGTTTGAATTTCATTTTGAACACTTCAAATAAGCTAAATAGTTTGATTTTAGCTTTGTGCAATTTAACAAGTGTTCTTCTTGTGTTGCCACTCATTATCTTAATTTACTACAAATCCGTCCAAAAGCAAGACTTTGATTTAATTTTGAAAATTTTCGACAAGCAAGCTGCGGAACTGAACGTAAATGCCGAATTCTACCATTGCATCAAAAGGAAATCCACCGCGGTGACAATCTTTGTAGTGACATTTGTAACGCTAATGCTTTTTATTGAATGCGTGATTGGTGAAAAATCTGAAGTTACTGATATTTGTCTGTCAGCGTGCGTTATTTCCAGTACTGCCCTTTGTGTTTACAACGATATGAAACTGTTCACTGTTGTTGAAGGTGTGAAAATACTTTTCAAAGAAATTCACTCTGTAATAAATAGCTTAAGCGGTAGAGAAGATAATTTAGGAGAATTGACAGAGAAAATACGAAAAGTTTTCAGAGAATTGTGCTTCATAGTTAAACTGTCAAATGGATATTTTGGCCATTTGACCATGATTTCAAATCTTTCGGGATTCTTAGCAGTTTTGTTCAGTCTTTATTTCATTTCAATGATGTTGTGGTCTTTGTTAGGAATAAACAACAGTTCATTTTATATTTTTAACGAGCTTCTCTGGATTATGTCTATTGTGGGGCATTCTTGGATTTTAGTCTCATCTTGCGATGGTGCCACTGCTGAGGTATAAGGATTTTTTTACGAAAAAAAAATAAAGAATTAAATAGTTTTCCTTGAAACAGGTTGAAAAAATACGGAGCGCGATTGTAAAATTAGAGTTGAAAATGGATAAAAACGCCCAGAGAGAGTCCGTAAGATTAAATAAATGCTTGGAAAAATTGATAAAAGAACAAAATCTTCTTCCGCAGCTGAACATTTTACAAGTTGAGATTTTGCACAGCCAAAGGGAAATAAATTTCAACATTGGCAGTCTTTACACCATTAGCAGGAACTCTGCATTTTTGGTAAATCAGTTTTGAATAAAACAAAACTAAATCTAAATTTTAATTTTCAGATTTTAGGGTCGATTTTGACCTACTTGGCAACAATAATGCAATTTCAATTTTTAACAGAGCAATTAACAAGTGGACAATGCCAGTGCAACTAACATAATAATCATTTGTGATTTTATAGAAAAATTAAAATCTGGAACGCAATAAATATTGCCATCAAAAATTGAACAAAAACGCAAAAATGTATGGAAAAAGTTTCTAAATTACAATAAAGACAAGTATGCCAAAAAATCATTGGTAAAAATTTAAGTCTAAAAAAATGAAGCTTTTGAGGTTACAAATTTTATCATTTTGTAAAAGCTTATATTTTTTTCAAATAAACCAAATCATAATAAATAATTAACTTAATTAATTGACGATGGATATTACTTTAAGGTTTTTCTGCCGCCGTAGTTAAAGGTCGAAGAGACAAAATTAATCATTAATCTCCAAAAATGTTGCTTCACAAACATGGAGCACATAAAATATTCATTAAAACATCGATGCAAATATTTCCTTTTTATACAATAATATGACTGTTCTCTTTTTCAACACTAGCTCATGGTATTTAAAAATTGACGATAAATATATTTATATAATTTTAATGAATATAGTGAGGTTAAAAAAACTCACATATAAATCAATTTTTGTTATGCTCTTCATCTTCATTTGTTATAACATGTATATTAATTATTGATATAAAATCATGTAAATATAACTTACCGCCTATATTCTATGTTATATTGCATGTTGAGACCTTCAGAGACCTTGAGACCCTGAAGTTACAAGTCAGGTCACACTTTTATGCCAACAAGACCACAAGTGACCACAACAAGACTTCGCTTGGTAGTAAAAAAAGAGCGTGGAACCTCCTCCTACTATACATACAAGTTAGATTTTCGGCCACTCACAGATTGAGGGCGCAGTTGTTAGTGCTCGTGAAAACATAAACACGTGCGATTCACGGCGTCGGTGTTTTTCATACAAAAATGGGCAATTTTAAGCAATTGAACACAAAAATTTTCACCAAATCTTCCCCAGAGCTCAGCGATGAAGCAATCTACTGGAAAAAGTTCTCGGTAAGTGCAACGCGCCATCACTTTCACGTCGCAAAGCGTCTAAAATTTGCGAAAATTTGCATCTCTTTATTTTAACTGCACCTTAACATTTTTTTTTCTGAAAACTTTATGTTTCTCAGGCTCCAGCGATTCTTAAAGAATTCGGCCCCATTGACAATATCGACGTGAGCACCGTGGAACCTCATTACTTAGCAGTCACATGTTCAGTTAGGGTAAGGATTTTTTTAATTAGTTATAAATACTTAAATCATAATCTTTATTCCTTCCTTTATTTAGGTACAAGTTTACAACTCAGTCACGAAAACAGTATACAAAAATTTCACAAGATTCAAAGAAACGGCCTACGGAGGAAAATTCAGGCAGGACGGAAAACTTCTTTGCGCCGGTGGCCACGAAGGCGAAGTGAAATTGTTTGATGTCGGCTCCAAAAACCTTCTGCGAATATGCAAAGGCCACGAAGGGTGCGTTTGTTCTGATTTTAAAAGAAAGATATTGTTAAATCGCGGAAATTCCTCAACAGACCAGTCCACCGATGTTACTTCTGCATAAACAATTCGCAGTTGTTTAGCTGCTCGGACGACAAATCTGTTGCTGTTTGGGACATTGCGAGTGAGAAAATGGTCAACCAATACAAGGACCACACAGTGGGTTTTCATGAAATTATTATTATTTTTTAATTTTGAATCTAATTGAATGCAACTTGAAAAGGATTATGTCAGGGCTGGATGTGTTTCACCAATTTCTGCAGATATAATTGTTTCTGGTGGTTATGACAACAGAGTTATGATGTACGACACAAGAACAAATGACGTCGCCTTCACTCTAAACCACGGGGCCCCAGTGGAAAGTGTGATTTTCAATAAGACTGGAAGCATCATTATCTCAGCAGGTATCAATAATTTGCAACATTTTTTTAATAATTCAATTCCGGGAGTGCCTTGTTAAGTTATTTGTAATAAAAATCACATGATTTTTTTTTACTTTTAGGAGGAACAGATATTTGTTTCTGGGACGCGTTGGCGGGTGGAAAGTTGCTGAGCAGAATCACCCCCCACCACAAAACGGTGACCTGTTTGGCCATGGCCAGTGACGGCCTTCGACTTCTATCAGGAGGCCTGGACAAAAGGGTCCGCATCACAGACATGACGGACCTGCAACCTGTCCACGTCCTCGAATACCCTTCACCCATTCTCACCATTGGAGTCGAAGTAAGATTTTATATTCTATCAAATTATTGAATCTCTTTTCTGTACGAATTTTAGGCCAATGATAAAGTTTTGGCTGTTGGAATGGTGGACGGACTTGTGTCTATTGCTAGGAAGTTGGAGGAGAGTTCTGCTCCTAAAGCTCAGAGAGTGCGAATGACTTTAAGAGATTGGAGGAAAAGTGAGGGTCTGAAACGTCCCTCAAAAATCGAGACTCCGGAAGAAGGAGACTCGACCTTCACTGAAACAAAGAGAACCGAAATAGCCAATGTTGAGCGGCACCTTCGTTCCTACCGATACTCGAAGGCCTTGGACGTGGCTATAGTTCCTTACAACATTAATAAGAAACCTGAATGTGTGGTTAGCTTGTTGCAAGAATTGATAAGGTTCTAAACGGAATTTAAATAATTGTATTTTTCTGATGAAAATTTTTTAGGAGGAAAGGTCTGGCGGCAGCTCTGGCCGGAAGGGAAGAGCACAACGTTGCTCAGATTTTGAAGTTTGTTAGCAAGAATATTGGAAACTTTGAATACATGCCCACACTGACAGATGTCACAAACACCCTTATTGGTGAGATTAAAACATTTTCCTTGTAAGATATTAAAATTAATTTTTTTCATTTAGATGTCTATGGGGAGGAAATATTCAACATGCCAATGGCTTTGGATGCGTGTACTCAATTATTGGAAATCTTGAATGGGGAGGAGCAGTTTACACTAAAACTATTAGAACTGCAGGGAGCGATGGAGATGCTAAAAATTGCATCTGATTCTCATAAATCCATGCCTGCAGTTGAGACAAAAATTTTAACTTGAATGTGGAAAAGGTTATTTTTCTATGAATAAAAAAAAAACTATTATCAAAGATTTATCAGTTTTTTTTTTTTTTTTTAATTGAAGTTACGGCGTAAGCGAAATAATATTTATAAAAAGATTGACTTACAATTGGTTAAATTTTATAATTATTGCCATCGTTAATGCCCCCATCTTGCTGCTTTGTTTGCTCAGGCGTCGCTTTTAACATAATTGTTATTTTTCTCTTATAATTTTATGTTGGAAATATTCTTAAGACTTTTGCTAATGATTTATCGATTAAAAAAAAATAAATAAATGTTCTCCAATGGACATGGAGTCCGTTTAAAAATTCTGTAGTAGAATTTTGGCAATGAGTATTAGCCAAAATTACTCTCACGATGAATATAATGAGCATGATTGCCGCTCTTAATTTTTGCATTAAATTTCCGCAAGTGTTTCGTTGTTGCCCTCTAGTGAGAAACGTGAACTACAGATGGGCGTGTCCTTGTTTACCACGGTTCAGATTCACCGCAAAGACTTTTGGCTAAAGAGGCGATCTTGTGAATTTGGTCCTGCTTATGCCACAGGCCCTTGAATTCGCAAATAACTATTGCTCTCTAGACACGAACAACCAACGCTTATTCCAGAATGGTAAAGTTTTGCAAGTTTTCTTCTCAAATTTGTCGCACTGACACGTTACTCCTGTCAATTTTGTGATGCTTGTCCCCTTGCATCCTGCCTCAATTTAATGACTCACTCATGTTAGGGCGAGTCACGCTAATTAATCTAATCACGTACATAAATTACTTAAATTTTGTATTTTATGTATGTTGCAAACCAATTTGAAAATTAAAATTTCAGACCCATAATGTCAAAGTGTGTGACATCGACGACAGCGTTAAAGAAAAATTGAAGGAGTTTCGCTTCCGCAAACCCAAGGACAATGCTGCTCTCGTTTGTAAATTATAATTAAAATAACAGTTTTCAAGTTATTGAAGTGCGATTGAAAATTTTTGCAGTGAAAGTTGACCGAGCAAAGCAATGCATTTGTGTGGATGAATTGTTTGAGGACATCAGCGTGGATGATTTGCGCGAATCTCTTCCCTCGCACCAGCCACGGTATGTCATCTACAGTTACAAAATGGAGCATAACGACGGACGAATTTCCTACCCCATGTGTTTCATCTACATTACGCCAAGAGGTAAAAATAGGCTTGGTACTTTTTAAAGAAATCTTTTCCCAAATTAGGACCCATTGCTGGATTACATTAATTTTATGCAAGCAAAATTAAAAGCAATAAAATTATGAGAATTTGAAAAAATCTCATTTCACTTTTTTTTAATCATAACATAATATTGCATTTTTAAATTTTCTTCAAATTATCTAATATTTTTGTCCTTTTTTTACAAAATAAAAATTTCCAGACAGCCAGATAGAACTGCAAATCATGTATGCAGGGACCAAAATGGCTCTTCAGCGAGAGGCTGACCTCACCAGAGTCTACGAAGTGAGGGAACTTGAGGAGCTGACGGAGGAATGGCTCCGTGAGAAGCTGAGCAAGTAACTGAACTTCCTCCAAACTACTCTACTCGCCATGTGACACAATTGTTTTTGATGTTAAAATTTACATAGATGTCAAAAGAAGGCCGGAGGCACTTCTGAAAGTAATCCAAGTAATTATGTGTGTTTAACAAGACAAGTGATTTGCAATATTCACAAACCGATCTTTATCCAGTCATATTTTGATGAAAAAAGTAGATGTACAACTAAATATTTTTGTACCAATTGACCATTTGCTTTTGTGTGCTGAATATTTTTGGCACAATTATTTGTTGCTTTGGTTTGCGAAATGTTGTTAACTTATTTAAAATTGATTTTAGATTAAGTACAAAATAATAATTACTACCCCTAAGGTGATGAATACTTATTTTCTCATTCAAATTCATCCCAAATGAATTTGGCTGTGCATTTATGAATGCAATAAAAGTGCAAATGGTCAATTTAAGCTTCCTATTCACCAATCATGACTCAACATTGTAATGTCACTAGATTTAACATTATACTTTTACTGCCCGTTACCAGTCTTGGGCCATATTTGATTTTTTTTGTCTGAAGAAATGTATTCCTGTTTACGTTGAAACAAAATGTAAGAGTCTTATTGTCTTTTATAAAGCTATAATATAAACACAATTTTCAAATAGCAATTTTTTCATTTACAATCAAACAACGTTGCTCAAGTCGTAGAATTTTATTCTTCTGTTTTTGCATCAATATTTAAATATGTGTGCAAGTAAAGAATTCCCCAACAAAAATTATTGTAGCAACTGAAATAAGTTAAAAGTCTGTCTCAAATGCTCCCAAATATGACACATTTTATGTTTCGTTGGCGAATACTGACTGCAATCTTTGCTTCTCAATATGAGATGTGGGTCGAATTAAATAAAAAACATCAGTCCTTGCAGCCACTTTGAAGTCAGGGCAAAAAATTGAGGCTGTCCTTTGGTGCTGGTTTCGTACGTAGACTAACATCGTATTTGAACATCCATTATTTCATGACCAGTTCATCAGAGGATTTAGGCAGAAATGAGGGAGTAAATCATTCTGAAATTATCAAAGTTTAATATTTTTGGGTATAAAATTGGGATTGGTTCAAATTTACCCGTAGAGGTAGTAAAAAAAGGATAAAAGGTAGAAAGCAAGTTTTATCCAGCCTTCACGCTGACATTTGGTCAGTGTGTCTGCATTCATAATACTGGTAGGATCGTAGAGACCAGGTCCAGACATAACAGGTCTTGTCCTGTACCTTTGGATAGGAAATTTTTAAAACAGGGTCAAAATCCGTAAAATTTATTAAAAAAATATAATACCTATTTATATTGTAGGCGATCATGGGTACGTTAATGATGAGTGAAAACCATTCTCCCGATATCAGGAAAAGCAGATTGAAAATTATGTGGAGTAAGTACTCTGGCAAAACGAGCTGAAATATATGTTGTCAAATAAGATAAGGAATTATAATGCTCTGCCTTAAAATGTTTACCGGGTTGAGGCTGTTGCACTGATCAATGGGGTTTTTGTAATCAGTTTTGAGCTCATCAAATGCTATCACCTAAAATTTATCAGTTAAATAAATTTAAAAGCAATTTAAGTCACCATTTACGTGAAATATAGCGAAAAAGATGAGGAATGCGTCCGCAATCAGGGCAATGATGTAGGAAAACGCTGCGAAGCTAAACGCCATTCTTTTGAGATGCTGTTTGTTTTTCACGCCCTGTACCGGGTGCGAGAGCCGAGATGAAACCTTTCTGACGGTCAAGATCTTCGAATAAACCTTATAAACCAGCTCGATGGACAATATCCGGGAAAAGTCACAGGGACTCGAAATTATATGCTAAATTGCGCAAAAAGTTACGGAATTACGCCGAGAGCCTTAAATTAGTAACTGAGGGGTGTGGTCGAACGGTGAATCAGGAAGGGGGTGAGTACGTTTTTTTACGGCGGGAGAAGTTCAAATGTTGCAACCCAATTATTATAATTTGCAATTATTGCCAATAAATTAATTTTTTTTTTTATAGGAATTCATCTCATGTGGAACACGAGAAATACGATTATTTTCCGGAAAAACCGATTAAAATTCCAAAATTTGTTCGGTGCTATTTGCTATTATTTTTATTTGTGCAGCCTTAAATAATTTTTATTTCCTAGCAATTTTGGTCTTTGAGATTTATTAGTTTTATGGAAAAATTTAAAACATATTATGACCATTTGTTATGTGCGTATCAACCCCATCTTTTGAGTGTCCCATTTTTTTTCATGTTTTATTTCTTATATTAGGAATGCTTTTATCATTCTTCAATGGGGAGGCTGCGATCGCTTATAGCATCTATCATCTCATTCTGATTTTTGCTCGGTTTCTATGTGCATCGCATCTGAACACGGTTTTTGACCATAGTAAAATGAGCGTGTGTTGTGCTATGCGGGAAAGCAGAAAGTTGAATTTATGTGGAAACTTAAAAAAAAAATAATGGTTTTTACCCTGAACAACCCTGACCAGGACATAACAATCAATTTTTTATTTTTTATTATTTATTTTTTAGGGTCAGGCCAAGACACGGTCTTGTTGGCCTGTGCCCTTTTTAGTAGCGCAGAAGGCGCCACTCAATTTTGTCTTTTTTTTACGAATGTTTTTTTCTGAAGTACACAACAGCGAGACGCTACGGTCAGTCATATTTGGCCTTGAAGTGAAGAAAAGTGCATTTGTTTGACACACTGCGCCGACGGATTCATCTCTCCTCAGCATCGCGCGCGCGGTCCAACCTTTTCCCGCAAAGATGCGTGTGTGCACAAAATTGCATAGCGCGCGCACGACCTGCACATTATTGCATTTTTACTTTTTCTTAACACGCTCATTACCTCTTGCTTTTTGCGACAAGGTTGTTCGTCAATTATCATTACTCATCTTTCAAACTTGATTTTATTGCAAAAGCGCTTATATTTTCCATGCATTAATTATTAACTGAGATGCTTTAAAACTCAAATTGCTTTTCAAAATTCATGCCTTTTGTTCTTGATTGATAAAAGTAAAAGTGTGTGCGTGGAATATTATTAGCCGTTAAATAACTTATTTTCTCTTCAAAGGAAATAAAATAAGGGATTAAAATATATATTTTGTTTGATTAAAAATACTTGTTAATTAATTTTATTTTGAAGAAGATAAAATGTTATGTATACATTTTTTACGCAATATTAACTTAAACGAAATAAAATGAGGGATGCAACAAAACCGTATTTGAATTTTTGATAACTGTTATGATATTTGAGTTATATTGCGTTAATACTTTTATAAATTCTTTATTTAAATTTCTTGATAGCTTAAATAATATAAAGTCACGACCTTTCATTCACTATTAAAGCTCTGCATGCATATAAGTTTTTACATGCATGAATGCTGACCCTGAATCATCAGCTAATCCCCATCAAATCCCATCCACAAAAGCTCATTTTGACTGACAATGTCAGTTTGCAAACAAGGAACCTTTCAATTGCCAGAAGAGCATTGAGGCAAGTAATGATTGCGTGGGACGATCTTAAAGATCTTGAGGAAAAGAAGCAAAAAATAAAACAGCGCGCGGAGATGAAATTAAAACACTTAAATCCCACGCCTTGACAAAAGCTCCATTTTTGCAACTCTTGCGTGCAGGTTTCATTTTTATTTATTTCAAAAATGCTGTGCCTTGGAAAGTAAAAGTATAAGAAGCACAAAAAGTGTAAGTGCTTGCAATTTTTAAGTCGATTTTTTCACTGCACCGCCGGCTCTATTTCCGTTAAGAGATTATTTCAGTCTCATCCTTTCCTTACTTACTTGATAAATCTGAAGAGCTGCATTATTATATTGCACTGCGCTTTCTCGTAAAAGTTGCTTTTTTTAAACAATTTTTGGCCGCTGCACACGATTTGCAATTTTGAGCGGGAGGTGAAAGAAAATTCTCGCTCACTTTTATATATTGCGGCACAATTTTTAGTGCGCGGATTAAGCAAAGAGTCCATTAGCCGATCTCGTTTGCTCCGCTCGAGAACGAATTAGCCAACTATGAGGAGATGCATTGTTCGGCGGCTGCTGCTCCGGTGCTCGCCGCGGCGAGATTTTCCATGGAGTTATCATCTGTCCGATTGAAAATTCGCAGCCTACAAAAGTGTCACAATAACTCTCAGCTTCTGGTGCATTAAAGAGAAACCGCGCGGACGAGATGCTTTTGATTTTTCAAATGAAAAGAAGGAAAAGAAGCGAGTTATTGGCTTGAATAAAATGCACAGGAGAGTGGAGTAATTAATTTTCGTCAGCGGCATTGTGTTGTAACGCGCGACCGTGTCTCACCTAAACACAAGTGCCTAGGGTATTGCTAAGGCTGCTATTTAGACTAACAAAGAGACAGACGACCGCTCGCACAGGTGGTTTTTGATTATCTTAATAAAATGCTAATTTCAAAATTAACAGAGTCCTCGGGCTTTGCTTTTCCTAACGGATGGTAATTGGGTGCGACAATTACCTAGAAAGAAGCTAATTGAAGATCGGTGTGTCTAGGGGATTTTTATGATTCTCTAACCACTTCTTTCTATTAAGAATTCCAAGCAACAAAGCAGCCCTTAATCAAATCTAACAAAATCAATCCTGGATTTATTCGGTCCTTCTTTATCAGTCAAAGGCGCCGATGACAATCTTGACAATGCCACGGTTCCCTAAAGCAGAACTCAAATAAAAGGAATTGATATTTGGTAATCCTCTTTTATCAGTCAAAGGCGCCGATGGCAATCTTGACAATGCCACGGTTCCCTAAAAAAGAATATACCAAAGTACGACTCTTTTCCAGCTCAGAGACAGTATTAATTCTAATTTTCTTATTCACACAAACTTTGCTATTTACACCTTTATACTGTGTATATAATATTCTGATCAATTATTCCAATTATTGCCTACCCAGGCTGACGGGATTTTATCTTAAACAATATCTGTCAAATGAAACACCTGCCGCTATCAATCATGAAGGTGCTCAATCGAGACTTGAGCCACCGATTCACCGACTTCAAGCGCCTATCAAAAGTATGCAATTTCCACTCAATTGCTTGAGCCAATTACACCTTAACTATTGAGATATTCTACCTGATTGCAGAATAAGATCAATAACCCACTTAATGGACTTAAGCAGATAAATCTCTCTCAATCTACACCTAACAGCAAGGCTGGTAAAAAGTCCTTCACGAATGAAGTCTCTTATCCACCAATTTAATCTAATCTGTGAATTTAATCTATAGCCAAAATAACACTCAATACGACTTGAATCTCTCTCGGCTCCTATCAACAATTGCTAATTTACGCTTAATAAACTTAAGCCAATCAAGCAATTGATCTAAGCTGAAGAAATGCTGTTTCCGTTCAATGAACTTGAACCAACAAGCAATGATCCGGAATGCTTAGCTCCTTGGCCAGAGAGGTCCCACTCTCTGCTCTGCCTGAGCTCCAAGCACCGAACACCGAATGAATCTTGCAGGCTGAGCTGGCCTTTTTATACCAGCAGATCGGCTGGTCAGAATCTTCTAGAGGGAGAGTGATGCGCGCGCCACTTTGTTCTCCCTCACTCTCTCTCTCCCTGCGGTGTGTGATTAAACTGCCGCCTGGTGGCGGTTTTACTGAACTTCATTAACCGGTGTTAATTTTCAAACCGGTATGCTTTTTTCAACCGGTTATTTTGTCTCGATATCTTTTGATCAAATCAGATTTATTTACACTTTTCCTGTAAAACAAGCCATAATGGCTACAAAACCCAGGCCAGTTTTTGGAAAATCATTCATTTGAGAAAAACTGTAAAACTTTTTACAAAAAGTGTAAATTTCTTTATCTCTCATAAGCACTCTTCGCTTATTACAATCATGGTTCTCTTATTTCTCATAACTTCAAACTTAAAACTATATTTACATCCTTAATTCTAGTGTTCTTTATCTTCTTGTCTGTATTATATGGTTTCTTTCCTCTCTTGGCTGGAGGATCTAGCTCCTGGAGCTTGTTTAGGAGGATTTCTAGCAGTAGGTTTTACATTGCATCCATCTGCTAAGTGGTCATCACTCCCACAGTGCCAACAGGTCTTATGAATAAAAGGACGAGTCATCTTGGAGTCTGTGTTTTCACCATTTTCGTCCTCAGGAAGCCCACTCTTTAGCTTCACCTTCCTTCCATCAATGGAATTTTTCTGATACCCATACATTGGTTCAGCCTGGGTAAAAGCAGAAGGTGGTTTCCATCTATTTCTGTGTTGGACTGATTTTTCAATTCTGAAAGAGTCTTCATACATATCATGAAGCGAACTATACTCTTTGTTTTCAACATATTGTTGGTAATTAGGATGCATATTTCCATAGGCCTTCAATACTTGTTCTTGCATAGGCACAAGGATTGACAATGAATCATACATTCCCTTGATATTGATCAAATATTGGGATAAAGTCTCATCTTCACCTTGATATCTTACCTCGATATCTTTGAGACAGTTAATATCATATTCCTGAGGCTGGAAATACTTCATAAACTCCTTTTTGAATTGAGCATATGAAGTAAAACCTTCATGAAACTCCCACCACTTTCTGGCTTCACCTTTCAAAGCAATGGGCATGTCACGCTCAAGAATTGAGTCAGGTGTCTCCTCAAGAGCCTTTGCATAGTCAATGAAACGTTTGCAAAAGAGATGAGGAGTCAACTTTTTGTTGTCACCATCAAAGGTTGGCAAGCTCACATTGATTGGAGGAACAACTTTAGAACGACCTCTGGCCCTAGCATTGTCCCCCAAACGAGAGATATCTTCTTCTGGACGTTCTGTCACACCTTTCAAATAAGGACTGATAGGCAAAGAGACACCCAATTTAACACGACTGTTACTAGTATCTCGACGCCCCCTTGATTCTCCAAGTGTGAAATCATCATCAATGATATTTTCCTGCCTATTTACAGGAGTACTAAAGAGAGTATTTTGCCTGGGAGTGCTTGATTCATGCAAATTATCAAACCTATGATCAAGTTGATTAATTCGCTTCTTACTTGCCTCCGCAAAAGTGAAGAATTCATCAGTGAGTTTCTTCATATTTTCAGAAATTTTGAGAAGATTTTCATGCAACTCATCATTTCTTTGACATACGAAATCCATCATGGGTTTCATGACTTCATGAATCAACTCAATCATTTTGTCATGCTTCTTCAATTTTTTGGATGCTTTTTCAAGCACTTTAGCAACATCTCCTTGTCCTTGGACAACACCTCCTCCTTGTTTGTTGTCTGGAATCGCTGGAGGAGGATTCTGATTGACGACAACAGGATTTGGCGTTCCACTCCCTGCGGAGTTGTATTGAGAACCTTGAGATTCGTCTCCTTCCATATTTGAAGATCAATCAAAAACCTGAATTTAATCAGATCCCGGCCGAGCCCCCAATTCTGTAACGCGCGACCGTGTCTCACCTAAACACAAGTGCCTAGGGTATTGCTAAGGCTGCTATTTAGACTAACAAAGAGACAGACGACCGCTCGCACAGGTGGTTTTTGATTATCTTAATAAAATGCTAATTTCAAAATTAACAGAGTCCTCGGGCTTTGCTTTTCCTAACGGATGGTAATTGGGTGCGACAATTACCTAGAAAGAAGCTAATTGAAGATCGGTGTGTCTAGGGGATTTTTATGATTCTCTAACCACTTCTTTCTATTAAGAATTCCAAGCAACAAAGCAGCCCTTAATCAAATCTAACAAAATCAATCCTGGATTTATTCGGTCCTTCTTTATCAGTCAAAGGCGCCGATGACAATCTTGACAATGCCACGGTTCCCTAAAGCAGAACTCAAATAAAAGGAATTGATATTTGGTAATCCTCTTTTATCAGTCAAAGGCGCCGATGGCAATCTTGACAATGCCACGGTTCCCTAAAAAAGAATATACCAAAGTACGACTCTTTTCCAGCTCAGAGACAGTATTAATTCTAATTTTCTTATTCACACAAACTTTGCTATTTACACCTTTATACTGTGTATATAATATTCTGATCAATTATTCCAATTATTGCCTACCCAGGCTGACGGGATTTTATCTTAAACAATATCTGTCAAATGAAACACCTGCCGCTATCAATCATGAAGGTGCTCAATCGAGACTTGAGCCACCGATTCACCGACTTCAAGCGCCTATCAAAAGTATGCAATTTCCACTCAATTGCTTGAGCCAATTACACCTTAACTATTGAGATATTCTACCTGATTGCAGAATAAGATCAATAACCCACTTAATGGACTTAAGCAGATAAATCTCTCTCAATCTACACCTAACAGCAAGGCTGGTAAAAAGTCCTTCACGAATGAAGTCTCTTATCCACCAATTTAATCTAATCTGTGAATTTAATCTATAGCCAAAATAACACTCAATACGACTTGAATCTCTCTCGGCTCCTATCAACAATTGCTAATTTACGCTTAATAAACTTAAGCCAATCAAGCAATTGATCTAAGCTGAAGAAATGCTGTTTCCGTTCAATGAACTTGAACCAACAAGCAATGATCCGGAATGCTTAGCTCCTTGGCCAGAGAGGTCCCACTCTCTGCTCTGCCTGAGCTCCAAGCACCGAACACCGAATGAATCTTGCAGGCTGAGCTGGCCTTTTTATACCAGCAGATCGGCTGGTCAGAATCTTCTAGAGGGAGAGTGATGCGCGCGCCACTTTGTTCTCCCTCACTCTCTCTCTCCCTGCGGTGTGTGATTAAACTGCCGCCTGGTGGCGGTTTTACTGAACTTCATTAACCGGTGTTAATTTTCAAACCGGTATGCTTTTTTCAACCGGTTATTTTGTCTCGATATCTTTTGATCAAATCAGATTTATTTACACTTTTCCTGTAAAACAAGCCATAATGGCTACAGTGTTATGTGTATAGAAATTACAATAAAAAAGAAATTGACGCTCTAATCTATCTACTGTAAAATCAAGCCAAATGAAATGTTTTTAATTTGTTGAATTTTTATACTGAATAATTTTACACTTAATTGCAGCGATGTGCTATAAATACTATTCGAAATAGAAATAAATTTTGTCTTGCGGAACCTGGATATTAGATCACATAAGTTAATAAATCCTTTCTGATTCCGATTCCATAGTCATTTAATTTGAAAACTAATGATTGATCTATAACCAACACTAATGTAAGAAAAGAGCAAACGAAAACAAAATAAATTAAATTTATAATTTTAAATGCATAGAAAATTATAAATTTGTTTTATAGTTTTTATCATATTGAGAATTAATTAATTAGAGATTAATTATACCATGATCTTTTTCTAGTAAATTATTAATTAAAAAATATATTACAAAATTATTATTCATATCAGTACAGTTTTAATTTTTCATTGTTCAAAGAAAAAAATTCGATCCTGTGATCTTAACATGAGTCAGAAGTTTGCGGCCTTCGATATCTGAAATTCCCCTAATCAGGAAGCAAACAATAACTTTGGGCCACGAACGTGTAATTGGGATGCCGCCAGGGCCGCGAAATCGGCCCTACTACGTTTGTCAATATTTGAATTTCACACACTCATCATAATTTTTCGGTCTTCTGCTAAAAGCGAAAGAAGTGTGCAAAAGTGCAGGACGGTGAAGCGGTGCGTGTCCGACGAGTCTGAATGGGTGCGATCTAAGCCTAGGTCCAGCTCATCAACTAGGCCAAGGCTCGAGTGTGTGTTTTTTTACGCGAGAGAACCTTGTTGGCGGAAGATGCAGAGTTGGATGCACTCTCACTCTCACACAATCTCGTTCGGCGTCTCGCGTGACGAAATCGCCAGACGCGTCGGCCGACGACACAATGCAAACGACTACTTGTCCCTAATTATTTTCAGTTCTCATTTGACACCAGACAAATTTGATTCGATTTATGTGCGCAACTGGAGCTTGGGAAACGAGAGAGTTGCTCTTTACAGCCTCCACATGCGCATGCAAAATTACACCAACTGTCGCGAATTAATCGCTGTCGCACCGTGTCACTTCTAATGGGTCACGCCAATTTGCTTTGTCAACCGGCGTCCTTAAAAATCGCTTCAACAATAGACATTTTCACTTGATTAACTTTGCACAAATCACCACCGCTGTTCTGAAACTTTTTGCGAGAGTTGGAGATATTTTTATGATAAAATTATTGAGTATTAAATATTATAAAAATTATCAATTTATATTTAAAAATATGGCTTACAGAAGTGTCTTAAATTTCAAGGTACTTGTTTTAATTTTCTTTTTTTAATCACAGAAATAGTCAATTTGAGTTAAAATGAAGTGTATTGTCTTTAATAATTGGTATATTAAAAAATACATTTAACTAATAAGAAGAAAACAATTCTTTTTATTTTTCTCAATATTTGATTATTCGCAGTAGACAAAGGGAAATCAAAGTTAATACGTTATTAGAGTATTTTTATATTAAATTAATAATATTTTTTGATGTTTTCTGAACTGGAAAAGTCCAATTGTCAAAGCACCTTGAAGTAAATCTATGAACGGAGGCCAAAAATCATCCTTTGACAAGAGGACTGCAATGTCATACATCGCGTAATTATACAATCGCGGCAATGTCCGTAATTCGATAACAAGGAGCCTCAATTCAATTCTCCGGCAGATCCAAGGCCGCACTACAGTTTTTACGGAAGAGCGCCGACGGATGCATCAAGTGAAAATCACGTGCGCCTCCGCTCCATTATTATCAACTTGGTTTTATTATTATACATATTTTTTGCGACGGCCCAAGTCTCATCCTCCGTCAGTAAAATTAATAGCGGAGCTCGACGGTTCAAGATCGAACAAGAGGACTTTCAAATTTTTATACATTTTTGTTCCGGAGCCGATATCGAATACTAAAATCCGTGCATCTCGCCTTGAGATTCACTTTTATTTATTTTTTTCTCTCTTGAGATTCAAACAATGCTGGGAACTGATTCGTGCATCTCTTGGTGTTTGCTTCGTGACATGGTTTCGCGTCGCGCAATTAATTCGCGTGTTATAATAAATCACGCGTGGGGCGGCCCAACTGCAAACGAAAAAAGGAAAATTGCCCAATTCTGCAGCGAATAGTGTCGGCGCAGGTGCGCGTCCATCCGTGCAATCCATTCGGCCGCCACCATCGCGCGCGCTTCTTCATTCGGCGCCCCTTCCAAGCTGAGAAAGTGAGTGGGTGCGATGGTGGCGGCTATATAAAGCCAAATTCTTCTGATGAGCTATCAAACGATCCACCGGCGACCGTGCAACCAACACAGTCGCTACAATCATGAAGGTAAGAAAATATCAGTTTCAACTTTTTCCATAAATTTAAACATTTACTTGAAAAGTTATTACATATTTAAATATCATTAGCCAAATACAACGATATTTTGAGAGGTTTGAACTAATTTTCTGTGGGTATTTAATTTGCAAAGAAAATTACTAAAAAAATATTAAAACGACATCTTATTCCAAGGTTTATGAATCGAAATTTCCAATTATAATCAATAAAAGTGCAAAAAATTTAATTAATAATTCAACTTTTCCTAAGGAAATTATTTCCAACTTTAAAATTATCATAGTAGAAAAATATAATTATTATAACTTGGTCCGTGTTCATTTGTTCTGATTCTTACATTCTTAGTCTAACAATATTAGTGAATTATATATTATATTTAATCAAAAGTAGAAATCGGAAATTTAATCATGCCTTTAATTCATATACCAAATGTAAGTAACTTTTTCACACCACTGCAAGTTGCATTCGCGCGCTCTTCATTATTGAGGTATAATAAATAATTATGACACTTGCAAAATTTATTTTTGCAGTTCTTTTTGGTCGCAGTTGTGATCTCCGTCGCAGTCTCGCAAGCCCATGGTATGTGTTTTTTTTTATTTATAGGAAAAAAAATCAACAAAAATATTTAATTCAAACTTTCTCAGGTGGCTTTGGAGGCGGCGGTGGTGGCTACTCTGGAGGCGGAGGATGGTCATCCGGAGGTGGTGGTGGCTGGCCCTCTGGAGGCGGCGGCGGATTTAAGTCTGGCGGTGGTGGAGGATGGTCCGGAGGCGGTGGTGGCGGCGGATGGTCCGGAGGCGGAGCTGGAGGTGAGAAATTAATAAAAATTTTTGTTTTTCATTATTTAATTTTGATTTAAAATTTTTAATTCATAAGGTTATGGAGGTGGCAGTCCTCAAATCGCTAAGGTGATCATTGTCAAGAGCGGCGGCGGCGGTGGTTATGGAGGCGGTTTTGGAGGAGGCCTTGGAGGCGGCTCTGGTGGATGGAGCACCGGAGGCGGTTCCGGCGGATGGAAGCTTGGAGGCGGCTCTGGAATTGGAGGCGGCTCTGGAGGTTGGAAGATTGGAGGCGGTGGTCTCCGAGGTGGTGGATACGGAGGAGGCTCTAGCTTCGGAGGTGGCTCAGGAGGCTGGAAGATTGGAGGCGGTGGACTTGGGGGTGGACTCGGAGGCGGCTCTGGAGGCTGGAAGATTGGAGGCGGTGGTCTCGGTGGCGGATATGGAGGTGGCGCTAGTAACGGATGGAGCGTCGGAGGCGGCAGTCTTGGAGGCGGATATGGAGGTGGCGCCGGAGGCTGGAAGCAGGGCGGTGGTGGAGGAGGATGGAGCCTTGGAGGCGGCAGTGGTCTTGGAGGAGGCTATGGAGGCGGTGGTGGTGGCTGGAAGTCCGCTGGTGGTAGCGGAGGACTCGGCGGCTTTGGAGGAGGCTCTGGAGGACACGGTGGGTGGTCCAGCGGCGGCTCTGGAGGCTTTGGAGGCGGCAGCATTGGAGGTGGCTCCAAAGGTATATATATCATATTTCTAATATTTTTTTTTAATTATTCGAAAAAAAAATTAATTCAAAATTTTATTTTAAATGGTTTATAAATTCCAGGTTGGTGGTAAATTTTGGACTGAAAATTCCTGCGGTCATCACATTCCTCGCGCACGCATTTAAAATCGACGACCTAGCCCTCTGTGTTGAGTGTTTTTATACCAGCTTGTGTCTGTATTGTAATGCCCCAACTGCACATATGAAAATAAAGCATGTTTGTAGCATATTTTTGTAAAAACTAAAAACAAGATATTTTTCTTACTATTAAATCATCCATAATTGACATCCGCCTTTACAAATATTTTCAGAGATGGAAAGACGAACCAATGTTGTAAAATATGGAATTAAAATCATACATTTATTTCTTACTCAATAATTTATTAAATATTAAGCACTACATCAAGTGAAACTTAGGCTAATCAAAACCAAACTTGTCATCATGAGTACAAATTAAGAAAACACTAAAGAGGCACAATCAAATTTTGATTAAATCGTTTAGTTAATATTGAAAATTTTAAATACGAAAATGAGCTGCTATCGACATTAATGGTAAAACTTAAGTGATATAAATTAATGAAAATTTTCATGTAAAAAAATATTGATCAAATGAATTAAATGATACAAAATGCTTAAAGCTGGTACAACTTGAAGTCTTTCATAATAATTTTCCAAAGAATTAATTGCGTTTATCGTCAAAGGCAATCAGCTCTGACTTTGCACTTTTTCCGGCACATATGAAAGAGTTTGCACAAAAACCACAAAACAGAGTCAATTCCACTTTTCGCGTCTCATCGATTCGCCAACAGCGACTCCGCTCCATTCTCCCCATCAAACTTTTGTTTTCCCCAATTTTTACTCTTTAGCGGAGTCGAACGAATTTGGTCAGAATATCCGTTGCGTGGTCGGGTCCTCGACTATGCCGGCCAAAAGGGCAACCTGGGTCAACCTGTCAATGACAAAGTAGACAAAGGGTCGCGTTGCGTCCAAAACCTCCGAGGTTGAGCGTGCCGTAATCACTCCTGAAACCACACCAAAGGCCATGCATTATTTTTTGTTTGTAAAAGTGTAAAAAAAGTAATAAGGCCGCTGTCTAAGAAGTGCACTTTGCCTGGAGGTGCGCTTAATTTGGCAAGGATATTCACATTCTCTTTGGCATATATTTTTAGGAGAGAGAAATTTCTGCTTAGGTCATTGTGTATGTGCGAGGTTTTCATCAAGACACTGCGGTGGTCATCTGCCAACTATCATAATCTCTTAAGCCAATTTGCTTATCAAGTATAGATCTCTTTTTCTTTTGAAACAGATTATTTTAATTTTATTTAGCTTCAAATTTCGTAAAAAAAAAATCATGTGGTGCGGGTTCAATTAGGCTTGGGAATAGTTGAAAAAATCACTAAAAGAAATAATATTTTGATTACGAATTATGTTCATTTAAGGAGAAGAAAGTCGATTGAGAATTTTCCCAGATTCAAATTAAATTAAAATTAAATTGGCATGTTTAAATATGTTTAAAACAGATCGTTCAAAAATATATTTTCATTCAAAAATTCAATTTAGTTTTCTTCTGTCTGGCACAAAAAGGTTCCTAATTTCATATTAGGGGAAGAACATCCCAAGAATATATTCAAACATTCAAATCTCAACACCATTAATAATACACCAGCAGTTAAAACTAAAAAATAGAAAAAAATTTTAGAGGACCTAGAGGGAGGATTTCCAAAATCAAGAGAAAAAAAACGAAAACGTCCACCTCTTTTTAAGAAGTTGAAATGAATTTGAATTTGATTTATAAGTAATTTAATTGCTTAGTTTTATTTTACATTGAATACAGAAGTGCGAAAATTGTTCTGAAAAGTCAACTGACTTTTATTATTCCTGCCCTAAATTTGATGAGCAATTTTTAAGACTTTTACTTTTACAATTATTTTGCAGCACAATTTCAAGATTAGACTGCAACGATTAGATTTTATTTTCGTGATGCGCGTCTTGGTGCATCCTGCATGCTCACTTTCTATGCGCAATACGCGCGCATTTCTATTAATATCAAAGCTGCCATGTACCATTAAATAGTCATTACGCCGCAATACTGCTTCAAGCTAATCGTGTCACATCCAGGTTAAGTAGCATGCTTTAAATTGTATTGTTATGCAATTGCTTCTAGATAAGTCTAGCTTTTTGTGTCACTTTTATTTTTTAATCCAAAATGAAATTCTAAACGAATACGCGCTTTAAAATATTCAGAATGCGTCAACGCTGCTTTGGCACAATCTCAAGTTTGAAAATAATAAAACAGTGATTTTGACAGATGGTCAAGTGACTTGTCGTTCAAGTGCTCCTTTAACGCCTTGCATTATTCATTTCATCTTCGAAACTGATTTCTGAATGCAGCGGATCGCTCTAGTCCCTTGCATAAATATTAATGAAATATAAAAAAGAGCATCCTGTTTTCCCAAGCTTGTGTTGCGACACCAATACAATTTTACGGTAATCGTAATAAAAGTGGCAGTGTTTCAATTCTATATCATTCTATGCAAATTTGATCAGTTTAATGTATTACATGCAATTACGTAATTGTTCTGAAAGAACACGCAGTGATGACGGTTCTGCAAGGGTGCCCGTAAAGGCCGAGGTCCGTGCCAGAACAAAAGCGAATCGTCGCACATTGTGCGAAGCCAGCAGACCATTTCACACAAAATCACACCTCCTTTCACGCCAGCAATCATTAGGTACAATTAATTGAAAGTAACAATTGGACGATTTTAAGAACATATAGGGAGAGGAATTTAAAAAAAAGGCATTGTTTAACTTCGCAGAAGGGCAGTTCAAAGACCCACACAATATGTGGGAAGAAAAGACAACTATTTATCTTTGTGCGCGGCAATTAAAGTATAATTTTGCGATGAAATCTTTATACGCATGAATCATATATAAAATCTGGGAATAAATTCACTGCGCATTTTTATGAATCTAATTTTGGAACAACTTCAAAAAGTTATTTTACTGACACTTACTTGTGTGAAGCGATGTGACCTTTCCAAAGTTCATATCAATGACCTGCTCGAGGTGTCTGACAAACAATCCAGGGTCTACAGACATTTTGTCCAGTTTGGCGTTTCTTGGGTCGAAAATGTCATGAATGCCGATCTACAAACAAAAGTGAGACCATTAAAAAGAGCCAGAAAAAAAACTTTGAAATAGTAAAAATCTTGAAAGAAACAATTATTGTCTTTTTTTAAAACAAATATTGAAATTTTTTATTAAATAAAAATATTAAAAATAATTATGCTATTTGTTGGTAACTTAATTCAACTTGCCTGTTGGAGGGCAGAGGTGAGGACGACGGTGCCCTTGGCAGAAAAAGAGGGAACGGTGACGTGAACGTGGTTGGGTTTGAGGGCGTCGAGCACCGACCTCAGCGGCATGTTGGTCATTCCCTTTACGAGGTGCTTGAGGGCCTGTGGCCGGCCGTCGTAGGGCACCAAAACCAGCAAACCGTACCGTGGTTCCTGCGCACCAGCAACACGGAAAAAGAAGGGTTATCCAAAGGTAGCAAGTGCATTTGAGATGCGCCGATTAGGATGCAGTTAACTCATTATGCAAATGGACTTTTATTGCGGCCTATTCAATGCCATGAAACAATTAATTCAACTGCTTGCATTTTTATCTGCGAGTGGAAATCTGATTTTCAAATTTGCATAATTATCTTAATTAGCTTTAATTATATCGTCTTTCAATTTTATGAGGGAACTTCTTGCATTTGAAATAATAATCTATAGAACTACAATAATTATGCGTAATAAAATGCATTACGATTTAATTTTTGATTTAATGTTTTGCGCCTTTTTAGCGAATTGCAAATAAAAATATTGTAATTAGTACTTAAATATGCAATTCCAATTGGTTTGATTTGTATATTTTCCATATATTCTTCAGAAAAATTTGCACACAAAACGGAAAGATCATCTTTTAAATATTTTAATATAGCACTGAAATATAGATATTAATTGGCGCAGAACTTGGCATAAAAGTAGGATTATCTTTAAACACGCAACCTGCAGTACTATGACGCCACGCTGGTTGCCTAACTTCACGGTGTTATCGTTTAAAGCATGGCTAAAAATATGAGTGAGCTGCAACAAAAAGTGAAAATGACTCACGTCAAGCGGCAAGAGCGCGGCGACTGCTCCCAACTGCGGCAGCGACGAGAAGAGCAGCATTTCCGTCCTCTCCTGCACGACCACCGGTTCGGTGAAATCACCGGAAAAGAGACGGAACCTTTTTCGAGGCGCCAAAGGGTCGGGCACCGACGACTCAGATGATGATGGACTCTGCTGCGCCAGCCCGTTGTTGAGTTCTATGTCAGGGAATAGAGCGTGGCTTGCTGAAACATACGCATCCCTCAAGTGATTACCTTGTCGGTGCGAGTTAGACGGCAGCACTATGTCTTTCCACAAAGTCACTGGAAATCATTTCAAATTTTTGGTTAAAATAAAAAAATTTATAGTTCAAATTGGAAAAAAAGAGCTTTGTGAAAGTGGATTCAAATCAAAAATCAAATATAGTGAAGTAAAAGTGTGCCAAATATTTTTCGAACCAAAAAAATTGATATTAAAATTTAGGCTGCTTAAAAGTTCGATAGAATATTATTTATCTTCCTTTAACAACTTCCACCCCAAAAAATGTAATATTAAAAACTCGATTTTTTGGGACTATGATGGCATGAATGTGCTTTTCTCTTTTTCTTTTTGCAAACTATATTACTGCTGATTGCTGCCTATGATTTATTTAATAAGGTAAACTTTTTCGCAAAATAATTTCGTCCTTATTTTTCAAGGAACCACTGATATATGTTAAACACATTCCAAAAATGATATAATTAAATCCACTAAAAATCAGCTGAAATAGCTTTTGTTTCAGACTCTACAAAATTTCTTTTTTTAAACTTTGAGCCGCGTTAAATATATAAAATTAAATATTTTTTGTTTATTTTCAAATAAGAAAAAAAATTCAATAATTTGCGCCTTAAATCAATTTTTTTTAGTAAAAACTGTAACTCTGACTATTCCAATCCATAATCTGAAACATTTCAAGTGCATTTAAATTAAATTTCAAAGTGTGTTTACTTTAAATTCTAAGTGGTGCGATGCAAATATTTTTTAATTGATTTAATTTGCAAGATTGTGACTTTCTGCATCCAACAATGTGCCAAAAACAACTTCAATTTGGTGCCAATCAATAAAAAAATCTAATTATGATCAAATTACATCTCTTACTCGCTCTCTTTTTGCGCCTCGTTTCCTCTCCATAGTCCTGCGCCGCCTCCTCGGTCGCTGCTTCCTCCGTCGCCTGTTCTTCGGCCGGTGGCTGCAAAAATAGAAAACGCATTATTACCTGTTTTCTGCCGCGCGATTTTGTACCTCTTCCGTCTGCGCGTCCTCATTAACGAGACTATCGCTCGGAGGCGCTTCATTAATTTCCGATTGGGAGGTAGAGGCTGCAAAAAAGCAACGATGAAAATAAATAAATTTGGGTCAGAAGAGCGAAATTCGCTCACCTTCTGTTTCTTCGTCGTTCATGGGCATGGTGGTAGTTTCCATTGGCTGCTGCTGGTCTTGCGCCTCGTCGTCCACGTGGTAGCCGTAAAAACGCAGCAGCGGAATGAAGTCGGCCCTGAGGGACGTGTTGTTGTGGCTCAGGTCGACGCCTTGCAAAAACCCATTGTGCTTGAAGTACGACTGGAATTCCGCATTTTATATTAATCAATTTTCGGCAACTTCCTTTTTATTGAAATGAAACACGGCTGGTAAAAAATTCATTAATTCGCTCAAGAGTAGAGTATGAATTATTCCAGCAATGCGATAATTACATTGGTTTAAAATACGCAAGTCTACGATTATACTGGATATATTGCCCACACAATAATATCACTATCAGCAATTTGATGTTTTGTGATATTGCTGACTTTTATGATAATAAAATAATTTTAAAAAAGATTGAATTGAAGTGCTGATATTTAGCGATAGATTTTTAATATTAAAAATTCTGAAATTTTAGTTTGAAAATCATTGCTGTCTAATGAAGAAACAAAACGTTTTTAGGAAGGGAAATAGCGAAATAGCCTTTTGTAAATATTAAACTTGACTGAAAAAAGAAAGATTTTTTGTTTTTAAATTGAATAATATATTCATAAATAAATTGATTTTCAATATAGAAAAACTAGCATAATTTGATTCTTAAGATATTTTAATCAAATTTTTACTGTAATATAATATGCATTTACTTTTATTAACTGAAATTTTAATTTTTAAAGGGATTTTTCAACAGTATAATTAGTGTATTTTACCTTCAGGTGTCTGTGGAGGTCTCTCATTCCGACCCTGACGAGTTCAGCGTCCTTAGGCAGGTTCAGAGTGCTGCTCAGTTGGACGGCCGACATTCCTGAAGAGCCCTCGTTCAAAACGCACAGGACCGAAGTTGCTCCGTACGGAGAAAAAACAAAGTTTCCTCTCGCCGTCACGTGGTCCTGGAATAACAATTTGGCGAAAGATGATTCACCGCAAATTATCTTCGCATCGGGCTTTCATTATGTGGTTTGACACACAGCTTATGGCGCATCCGTATTTGGACAAAAATTATTGTTGATGGTGAAAAAATCCTCAATCAAGTTCTCTAGGCCGTCAATCTTCTTTTCGCGAAATGAAAATAACAAAGCTAATTTGGAAGCGCTACAATATTTTTTCATTTTCGTTGGCCTCTTTCGCGGAAGGCGCTGACAAGCGCAAATTCCAATTCTCTGTACTCCGTCACGTTCAAAACAAAGAGTCGTAAAATCCACTTTTTCCACGAATCAAAAAAACCAAAAGTTGTCGCAAAATATTTCATCTTTCCCGCTTGGTTCGAATCATAAATTTTATTCTCTCGTTAGCCATAAAATTACAGTTTGCAAAGTGAACTAGACAGCAGTTTTATTTCCGTCACTGCGAGCGAGTGACGGCCGTGGCCTTGCACATCTTCGAGGGCCACCGCGTACGGCGGCGCAGCATAATTTATTTTTCAGAGATATCAACGAGCGCAGGAAGTGGCGGAATTAAAAATTCGGGTCCAAATAAAAACCGTTCAATTAAACGGTTTAATTAGGCGCCGCCCGATTTGCATGTGAAAGGGTTCACGCCGGATTGACCAAGCGCACGGGTGTCATGACGACGCGCAATGACCTTTCAATTAGATAACTGCTTATCTGCCCATCTATATCCATTGGAAACCGCGCAAAGCCACGCGATTATTATAATTAACGGGATGTTGCGCGGCCGTTCTAATCTAAAATTTGTGCAAATCGATGGGAATTTGGAAATCCACAAATACGTTTTTAGGTCACTGTGCTACCTAATATGAATTCAATGACGCAATGTAATTCAATTGCTAAATAATTGAAGATGAGTAATTTATAATTTTAATTAAGATCTCATTAGGTGCACATTTCAATGTCACGAGAGATGTGTTGGATGTTCTCTCTCAATAGAACAAAAGGCGGCGTGAATTTCATCAGTCAGAAATTCACACTTTAATTAACAGGAGTTTCAATTGTCTAACAAAAATAAAATAAAAAAACAGCTACGTTGGAGGCCATATTATCACTAATCTCATTTCCCAATGATGTTACTGTTGCCCTCGGAATTAAATTAAAATTTGATCGAGCTGATCATACAATGAGACAATAGAATAATTAGATTATCTGCATATAATGCATTTTTATGCAGAACACTTTATCATATAAAACTGTTAAAAGTATTAACATTTAGAGGGGACAACAAAATTTTAGAAAATTCCTATAAGAAACAATGTCAGTTTTCCATAATTTAGTTCTTCCATTTAATATTTTGTGATGTTTTCTTAAAATTGACATTTAAAAACTAATTTTATGCTAAGTTGGGGACAGATTGGGACAGATTATTGTCAAAATTAATCAAACCATATTTTAGCAGAAGCCCATTCTTGGAGTTATTAGTCGAAGCTTTATTTAATTATACTTATCAGAAAATCAGAAAATTTTTTCATCATTTTTTATGTCTTTACCCGCAAATTACTACAGACGACTTTAAAATTTAATTTTGAAATAAAGTTGATGTTTGGGTGAAAGCAGCGTGCAAAATTTGTGCGAAGCGTGATAGGTGGGCAATAAAAGCGCGCGCTCGAGTCCTTCACACGGCGCACGTCCTTCGACCAGTCGCGCTGCTCTCAGGGTCAATGCATCGAGCTCAGGGTCCACCCTTGCGTGACGTGAGCGCGCCGTCCTCCGAGGGTCGACGACCGGCGACGGCGGCGATTTTCCGGCCATTCTCAAAACGTCGCGTCAACTCGCGCCTAGTAATTGGAGATCGCGGCGCGTGCACCGAATCGCGTCGATCCGTGTGTTTTCACTGATTCGTCATCAGTGCTCTTTCTATTGGCGCAAATATTTCTAGCTGGGACACATCGGAGGCGTTCCAGAATTTGTCACCAAAGTTCAATCAACCCGCGATTCGATCAAAACAAAAAGCAATAAAAATATCGGGTTTCAAACATTTAGGTAAGAGGTGAAATATGAGTGCAAAACATGACATGCAACAATGGCTTTAAAATGGTTATAATTTGGAGAGTCAAACTTTGAGAGGTTTATTTTTTGAATGTATAGACAATTTTACTTCAAAGTTTGGTTCAAAGGCAAAGAATAAGAAAAAAACACGATTCTCAAAAACTTCTAATTTTAATAAAATTTTATTTTCCAAATCACCATTTAATTTCCAAAATTCTAAAAATTATACTTAAAAAATTTATTTCGTTGCGACTATAAATTAGGAAATACGTACTTTTAAATGAAAGCAAGTGAAAATGAGATTTAATTTCTCTTCAAGGCATTTTAAAACAGGCAATCTGCGTTTTGAAAGCAATCGATACCCAGATTTACAAATCTAACCAACACGTTATCCACAACCTTGAAAAGTTTTCTTACCTAAAAAATTAATAGAATGGGGGTAAATCAGTCTACAAATTTTAAGGCCAAACATTAACTTTTTGTTGCATACAATTAATTATGTTTTTCAATAAGCCTCCCTCATAATGTAGATTTCATTATCAATTTAATTTTAAAAGGTTTGTAAGAATTGTGTGTAAGAAAAAATCTTTAAAAAAAATTCCCAATTCCTTTTTATACCTTTAGCCAAATTATTACAGATTTAAAATTATATTGATCGCATAATTAAATATTTAGAATGTTTTTGATGATTTAAAAATCTGAATGAGACATTAAAATATTTCGCTCACCAAAAGCACCCTTGTGGCCAGACTGTTGACCACGTCCGCCATGAAGTCCATGGGCCCCTTGACGGGCTTTTGCGGGGCCGGTTCCGGCTTCCTGTTGGGCCACTGTGGTTGTCCTTGCTGGTTGTAGCCTCCGGGAACATTTCCAGGGCCGTTCTGGTAAGACCCTGGAGGGCCCCCTTGGTAACCTGGAGGCGGTCCTTGCTGGAAACCTCCAGGTCCCCACGGAGGCCTGTTGTTCATCGGCGGAGGGCCAAAGTCGGGCCTCCGAGGGGGTTGTCCGTACGAACCCGGAGGGCCCTGGAAGAGCGCCTGTCCGTAGGGGCCGTTGAAAGGGGGAGGCTTGTTGAAGGGTCTCTTCTGGGCGTAAGGGTCAAAGGGTTGGAAGGGTGGAGGACCTCCGGGGCCCAAATTCGGGGGAGGCCGGCCGTACTGCTGAGGCCCCATGGGCCCAAGTGGGGGCCCAAAGTATGGGCGCGGGGGCCCGTAGTTGTTCGGCGCCTTCCCCGCGGAACCCAAATAGTCTGGGGGTGGCATTCTGGCCTCAGGGCCTTCTACGAAGGGGGCAGGACCAAAGTTATCTTGAGGACCATTGTTGTACGGAGGGTTAGGCCGGTAGTCCTGTGGATGGCCCATGTGCAGTAAGGACAGGAGGGCTAAAAGTTTTGAAATTAGATGTGATGAAAAATTTTAATGAAAAAAAATAACAGAAACTCTTAGCTTTTGTATGCAATAAACTGATAATTAAGAAAAATGAATTCAAACTAATTGGATCTTTTTTATTGGCAAAAAAAAAATCGTAAGTCTTTCAAACATAATATTCATAAAATATTTTCTTCTTGATCCAAATTATTATAAATTTTAAATCGGAACGATTAAGAAAAGTTATCGTTGCATATCTTTTTGAGTATTTGTATAAAATTTGCAGTTTTTCATTTACTTTTCTGAAAAATTAATTTAACTTATTAAATCTAATACATGTATAATTATGTAATATGGTAAAACCGTACAACTACTCACACAAAGTAAAAAAGGAATCCATTTTCGAAAATTGTGTGGCGGACACGCCAGCGCGAGGCTCTGTTGCACAACTCACGAGCACCACTAGGGAAAAACTGCAGAGAGAGAGGATGGAAGCAAAGCGGAGAGAGAAACAGAGGCGGCACACAACACAGCGCCCCCCTGCACTCGGCCCGTGTGTTTTTTAATACACATATCCCACACAAATCTGATAAAAATCACGGCTGAAAGGAAGCGACGAGAACAAACGCGGACGCTCTTGCCATTAAAATTTGCTAAAACCTCTCACGTTTTAATTGTTCAAAATTATAAATTGCTCTCACTTTTTGGATTCAATCTGGATTATAATAAATATTAAATTTCTATTGTGATGATTGTTAAATCAGTAACACATAAGTGAATAAAATTTTTACATGCAACACAGATTTTTTTTAATTATTACAAGTGTTGATCCTATTGGTAACGTTTTAAAGAGTTGCTATTCCTTTAAGAAAATTTATTATCTAATGAAAATAAAATCTTTTAAGAAACTTTCAACAAATATTTGGACACTTTGAAATATCTTATCTATGTTGCACTTCAAGAGATAGAAAACAACTAAAAATTTTAGTAATTGCAACAAATAATGATTTTTTTCCTTTAATATATATATATATTTTCTGTACATCAATCTTGATTCTCCGGTTTTTTTTTTCATTTCAGCAGAACATCTTCTTTTATTCTTTTCCTCTTCATCGCAAAACAAAGAACAAGTATAAGACAAGTGGTGTGGAGCGATGAGAAAAATTCGCACGGCAAGGACGCCAGCAGAGCATGAGAGAGACGCGCGCGTCTTCTCTTTCTCGCTCCTCGCTCGCACAGCAAAAAGCAGAATAATCTACTCAGGCTGTACTCTTGCTGTTAACAGATTTTCAAGGTGCGTTCAATTCCGAATGCAATTACTTTAATATTATAGTTCCCGGAAAAGTATAGTTGCTGGGAACAGTTCATCATTATTAAACTTTATTGATAACACGTGATTAACGCGGATTCCTGAGATTTGTTCAAGTTTCATTAGCAAAATTAATATTTATGAAACATGATTGATTTAAATAACTAACAAAGCAGTGTTTTATAACGTATGATACTCAACTCCGGTTTAAAATAAATATTCAGTCAGATGTGAAATGGCTTGATGGGCACAATGTGCGTAATAGCAGAAATTCACAAAAATCCAAGTCTTATAATAAATAGCGCTCATTTTTAAAGAGAAACGGAGTGCCAATGAATCGCATATGTCTCTCTTTGGTTGGGAATAAAAAATGACCAGAGCGTAGACAAAATGGAATATTAATTTAAATGAATTGTGAGAAGCTCAGCGGCTCAAGCTATAAAGCATAGTCGATAGAAATCTGAACCAGAAACTATATTTGGCAGTGAAGAACTGAGTGTGGTACAATATTTTAAACTAAGCAGGTAAACAAAAGTCACAATACTTAAGATTGTGCTAAGAAAAGGTAATAATAGTCGAAAGAAACCTGAAAGATGACTTATTTTTGACAGTGAAGGAGTAGCAATCGCTCATTTTTTTAAACCGAGGTTTACAAAAGTTCGGTAGATCAAGATCTTCAGGAACCATGACCTATTTTTGACAGTGAAAGACTAGCAATGGCTTGAATTTTATTTATTTATTTATTCTCCATTCAGATACATGAAATACACAACATCTTACATCAAGTCAATACACAAAAAATTAATATAATATACTGAAAAGACATGTTAATAATGTTGATTAGAGGGGGGTGAATGGAGAAATGGCTCTTCGCTAGCAAGAACTTGCTAAAGCACGGCGCACTCTCCTTCAAAGAAGAGCGCACCGGCCGCTAGAGCCATTGGGCAGGGGGGCTACGGATCAAGTTTTAGCCACAGATACGCCTTGCACAGCGCTGGAAACTGTGCCGCGGTACAGACTTTTAAGGCGGGTGGCGTGTCATTCCACGGTTTGACGACGCGGTAAGAAAACGCCTCGCGTCCGAATCTTGTTCTCGCGTCCGGCTGCAGAGCATGGGGGTAGTTGCTGTCGTCGCTTCGCAACATTGGCCCAGTAATTATTCGCGCCCTCGCGTCAAAGTCGGTCACGCCGTGGTCACTTTTTTAAAAAAAATAAAAGGTCGGTGTACAGGAGCTGCATTTTCATGGGCATTATTTTTTGCTCCTTCACCGGCGGAATAAGGTGTTTGCCGTGTATAAAATGAAGAGCACGTTTTTGGATTTTCTCCAGTTTCTTGGCCGTGCAGTCGGTGCTCGGGTGCCACGCTGGGGTTCCGTAAAAAAGACCCGGCTTTACAAGCGTGAGATATGCAATTCTTTTTACACGCGGAGTGCGGCACCCATGCAAATTTCTTGAAGCAAAGCCGATGGAGAGTTTGGGCTGCTTTTGCGCGCACCACGTCAGTATGGTGATTCCACCGGAGATCTTTCGATATATAGACTCCTAACTTTCGCTCGTTAACGACATATTGAAAAATATTATATTAAAAATAAAGAAGGTTTATCAAAGATACGATGTTCCAAATATACAGGAGTTTAGACGAGATATAGTAATCGAAAGAAACCTATACCATGAACCATGACCTACTTTCTACAGTGAAGAACTAGCAATGGCTTAAATTTTTATAAAAGGTGTTTATCATAGATATTATGTTCCTATTATTCAGGAACTTAGACGATAATTGCAATTGCTAAAATTTTAAAATAAAGGATTATGAAAGTTAAATGTTCCAAATATTCAGGAGCTTAGACGAGAAAATAGTCGAAAGAAACCTGAACCATGACCTATTTTTGACAGCTTAGGACTAGCATTTGCTTAAATTTTAAAATAAAGGTTTATGAAAGATAAATGTTCCAAATATTCAGGAGCTTAGACGAGAAAATAGTCGAAAGAAACCTGAACCATGACCTATTTTTGAAAGCCCAGGACTAGCAATTGCATAAATTTTAAAATAAAGGTTTATGAATGTTAAATGTTCCAAATATTCAGGAACTTAAACGAGAAAATAGTCGAAAGAAAGCTGAACCATGACCTATTTTTGACAGCTCAGGACTAGCAATTATAAAATTTTTAAAATAAAGGATTATGAAAGTTAAATGTTCCAAATATTCAGGAGCTTAGACGAGAAAATAGTCGAAAGAAACCTGAACCATGACCTATTTTTGACAGCTTAGGACTAGCAATTGCATAAATTTTAAAATAAAGGTTTATGAAAGATTAATTTTCCAAATATTCAGGAGCTTAAACGAGAAAATAGTTGAAAGAAACCTGAACCATGACCTATTTTTGACAGCCCAGGACTAGCAATTGCATAAATTTTAAAATAAAGGTTTATGAAAGATAAATGTTCCAAATATTCAGGAGCTTAGACGAGAAAATAGTCGAAAGAAACCTGAACCATGACCTATTTTTGACAGCCCAGGACTAGCAATTGCATAAATTTTAAAATAAAGGTTTATGAAAGTTAAATTTTCCAAATATTCAGGAACTTAAACGAGAAAATAGTCGAAAGACAGCTTAACCATGACCTATTTTTGACAGGTTAGGACTAGCAATTGCATAAAATTTAAAATAAAGGTTTATGAAAAGTTAAATGTTTCAAATATTCAGGAACTTAAACGAGAAAATAGTCGAAAGAAAGCTGAACCATGACCTATTTTTGACAGCTTAGGACTAGCATTTGCTTAAATTTTAAAATAAAGGTTTATGAAAGATAAATGTTCCAAATATTCAGGAGCTTAGACGAGAAAATAGTCGAAAGAAACCTGAACCATGACCTATTTTTGACAGCCCAGGACTAGCAATTGCATAAATTTTAAAATTAAGGTTTATGAAAGTTAAATGTTCCAAATATTCAGGAGCTTAGACGAGAAAATAGTCGAAAGAAACCTGAACCATGACCTATTTTTGACAGCCCAGGACTAGCAATTGCATAAATTTTAAAATAAAGGTTTATGAAAGTTAAATGTTCCAAATATTCAGGAACTTAAACGAGAAAATAGTCGAAAGAAAGCTGAACCATGACCTATTTTTGACAGCTCAGGACTAGCAATTGCTTAAATTTTAAAATAAAGGTTTATGAAAGATAAATGTTCCAAATATTCAGGAGCTTAGACGAGAAAATAGTCGAAAGAAACCTGAACCATGACCTATTTTTGACAGCCCAGGACTAGCAATTGCATAAATTTTAAAATTAAGGTTTATGAAAGTTAAATGTTCCAAATATTCAGGAGCTTAGACGAGAAAATAGTCGAAAGAAACCTGAACCATGACCTATTTTTGACAGCCCAGGACTAGCAATTGCATAAATTTTAAAATAAAGGTTTATGAAAGTTAAATGTTCCAAATATTCAGGAACTTAAACGAGAAAATAGTCGAAAGAAAGCTGAACCATGACCTATTTTTGACAGCTCAGGACAAGCAATAGCTTAAATTTTAAAATAAAAGATTATGAAAGTTAAATGTTCCAAATATTCAGGAGCTTAGACGAGAAAATAGTCGAAAGAAACCTGAACCATGACCAATTTTTTACAGTGAAGTACTAGCATTGGCTTAAATTTTTATAAAATAGGTTGAACAAAGATATGATGTTCCTATTTTTCAGGAGCTTCGACGAGAAAATAGTCGAAAGAAACCTGAACCATGATCTATTTTTACAGTGAAGTTCTAGCATTGACTTAAATTTTTAAAAAATAGGTTTATCAAAGATATGATGTTCCTATTATTTAGGAGCTTAGACGAGAAAATAGTCGAAAGAAAGCTGAACCATGACCTTTTTTGACAGCTCAGGACTAGCAATTGCTTAAATTTTAAAATAAAGGTTTATGAAAATTAAATAGTCTCCAAATATTCAGGAACTTAAACGAGAAAATAGTTGAAAGAAAGCTGAACAATGACCTATTTTTGACAGGTTAGGACTAGCAATTGCATAAAATTTAAAATAAAGGTTTATGAAAAGTTAAATGTTCCAAATATTCAGGAACTTAAACGAGAAAATAGTCGAAAGAAAGCTGAACCATGACCTATTTTTGACAGCTTAGGACTAGCAATTGCTTAAATTTTAAAATAAAGGTTTATGAAAGTTAAATGTTCCAAATATTCAGGAACTTTAACGAAAAAATAGTCGAATGAAAGCTGAACCATGACCTATTTTTGACAGCTTAGGACTAGCATTTGCTTAAATTTTAAAATAAAGGTTTATGAAAGATAAATGTTCCAAATATTCAGGAGCTTAGACGAGAAAATAGTCGAAAGAAACCTGAACCATGACCTATTTTTGACAGCTCAGGACTAACATTTGCATAAATTTTAAAATAAAGGTTTATGAAAGTTAAATTTTCCAAATATTCAGGAACTTAAACGAAAAAATAGTCGAAAGACAGCTGAACCATGACCTATTTTTGACAGGTTAGGACTAGCAATTGCATGAAATTTAAAATAAAGGTTTATGAAAAGTTAAATGTTCCAAATATTCAGGAACTTAAACGAGAAAATAGTCGAAAGAAAGCAGAACCATGACCTATTTTTGACAGCTTAGGACTAGCAATTGCTTAAATTTTAAAATAAAGGTTTATGAAAGTTAAATGTTCCAAATATTCAGGAACTTAAACGAGAAAATAGTCGAAAGAAAACTGAACCATGACCTATTTTTGACAGCTTAGGACTAGCATTTGCTTAAATTTTAAAATAAAGGTTTATGAAAGATAAATGTTCCAAATATTCAGGAGCTCAGACGAGAAAATAGTCGAAAGAAACCTGAACCATGACCTATTTTTGACAGCTTAGGACTAGCAATTGCATAAATTTTAAAATAAAGGTTTATGAAAGATTAATTTTCCAAATATTCAGGAGCTTAAACGAGAAAATAGTTGAAAGAAACCTGAACCATGACCTATTTTTGACAGCCCAGAACTAGCAATTGCATAAATTCTAAAATAAAGGTTTATGAAAGTTAAATGTTCCAAATATTCAGGAGCTTAGACGAGAAAATAGTCGAAAGAAACCTGAACCATGACCTATTTTTGACAGCCCAGGACTAGCAATTGCATAAATTTTAAAATAAAGGTTTATGAAAGTTAAATTTTCCAAATATTCAGGAAC